CTCTCTGTTGTTGTTCTTGTATTCATCTAATTAATCTAGTTCTTGCTAGTTCTTCTTGAACTTCTTGGTAGATATCAAGTCTATATTCTGTATCCGTGACAAAATTTAATATGTTGAATTTCAATCCATTAAGTATCTTAATTCAACTAGGAATTTTTTTAAGTAATAAATACTACATTACTTCGTAAGATTATCCCTATTCTTAAGTTGTTGATACTCTAATGCATGCCATTGTTAGTTCTAGACCAAATTTTGCTTATGCTATTAGCAATTTAGCGCAATATCTCTCTAAACCATATGGTATAATATCTCTATACACATTCAAACTTTGAAAAGAATTATGAGATATATAAAAGGTATATTAAATTTTAGAATCAAATATCAACACTTATGTCAATGTGATATTCTACATGATTATTTTGATGTTGATTGAGCAGGTCACAAGGACATCCATTGCTCTACCTTTGGATTTTACTTCTTACTAGTTGGAGGGATTATTTTTTGGGACAACAAGAAACAACAATATGTAGCTTTATCATCCAAAGAATTAGAATACATGGCTTTAATAAAAACCACAATTAAAGCCACATGGTTAAAAAATTATTACACAAACTTGGATTTCCTTAATATGTATCAACTACCATATATTTAGATAGTTAAAGTGCCATTGCTCTTAGTAAAAATCCAAAATATTACTATATAAGCAAACATGTAGATAAATAATGACATTTTACCAAAGAAAAGATCCTTGCCAAGGAAATCAAATTGTAATATGTGCCAACCACACATATGATAGTAGATATATTTACAAAATCTCTTCTCAAACAGAAATATTTTTAATACCTATTTTAACTCAGCATGTATCAAATTCTTTTAATTCCAAAACAAGTTACTTGTTCTACCACCATTCAAGCCTTGCTGGTTTATTCAAAAGAATAAGAAATTCCACAACCTTCATATTTTGATATACTATGGAGTAAAGACAATCTGATAAGAAAACTTACTCTAAATCCATGATATTTCAAAATACAAATCTTTTATATCCAATTTGCTATAGCCAAGCTTACTATAGCAGAGATTGATATACTCTACAATTGGGCTTGCTATGAAGCCTGCCACAAAGTATGATACGGAGCTTGTAGCATCATTTCTTTTTAAGTTAGCCATAAAGTCTCATGCTGAGCCCATAGCCTTGCTTGTTGCAAAGCTAGTAGCCACATCACCTACAATGGAGCTTATAGCCATGCTTATTATGGAGTTCATAACAAAGTCTGTCGCTAAAGCCGTAAGTGAGCTTTCTATCCAATTAGTTCTGGAGTGCACAATGGTGCATATCTTAGGACCTTCATCTAAGCCCATTGTAATGCTAATATTGATGGCCAACCTCTACAATAATGTATGCATTTATGCCTCCACCTTACCGTGTAGTAGTAGACATACAAAATCAAAACATCAAATAAAAAAAACAAATAAAATCAAAATAGCAAACATGTCCAAATCAAAAAAAGTCAGCATATACCTTCTCAAATTTGAAGAGTAGTAGAAAAACTACAAGAAAATTCTCCAACATTACCACACCAAAAAGAAAATTGGAACCCTAAATTTTTCACATATATTTGTTTTGAAATGGATAAATTTTTATTATAGATGAAATTCAATTCACGGATGAAGATTAGTGTTTTAATGGAAGTATTGAAAGAAATATTTAGTATAGTATACTAGTTTCTAATATAGAATACTATCTACTTAATTTTGACCTTATACCAAGAGTTGTAACTCTTGGTGTTACACTTGTACATATAATATATTATGTGAGAATTGATCATAATAATATATAAGATGTTTCCAATATTGCATCCATAAAGCCTATGATTTTAATTGGTCTTGTAGCTTGATGTTTAGTATAGTGCTTTAAGAGAAGATGGAAGTCTAAGGATGAAAATCTAAACTATTAGGAGGCTTATGGAGAGGGATGAAATCAAGGCATGGTCGGATGAACACAAAAGGTAAAGATCTTTATCTCTATTGGTCGAAGGCCATGCCCATTGGACATTCAACAAACTGTCTATTTCCATAACAAGGATTTTGGAAACTTTATAAGGAGCATTTGAGAATCAAAAGAAAGAGTTGTAAAGTTTAGAATTTAGACTATAATTTGTGTGCAAATTTTAGAAGATTTGGAATTAGAATAATGAAGTTATAGCCATTTAAAGTTAAGGTATTGTTTAAGATATATTGTTGTTGTTTTGAGGATACAAAGAGTTTTATAATAGATTTTAGAGATTGGAAGGTGCCTTCGCAAGAATGATTTTAAGATCTACATCTTTGGTGAAGGAATTTTTGCATTTGGAGTTTGTATGAAGCAGTTATAGAGTGTTGAAGATAGTACATGTAATTCAAAGTCAATAAATAAGTCATTTTGTTGATAGTAATGGTTGGAGGCATATCATGAGTTTCCAAATGAATTTTTAGCTAAATTTTTTCAAAAGTGTGTGTTATTGAGTTCAAAAGATATATGTCAAAATTTTATAGTATTTGAATATTTAGTTTGTGAGATATAAAGAAATTTATATACATGTATATGTAAGCAAGGGTTTGAAGCTAGTGTTAGAGTTTTGGCAATATTTTAAGATTTATAACAAATTTAGAGTTGAAATTTTTTGTCGCAGTTGCCAAAAATACATCATTATTTCATATAAAATTTAGATTTGTTTGAATGGCCCAATCATGAGATATGAGCTGTTGAAGTTTGGAAAAAATTTACCTTAAGGATATACAAGTTTTTTATGATATTTTTATCACATTATTGGTGATCTTTGGTACTTAAGGCTTATGTATTGATGTAATTGCCCCTATAGGGACAATTTTGTATATGGACTTGGTGTTTCATTTATCTAAAGGCTTGGTTGAGCATTTAGTGACAGCCAAAAGCCTAGCACTTTCTTAAGGCAAACTTTCTCTACCTAAACACCGCAAACACTACCTTTATATTTGCAAAATGACTTCACAAATCCTTTGATAAAAGCACCTAATTAATTCAAATTTCAATCCTTAAAAATATTACTCAAATATAAATCAACACTCAATCTTAGTCACAACTTTGAACAACATTTGGAAGACAATTGGATACAAATTGCCATGTGTATAAGAAAGGTTTCATCAAGTCACCAAAGAAATTAATGATGTGAAATAACAAGATAATAAAATTTAGTTACATATAAATAAATAAGTATTACAAATATTATTTTTTAAAAATTAAAAAATTAAAAAATGAAAAATTATTGAAATTAAACAATCAAATAAACTTTTGGCATCTAAAAAACAAGAAATTAATATATATATATATATATATATATATATATATATTGAATTTTTTAATATATTTAATAATATTTATTTTTGTTTTTTGGCCAAGCCAAAAAATCAAAATTAGAAAGGTCTCCTTTGACAGTAATTGATAGGCTTAACAAGTTCTATTTTTACATGTATTGTTTCTACATTGTAGAAAGAGATGTAATCATCTAAAATAAGACAAAAAAATCAATTTACAATGCCTCCGAGCTTATATTACAAGCCAAATTTCATTGTAAATTTTATTCACCATAATATGTCTGCTACATACCTCAAATTGAAATCAATTATATTTGTTAATAATTAAATACATTAAAAATTTGTTTTAAACAATAAGTCAATATGATTTTTTCCTTTAAAATTTTTAAAAAGGGTTTTTTTTATAATTTAAATATTTTAGTATGTATGAAAATTTTTAAAATTTTTTTTAATTTTTTTTAAAAAGAATGAAAATAACAAAACACTTTAATTTTACATATACAATGACATTATTTTTAAACATGCACTCATTTAGCATACATATGTGCCTGAAAATAATATTAATGATAATAATCTTACACGAGTATACTCAGTATTCAATAATTAAATTGGTGTAAAATATAAAATTTTCAGCATGTAACTTTTGCATTAAAATGACAGATGTAAATCCTTCTCACACTTTGTTATTGTTTTAATATGCATGTGTGTGTGTCAATAGATATAGATATATATATATATATATATATATATATAATCACACTTGTGTACATATTTAATGTTTTCAATAATAACTTCTAACAAAAAACACAAGAAAAACCTGTATACATCAGATGTTGATTATATGCTGAAATATATTGAACTAGGATTATCCTGGAGCTCCTTCATTCAGCCCAGCATGATACTGGTGTTACACCAGTATGATGCGGGTATACACCTGGAGAATTGTTTATGCTCCGGTAGCTCCGGGTATCAATTAGGGTTTTAGTTGCGAACCTCGGAGCCCAATGGAAGTCTCAGTTGCTTCCAATTTGCAAGCTCGTCTGTCTCGGATTGAAGCGTTGTGGTCGAAAGATCGAACTCCGTCGTGACTTCTACGTGATCGACACTGCATCACGAAGACATGGCGCTGAGCATGCTGCAGAAGTTGAAGAACAAATGGGCCGCGGAAACCAGGGATGAGGAGAAGCTCGCTGCGCACTTGGTATCGCCTTCTACTTCCGGGGATATTAATTCTGTCGGAAATCGTTATTTTTTGTTTCGTGTTGTTTACTCTCTCTTTCCGGCATTATTCAGAGTCTTTTGATGAGGAATTTTCTTCTTTGCTGTCGATCAATCACTGGTTGCTTGGTGAAGTTGACAGCCGTTGCTGCTTTAGGGCTTAGTGCTGGAATCGAATGAATTGGTGCGGCTAGATCGAGCTGAATGTTTGCTTGGGCTGAGAATTTGTTTTTTTTTTTAAGGATTTAAGCAGCATTGATGTAGTAATTATATTCGGCTGAATTTTAGTATGTGAGTATGCTGTTTGCATATATTTGTTTGAGCTGAGTTTTAGGGTTTAGAGCTGATCAGGAACTTCGTGTTTTTTGCAGAGACTTGTGCGCGCTGTGGCAATTTTTGCAGGATCCGTGGTTCTGATGCGCAATTTTGGTGATTTAATGGCGGTCTAGAGTAGAACCAGCATGCCGGGGTTACGTCCCCGGCCATCTCTTCGTACGCGGAAATCGGTAGTCCTACAACGAGTTTATCTTGAGCTGGAGAATTTTTTTGTTTGCTTACGAAAGACGCATCTTCAGAGTGGTCTGAATGACTTCATTTGCGCGTTTTTACTCTGTTCCGTTCCGCTAATTGCAATGAAACATTAGGTTTGATTTCATTTCATTTGTGACTAAAATCTTCTGGCATGAACGTCCTCTCCATGGAGTGTTTTTCTTTTCATTTCTACTTTTCATGATTCAACATCTACATGCTCATGCTTATTTCACTTGACTTCATTAGACACCGATTTAAATAGAATTTCATTTATTCTAACCATAGTAAAATCATGTTTTGTACAGTAGTACATGAATGAGGATTCATTGATACACAGTACAGCTTTATTTTTTTTTCTTTTTGTTTTATTCTAAAACTTTATTTAAATTTTCTTTGTTGTCGCTGATTCAATAATCCACTAGTAAAGTTGGGTCTACAATGACCATGAGGTATTGTATGGCCGTAGTGGGATAGGTATCTGGTAATGGATGAAAAGAAAATCCAAATGGCCCCCAGCTCCAGCACATCTTAAGACAATCTAAATTTTTAACTCTGTCTACGTGCCCAAAAAATCATTTTGCGTTTTTGTGTTTTTCTTTTTCCTTTATTTCGAAATTTTGCTCCTCTACTGCCAATATTCTAGGGACTCGCATCAATTGGTTGCCAGTCCCAAAAAAATCTGAGGCAGCTACCCCGCATCAATGTCAGTCGACACTCTTGGTTGATGGACGGATGAAAATATAAAGATCATAGTGAGAATTGGGTATTATCTGTTCTTCGAAATCGGTGTTGTACACGCTTTAAAAGAATGCATTAGGATGTTGAGATGATGGTTGCACAGTTGTAGACAGAGTGAGTTGTTTACGACGTTATCACTAATTCTCAATGATTTAAATTAGAACCAAGATGTGCTGCCGTGACCTTTATTTACTTTAAATGATCATTATAACACTAGTTGTGGACAAATCATCTATTCACACTAAAACCTTTTAATCTTAAGAAGGTTAAGGTCGCATCAGCAGACAGGCACACAATTCGCAAAATTTGAAGGAAAACACGACGGAACTGGAGGTCGCGACGCAGCGGTGGCGAGGGCCGATCAGCATCGTCGTGACAGTTACAGACACCGAGGCAACCGTGGAAGTTACGGGGCTCAGACCCACACCGCGGCACCGCGGCCTCGAGTCAATAGAGAAGCAGGAGCAGCCTGAGCGAGCAGACGCTTGCTTGGACAGGCTTTGTTTTGCTGGATTAATTACGGAACTCTCCGTCGCAACATCATCCGCCGAAGGCAACACGCCATATGCGAGTGACGCAGGATTCGTCTCTTCCAGTGACGACGAGGATTGCCAAACGCATGAGCCCACCGCGGACGCGGCACGCCCTCCCGGCGATGGTGCAAGTGCTCAGGAGGTCCCTGCGATGAATTTCAATGACGCTGTGATGTTGGATACTGCCCACGACGCTGCGGATCTTGTCGAGGTTAAACCTAGCGCGGACGCCAATGGTTCGCAAATTGGAGTGATGATCGCGGGGACGGACGATCCCATGATACCCGAGGAGGAAGAGGTAACAACTGCAGGGAGCAGAGTTCCAATGAACGAGACGATGGTATCGATGCCGTGCGATCCTGAAGGCACTGCTTTGGAATCTGCAAACAATATGGGCGATTCCTATTCTGTAACGACAGTGCAGGTGATGCAAAGCCTGATTGACGTAGTTGATACCATGGATGTGATCACAAACGAAGCGGAACCTCTCGAACGGATAGACGCTGACCAAGAACTCAACCCTTCAGCTTCAGGCTCCACTCATCCAAGCTCACAGCGGGTGTCTGCGGAAGACGAACCAGAAGCCGGCATCGACGAAGTTTTGACTGAACCCACGGAGAAGAATGATCATGTTGAGGCGGAGAGCGGTCCTGCAGCGGAAACGCGCCAGAAGACAACGAAAGAACAAGTCGAGCTCGTATCTGAGTCGGACCAGCCGGTGAAGATGGTAGGAGGGAATCAAGAATGGAGCAGGGACCCACGCAACGACAGTTCGCCAGAGGACACGGTCGATCTCTGCGGTAAACATAATGACTCTCTACACCACCACCTCTTCTTCCTTTGCGCTGTGGGAATTCGCTGACAGGTTCCGAAGGCTATGACTGATCGCACCGTTTTGCGTCTGTGCACGCGTCGCCCGCGTCGGCTGACGAGAAATGTAATGTGGGGGCGGTGTAGGAGTTGGCAAGGAAGCGGAAGAGAACGAGGAGGAGATGGAAGAGCAACGGGTATTGCCCATCTCTGAGAGACGGAAGCACAAGAAGCTGGAGGTATTCGTGGGTGGGCTGGACAAGGAAACCACCGAGGAAGAGCTGGAGTCGGTGTTCGGACGAGTGGGCGACGTGGTGGAGGTGCGACTCATGAAGAATGCTCAGACGGGCAAGAACAAGGGCTACGCCTTCATCCGCTTCGCCTCCGCCGCCATCGCCAAGCGCGCCTCCCACGACCTGGAGCGAGTCGAAGTCAGCGTCCTCTTCCTCCTCCTTCATCGTTTTGTTAATAAATGAAATGAAACACAACAACAACAGTAATAAATCCTTTTCTGCTGCTTTCATTACTCATTTTACCAGTGCAGGAGTCTTTTCAGCCTTGTTTTAAGAATGTATATGTATATGCACGTGTTTGCACATACACATAGTCGACTTTTTTGAAGTAAATTATAGTATTGGTTTGTCAGATCCGAGGTCGCTCATGTGGAGTACTGCCGAGTGAGGAAAACGATACGCTATTCCTTGGCAACATCAGCAAGTTGTGGAAAAAGGAAACGGTGCGTATCTCCACAGTTGAATACCTCGGCCTACATATTTGAGCTTTCTACCCATGTTTTTTGGATTTTGCAACTGCGTGTGTCTCAGTATCTCTTTCTCCTTGAAAGAATATGTGGTGGGTACCAATGAAATGAAAGTGTGGTGGCACGTTGTTCCGTTTTTTGAGGAATTGTAGGTTTTGGAGACTTTGAAGAAGTTTGCCATTGAGAATGTGGAGGACATAACATTGATGGAGGATCCACAACTGGAAGGTGTTAACCGTGGATTTGCATTTATTGAATTCAATACTCACAAAGAAGCTCTGAATGCTTTTAGGCGACTTCAGCAAGCTGATGCTGTTTTTGGAACAGATCGCTCTGCAAAAATTGCATGGGCACAACCATTAAATGAACCAGATGAAGATATAATGTCCCAGGTATGATTTAATGAGTTGAAGCCAACCACTCATTCTAACCATAAGTTATATATATGTAGTATCATATAACATTTGAAATCATTCTCTAATTTCGCAGTACATGTTTTTGAAGCTCATCCGTCGACCATGTTTCCTCTTCATTTGTTGGTGTAGGTAAAATCTGTCTTTGTTGATGGAATGCCTCCAACATGGGATGAACGAAAAGTGAAAGAGCTTTTCAACAAATATGGCGCTGTGGAACGCATTGTCTTAGCCCGCAACATGTTGTCTGCAAAACGAAAAGATTTTGGGTTCGTGAACTATGTTGAGCGAGACGCTGCCTTGCTGTGTATAGATGCTTTGAACAACACCGAAATCAGTTATGAAGATATCAAGGTAGAAAACAACAATAATAATAATACACATAGTAATAACAAATAGAAAAATGCACTAATAAATTTAATCTTGAAATACATTCTTAAATCATTTATCTTGAGTTTTTTTTCTTTTATATATTGTGTGTGTGTGTGTTTTAAGAATTTATATGAAGATCTTTAACGAATGTCACATACTCTAGATCAAAATGAAAGTGATGCTGGCAAAGCCACAAATGAAAAGCAAAGTTATGAAAGGAGGAATTCGTGGAGCATATCCACCAGGTTTTAGAGGAGACCATAGGATAGGAGTAGGAATACATGGCATTGGAGTACCTGGAGTTGGAATGGGGCTACGAGGAGGAATGGGATTGATTCCTTGTGATGGTATATTACTCCTACAATCCCTCTCTCTCTTTATTAATATATATATATATATATATATATAGATATAAAATATGTGATTTTTTTATTTTTTTATTGAATGTTAGTTCTATTATAACAATTATAACTGGATTTTGTGCTTGCAGTATTATCAAGTTGTGGAAACCTTTCTCATTTTGAGAATCAAGTTAGATTTGGGAGAATGAATGATCATGGGTTAGGAATTGGAAACATGCAAAGGTTGGGGAAAAAAATAAAGCGGGGAAACAGTATCAACAACAAAGAGACAGATGTGAAGACAAAATTACCACAAATGAAACGAATAAAGAATGATTTAATCACAGATGAAAAAGAAGAAAAACTTAACAGTGTGAATCTTATTGTAGAAGGGGCTTGTTTGAGTGACTGTCTTCTCCCTTCAAGAACTTTAGAAAATTTGGAACAAGCTTTGCCACAAAATAGTGATGTGTTGCCTAAATTCACTCTTGACAAATACGAGTGCACAATGTGTGGATTTGGATTTGACTTGTTTGACAAATACAAATCTCACAACAAAACCAAAGCGCACAAGGTGATTGAAGGTGTACACAAAGAACAAAAGTTGCACAATAAAACACCTTTATCATTGCTTCATGAATATGCTTCTCGGAACCATTATAAGGTTCACTACGAGACCAAAGCTAACTCATTTGGGCCCTTTGAAGTTACAGTAGTGATTAGCACCTTGGATGGAGGATCAAATGTTGGCACCCCCATCAAAGGACTTGGCATTGGCCGCAACAAGGCAAGAGCCAAACAAATGGCTGCCTCAAATGCTTTAGAGAAAATTATGTTACAAGCTCCTGAATTGGAATTTACAAAGCTAGGGCAATCAAGGCAACTATTCAACAACAACAACAACATCAGTGAACAATGCAATAGGAAAATCAAGAATAATACTTACAGTGGTTGTAATGGAAGAGGAGGAGGGCATCAAACTTCATGCAAGAAAGTCAACAAAGAATGGATGAGTGTGCAAACCGCAATCAATGGTAATTCCTTTCTAGGGCTCCCAAATTTTACGGGAAATGGTGTTGGAAACGGAAAGAACAAACGCCAAAATTCCCATGATTTGATATATTTCAATGATAATATCATGAATCCAAATACAATTCCTTTACCGAGATACAATGAATTTCCACAATGTGAGATGGAGAGAGGAGGTTTTGGCAAAAAGTTTCATGGATGTGGTGGAGGAGGTTATACAACATCCATTCAAGGCCCTTGTGGAGTAGTTCCATGTCAAAGTGTGGATACATATGTGGATCGGTTTGATCCAGTTCAACATGGAGGAGGAGGCTTTGGAAGTGTAGGATTTGGAGGACAAGATTTCATGGATTTTCGAGGAGCAATTGGTACCTGAAGCTTTCATAGCTGCAACCTCATTGAGAACACATTTTGATATGTACATATATATATATATATGAAGACATCTTCCTTTCAATGTTGTACTTTAATAATTGTGATATGTCTGCAGTGGGATTTGTTGGTGCTAACCAGGAATTTGAAACATCTGGACTGAAACGAACTTTTATTTCAATGGTAATGTCCCAATCCAATGTCATGATACCACATGATGCAAGAGTTAGGGATTTTTTTTTTTTTTTTTAAGTAAAATTTTAAAAATTAAAAAACCCCATTTTATATAATATAGAAGGTAATTTTTTTCCCTGTCTTTCTACAATTTAATTACTTTTTGAAAAATTGTTATTCATTTTTCTCCATAATTTTAATGAAAGGAAAAAGAGGCAAGATTTGTGGATGCGCAAAGGGCTCGTCCTTGGCAATGCTTGGAACTTCCAGAGCAAGGCTCCATTCACTCCAACACAAGCACCCCTGGTTTTGATGGGCAATCCTTGTTTTCAGAAAAATCTAGGTAGTACGTGTTTTCAAGTTGAATCTGAAATTTACAATATATATATATTTATATAACCATCTTGTACTCATGTTTGACTATTCACAATTTTAACCATCAAATCACTTTTAAAGTATAATTGCCAATTTGAAAATACTACTGAAAGTTTTTAAGAACATCAAATCATGCAATGAACTCAATTGTAGCAACTTAATCATACTTGGTCTTGATTCCTTAATTTTTATTTTTTTCATTTATTTTAGCTTTTAAAACAAACACAATGGATGGGTATGTATCTGTACAAATATGTATGAACAAACTATATGGAGCACTGTTAATGTATACTTTATTATATATTTATGCATGAAGAATATGATTCATGAATTTTTCAAAATTTATATATGTATATATATATATATATATATATTCATTTCGTAAATCAAAAATAAACAACTATGATTTTTTTAATTTTTATGTATGAAGTTCCATCAGATCAACAATTGTGCGGCCCCCAGAACAGCCCCAATTTGGTGGGTATGCTGCTGCTGCGTCAGCATTGGGAGGGGTCCCCATGAACCCAACCATTCTCCAAGTGCCACATCATCCCTCCCTCTCTGCAACCATAGTGGGGGTTAACCCTAACCCTAATCCTAATAATGCAACCCCCTACTCCATTTACGAGGCAGCCTCCCAACCCAACCCTCCCCCTTCCTCCTCAGGTATGACAATTATGAATGAAAAAGAAACATAATCAAAATGGGTTTCACGTGGTGTATTTTATTTTTATTTTTTTTTAACTTGTAAGTTATGTATGGTTTGAAATGAACAAGATATATCAACTTATGTGACTTGTTCCAAAATCACTCTCTGTGCCAAAGTCAAGATTAATGGTAGAAGCTTCTTCTTTGTCTTCTTCTTTGTGTGCAGATAATAATGCTTATTGTATCTTTTTAAAAGGAAAATAATCTAGTGTAAATAAGTAAATGACACAAGCAGTGGCATGGCTGTGTTGCAGGATATGCAAACATGAACCAAGACTATGTAGCAAATTCTACTTGCATATCCGAAGTAAAATCCTTGGATTACCAATTTTATTTATTTATTTATTTATTTTAGAATGGCTTTATGTCAACAATATGTGAATGTATGTGTGTATATATATATATATATATATATATATATATTTTGTACATAATAAATTGTAAATAAAAGTGTGGGGGGGGGGAATATACATATAAATAGAAATGTGGCTATTGTAGGTATCCCAAGGAAACAACTTATATTCAACTATATCATCAACTTCTTTGTTGTATGGGGTTCCACCTCTGTATGGCCTTCTTCCTCCACCAAGTGCCCCCACAATTGGTGGTGGTGGTGTAGTTGGAGGTTATGGCTCAATAACAAATCCTATTCATCATCATCAATATCAACAACCTCCCCATTTTTACTAAAAGGTGGAGTCCCTTGCTTCAAGCAAAAACTTTTTATTTCATTTTAAAACATACATAAATGTATATATATATATATATAGATGTGTGTGTGTGTGTGTATATATATATATATACACATGCTCTAACTCTCTCTCTCCATAAAGATGCAACTATAAGAAACTTAAGATGGACATGAATCAAAATATTAGAAAAAAAGGTTGGTGAGGAATTTTAAAACCATAATTAATTTAAGATTTTTTTTTATTAATAAATGTTTAGATTGAAATGCGTTACTTATGCAACAATACTCATGATACAGATTGAGTATCCCATAGAGATTGCATCCTCAGATTTTCTGTCTCAAATCAACACCAAAGGTTGGAGAGTTTAATATTTGTCACTCTTTTGTTATGTGAATGAATATGGGGATAATTGAAGATTGGGAACACTAATACTTGAGATGGTTGATTTGAGATTTGATTATTTGCATGAATCATAAATAAATAAACAAACGTTGATAATCGTGGAACAATTTATTTTCAAAAACTGAACAAATATTTTTCAAAGTAACTAATACCAATTTAAGTATTCCACGTTTATTTATTTATCATGAGTTTCATGCAAAGGGTATTAGATGACCTATACAATGTAACTACATTTTATTTCATCATTTTTAAATTGAAAGTAAATGGCATAGGGCATCCATTGTTTGCATCTCAAAATTCTTATGACTAAGAAAACATGAAATGGGAATGTTGGAGCTTGGTCTTGTCTTTATTTATTTATTTATTTATTTATTTTGATGAGGTATTGGTGACTTCTATGAATAAAAAAATTGTGAGTTAAGATTTCAAACTTGCTTGCACCAGTGTTCACTAATAATTGAACCATTTTCTTTGCTTCGGTTGAATGTATTTCATCAATTACAAGTGTTTTTTTAAAAGTTTAGAAGTTCACGAATGTGCTTCAATCCACTTTAAAAACTTTCTCACATATTTGGTTCTTAATTTTAAATTAAAATAACTATTCTAAACATGTCACTTTAGTATATATATATATATATATATATATACAAAAAAAATACAACATGTAATTTTCTTTAGTAAAGTAGAATAGAAAGAAAATAAAAAGATTGAAAATCAGTGTTATGAAAAGGCACCTTTGCAGTTAAAGGATTATCTGTTCTGGTCCTTAATTGATTTTATTTGGTTATGTTGCTGTAATTACATCTAGAACTATATTGTATTTACTACTCAACATATGGTTTTGCTTCTCTAATTCATACTGTGACATAACATTCCAAAACAGGGTAGTTTTTTTACTGAACTTATAACCCAAATAAATTTTGGTTAAATTTAATTTAACTCACAAGATAATATGCCATGTGCAAAAACAGCATCAAATGGGATATTGTACATCTTATCATTCATTCCCCTGTAATGTTAAAAAGGTTCTAAATAATAATATAAATTTTCAATACACAACAAAAAAATGATAATATTATTAATAGTGATATTGCTTGTTGTAAATACAGGATGAAATATTCCTGTTTAAAAATCTCATAGTCTTTTTCTTCTAAGTATTCTGTGCACTTATTTTGATAAAAACAAACATAGAGTTACTGGGTTCTGTGGTCATTGTCATTTTTGAATTATAATGGTCATGAAACATTGACTATCATAAACCATGGTAAGCTGTCATCTAAATGAAAACATAGAGGCATGGTATTTCACATTCTTCTTAGGTGATTCTTTCTTTATTTAACAGTTTATATTTTCCATTCATGATGTTTAAAAGTGTCAAAAATTGTGCCAAATTGAGTGGATACTGGAACAAAAATTGAATGAAACCATCAAAATTGTTTCACAATTAATTGCTTCAAACAATATATCTTTATCTACAACTTCACACATGTGTGCATGTAGACCTATAGATTATGTAATGTAATGCAGATTTCACCAAATTTATGTTGCACAGTGTGTGTGTGAATATATATATATATATATATATATATATATGATTCATTATTTTTAATTTATCAAGGGTTACATTAGTTATAATATGTACATAATTGTGGTCATGAACTTAAAATCCGTAATTTCTCTCCCCAATGTATGTATATGTATGTACATGTTTATTACATGATTAAATTATGTTTAATGAAATATATAAATATAAACATATGTTGCCAATTAAAATTTTCAAATTATCATAAATGAAAGAAAGCTGTATGTTATCGAAATTTAGTATAATAATAGTGAATTATGTAACATAACTTGATGGTTATTAGAAAAAAAAAAAAAAAAAAAAAAAAAAAAAACTTATCTTTTTAAATATACCAAAATAGTTATTTAACAATTTATGAACTTTAAACCTAAAATCTGCTCTTGATTTATTATTGTTATTATTATTATTATTATTATTATTATTAAATATAAGATTTTTAATCATAGATTTAATTTTGAATTTAAAATATTTGTACTTAAAATAGAAATTTGTATATTAATTATGTATATTTATTCATTTGAGCTTCTAAAATTAAAGTATATTATTTGGTATTAATATGCATATTCTAATTCAATGAACATAAATCTTGTTTTTGCAATGTATTAATATGCACGTGTATGTGTATATGAACACAATTATCATAACATGAAGTTATGCTAATTGAACATGAAACATTTTAAAATTAATAAAAACAGTATACTTGATCTTGATTACTACACATTGTAATTTCATAGTTCTTGAAACAAAAAGCCATAATTTACACAAGCTGCTTAGAAATTCAAGATATGAATAATATTGAGTTATAATCATAATTGTAATATTTTTTTTCATTTGGTACTTTTTGTTTCTAAATATTTATATTGATATTGAACATGTCTAATTTTGATAATTATGACATTAAACACCATGTAAGTACAAAATTAAATTTTGTTATGCACTGTAGGAATTCAACAAAATATATGTTAATTTATGTGTTCAATGCAGTTTTCATGGATATATATATATATATATTTATGTATATGTGTGCATACACACACATACAACTATCAAATTACTTAGGTTCTTTAGCATTTATCACTTGGTTTGTTAATCAATTTCATGACATATTATCACTCTTCGATTGTTAAACAATCTGCATTCTATCAAAGTGCAAGTAGACCAAAAGATCATCTCTAATTCTGGTGACATATCAAAACCCACATCCTCATAATTTCACTGGTTAATTAGACTAATGATTTAGATTAGTACTAACTCTTCTCACAAAATAGTTATGGAACATGTAAAGACTGTGACTATTATTGTCAAATTTTAATACCAACTTCAATGCATGCACCTATTCTCCAATTTGATGTGCACTTAAAAGTAAAGACTACCCAATTCAACAAAATCATTTCAAGCAGCAAGCACCACAAATGGGCCTATTCAATGCCTTCCTGCATGTCACAAATTTTAACTCTGCAACTCCAAATCCCATTTCTATACACATCTCCCAAAGTTGTTAAATATGTTTTTTAAAATTTTATTATCATCTGAAGTAATTAATTTGATGATCCAAACAACAAAACAAAGCTACAGTTGCTGAGGTGAAGCTCATGAGGTTGATGCTCAATTTTGTGTATCTGATGCTTCACTGAGTCTCTAGTGCTTTAGCATGCATTGAATATTGACATGGGGTGATAGAAGTTGCAGTTTTGTGTGCGCTTCTGTGAGAACTGTGAAAGACCTCAGATCTTCATAATCTGAGCTCCACCCTGTCTTTCAATTCTAATAGCATTCCATCACATAGTGAATCAACGTCTGACTTGGGACCCCAGCAGCTCCTGCTCTGTGGGTGTTTGGAAGAAGTTTTTTTGTATTGTATTTTATTGTAGTTTATTTGTTTATCATTATTGTTGTGATATATTATTATTATGCTTCAGATCAGTCACAAATCAAGCCTCTGTGAAAAGTCCCAGCAGATGCACAATGCACATGGTTTGCACCATGAAGCAAATTAAGCAAGTGCCCATGTGCTTCCGGATTGTTCTGTCTCCTAATCTCACACTTAGCCAGATGACATTGGAAGCTAAGATGACATTGAACCCACATCATAAAGCAGTAGAAACCTGTGAAGGCCGGCACCATAGTTGTTAAGTATTTTGGAACCACTGGCATCACAAGCCGATGAATCTAGAACACACAACATCAGATTTTACTTTGTTGTACCACTTCATTCCAGAAAAGAGTCTTGTAAGTGATATTATTGTTGATTGCGTACCAAGCTCTGAATAGCAGGCCAATATATTAACAAAACCATTGGACACATTTACATATGGTTGCATGCGCGAAGCAATCAACATTACTCCTGTACCATCTTCGAACTAGTGCTATAAGTTAACCTCTCCTGTATCATTCTGCAGAAAAACGGTCTCTGAAACTTTTAAATCGTGCCCCTCTAAAGCCAATCACCTGTGATTTGCACTCATCCCACGACTCATAAATGAAACCCTATGCAAACAGCATAGAACTTATGCAGCTTCGATTCAAAACTGAATTCATTTCTTATTTTTCGACTTCTTACAAAGCCAGAGGGAGCTTCCTCATTAGACTCATCTCTCATTACAAAATTACAGACGTGTTCTAGCAACATAGCGACAGCAGAGAAGACACTTACGCAGCCTCGACGTATTGCCACTGCCACCATCCATAAGCCTAGTATAAACAGTTCACACTGTTGCAAAAGTCAACGAATTGCTCAATCAACGAGAGAACTAATAATCCAAGATTAACAGAAAACAAAGAAGACTTACACCCTGCATATCCTCAAATTCTCGACGCCAATGATCTACAGTAGCTAGATGCAATGAGCTCCAAGGTGAGAGGGAGTGTTGATTGTAGCACATAGAATCTCATTTGAAGATAGTCGCCCTAATAAAAAGTATCTAGTAAAATATCGTTTCTACGAGTCGCAGACTGACTGCCAGTGCCGATTGCCTCTTCGAGTGCTGATTGGCTCTTCGAGTCCCACCAGCGGCACACCATAACTGACACACAGTTACTCTCTTGTACTTAAATCAATCAATCCTTAATAAAAATATATTATCTCGATCATGTAGTTCTTTATCATGGTATCAGAGCGGGATTAACTTCCTGCTAGTGAGCTTTGCTCCTAGATCTGAATCCATCTAGTTTTGTTTCTATGTAGACAGTAAAAAAATCTAGTGACATTCTACCAGCACCATGAATTGAGAGTATCTGTAGATTTTTTCATTTCGACAGCATGTCAAGTGATCAGTCGTCAACGATCACCATTAGTGAGAGTAATAAATTGGAGGTTCCACAAACTATAATGTGTGGAAGTTAAGGATGAAGGCATTGTTGAAGAGAGAAAATATGTGGGATTCAGTGGAGAGAAAACTGACACCAGCATCGTTCCCAATAACCGTAGGTGCATCGACATATACTGTAGAGCAGTTCAAAATCCACAAACTTAAAGCTCAGGCTCTCCTGGTGATGGCTGTGAAGGACGAATTCCTAAAGACTGTGTCAGAAACCGAAGACCCCTCAAATACATGACAATCCTTGAAGAACATATTCGAGGTTGGAGATTCATCTCAAATCTTGCTTCCAATAACTCGCCTTCATAACATGCGTATGGAAGAGGGAGGCTCAATCAAAGAATACTTGCGTAGTGCTAGAAAATCAAAGAGTAACCTAGCAGCCATGGGACACAAAATTGCAGACGAGACCTTAGTACAGTCGACCTTGAACGGATTTCCCCCCCAGCTACGAGGAAATAATCCAAAGTCTTATCGTACAGGATAAGCTACCCACGTTTGCACTGATTAGCTCGAAGCTATTAAACAAGTCACATCGTCTTGCTCTGCGCAGGAATCGCTTAGGAGAAGAGCAGGCATTCATCACACAACTCCAGCGTTATCAACCTCGGCATCAAATTTTTGATCGTGAAAAACAACATACTCAAGGGAGGAGAGATCACAGCACACATAGTCGCATCCACCAACCTTCTGGATTTCAGCATATAACTAGGAATCAAGGATTTCAGAGAAGAACTCGTATTAGCTATCGAAAAAAACTTTCACTGGTTCGTATACGGGTCACCAGATCACCCAGCCCAAACCTGCCCAAACATATTCACGATGCGTAAAGAAGAAAACAACCTCAACCTACTTACCAACAAAGAATAAGGGATCACAAGTGCGACTGAAGACATCAATGTCGCACTCACGGAAATAGCTCACGAAATCGAGAAAAACCAACCCCGAAACCTCAATTCAAGAGCAACGAGGCACATAATTGGTAACAAAGAATTTCGGGAGATTTACACACCGAACAAGTAGGGCTTCGTAACAACGGCAGGAGGTGAAAAGCATGACATAGAAGGATCAGGCAGTACCAACATTTGTACAAAAGACAAAGAAATAAAACTTAAAGTTCTTTACATGCATAGTTTCAAAAAAATCCGATTTCTATGGGCTGTTTGGTACAAACAAAAAAGTTGATTGCATTTTCTAATAACCAATGTTGGATAATGAGTACACAAAACAAAGTAATACTCACAGGTCAGAGAGACAAGATGCATGGATAATACAGAATTATCTGCGTTTCTTCAGCACCAAATAACAACAAAGTATACACCATCAAAACAGCATCTGCAATCGTGATTGACAAAAAACCAAGCTGAATTATGGCATCGAAGGCTTGGTCATTTGAGTTATGACAGCCTCTGACACCTCTCAAAGAAGAGATTAGTTGAAGGTATGCCACTGATTCCTGCAATGAAAAAAATATATGAGCAATGTCTAGTTGAGAAGCAATATCGTGAGAGATTCCCACAAAAAGTCAACCACCAGGACAAAAAGGATTCTATAGTTACTACATGCTGATTTGGTTGGACCTATGAAGACTCCATCGCTGAACAGCTCCAAATTTTGTATCATTTTCACCGACGACTTTTCATGAAGATCTTGGGTATTTTTTATACATGAAAAATCAGAAACACTTCGAGTATTCCATCTGCTAAAACAACTTACAGAAAACGAAACTGGACTAAAACTCAGTGGCTTGCGAATTGACCACGGAGTAGAATTCAAATCCTCTGCATTTCAAAATTATTGTGAGCTGCACGGCATTTAACGGCAGCTGACTCAACCTCATTCTCTAGTCCAAAACGGCATCGCTGAAAGACGAAACCGTATGATCTTTCAGCGGGCATGCAGCATACTTGCAGGCTGTAATCTTCCTGGTTATTTATAGAGAAAAGCTGTTAATATAGCAAATTTATTAATTAATCGGAGCCCAACCATTGCAAACCGAGGAGTCACCCTGTACGAAAGGTACTATAATTCAAAACTGAATGTTAATTTTTTTAAAAGCTTCGATTGCCTTGCCTACGTACATGTGCCAAAAACGGATAGAAGCAAACTTGAAAGCAGGACGAAGAAATGTCTGCTCATGGATTTCGACGAGCAAACAAAACCATATCCTCTGTTTGATCCATCAAATTGAAAAATTATATTGTCTCGAGATATTGTATGCGAGGAATCAAAAATTGGTTATGAGCATGCTACGAAAACTGCAGAAACAAACACAAGTGAACATGCAACTCAACTACACATGAAGATCAACGACCAGACTGCATTTTCAAACCAACAAGCAAAAAATATTCATCATCAAACTGCAGCACCATCACATGAAGATGAATTGCCTCTCACCGAAATTTCCCATTACGAAGATAATTTTGATTCAGGAACTATAGATGCTCCAAAAACAGACAACTCCAGATTCTATAATCTATATCAACGACCTAGCTCAAAAACAAGAATTACAGGGAAAGATGAAATAGAAGAACAAAGATACCCCATTTGAGATTGCAAACCCATTCAAGATGAAATAAAAACTATCACAAAAAATGATACCTGGAATATTGTTGATCTACCGGAAGGAAAAAAGGCCATCACATCTAAATGAATATTCAAGATAAAAATAGAAAACAATCGTAAACCAAACAAGTTGAAAGCATGTCTAGTAGCAAGGGGATTTGAACAAACACAAGTGGACTATTTTGACACTTATGCACTAGTTGTCAGATGGAGCACTATTAGAACAATTTTTACACTTGCAGCACAAAAGAGGTGGAAACTACAACTAAATGTGAAGACTGCATTCTTAAATGGAAAAATAGATGAAGAAGTAAAAATGCATATTCCTCTTGGTTCTCAAAATTCTATATAAGAAGTTAAAGTTTAATGTTATTATATATGATTATTATGCTTCGAATATGTTCTTCAAGGATTGTCATGTATTTGAGGGGTCTTCGGTTTCTGACACAGTCTTTAGGAATTCGTCCTTCACAGCCATCACCAGGAGAGCCTGAGCTTTAAGTTTGTGGATTTTGAACTGCTCTACAGTATATGTCGATGCACCTACGGTTATTGGGAACGATGCTGGTGTCAGTTTTCTCTCCACTGAATCCCACATATTTTCTCTCTTCAACAATGCCTTCATCCTTAACTTCCACACATTATAGTTTGTGGAACCTCCAATTTATTACTCTCACTAATGGTGATCGTTGACGACTGATCACTTGACATGCTGTCGAAATGAAAAAATCTACAGATACTCTCAATTCATGGTGCTGGTAGAATGTCACTAGATTTTTTTACTGTCTACATAGAAACAAAACTAGATGGATTCAGATCTAGGAGCAAAGCTCACTAGCAGGAAGTTAATCCCGCTCTGATACCATGATAAAGAACTACATGATCGAGATAATATATTTTTATTAAGGATTGATTGATTTAAGTACAAGAGAGTAACTGTGTGTCAGTTATGGTGTGCCGCTGGTGGGACTCGAAGAGCCAATCAGCACTCGAAGAGGCAATCGGCACTGGCAGTCAGTCTGCGACTCGTAGAAACGATATTTTACTAGATACTTTTTATTAGGGCGACTATCTTCAAATGAGATTCTATGTGCTTCTATGTGCTTCATCTCGTACACACATAACATCAGATTTTTGCATCGGTTTTTGAGCCTGACTACCACGTCTGAGGGTTTGCTCACGGCTCATGGGATTCAACGCTTTGGTTTCCGTGGTTATTGAGGAATTAATCACATGCCGAATACCATCAGAAAGAAAGACTAGCATGGTGGGCGTTTCGGAGTTTCGGTGGCCAATTGCTTTCAACCGAATTACTTCATGGGAATCAGAAATTAGCTTCCGCGTACCATTGTTCACCGATTAACCAGTTGGTTGCTTTAAACCATCGCAGAATCGTAGGATAATACTACGAGATTTAATCTTGGTTGAAAGCTGGATATAGGTTTACTTGCTATGAAAGCGTGCACGGAATCTACAAACATAGTAAACTTCTGCAGATGGCCCTCAACTCTTGCGACGACGGAACTGGAGGATCCCAAACTGCTCTTTCTGTTTCGAGTCCAATGATCAATCCCCCCACAAAAAGAAATCCAATCCCACTACGCTAACGTCCTTAAATCGCCGAAACTCTTTGACGCCATGCTCAGCGAAAAAAAACAAAAGCACCACGAGTCGACCTTTACAAGTGTCATCCACAAAATGACTGATCCATTTGCCATTCTGAGCCGGCAGGTGCACAAATGGGTACTCATTAAACAACTATTTTGTGAAGTCAGCAAACGGGTCCGACCTAAGTTACCCATCTAGACCTACGAGGTCTACGAGGTCTACGAGGTCATGGACCTATTTTCAGCTCGGATGAGTGGACAGAGGGATCATCTCACCACTGAGTTTTTGATCTGCGCTCGATTTCCATCGCTGGTAGAATCTGTTGCATTAGGGATGCAGAGTCTACTGCCTAGCCTGCAATAAACAACCCAGGAATGCTGCGGAGATTGGTTTTGCTGTTCGGCGACCTCATATGTGCTGCACAGATGCTCTGACGATTGATAGACTTCGCGGCCTGTAATAGTATTACCTCTCCCACGCCTCTGTGAAGTGGGCGTGGGCACGAGTGTTAAATTTGTACGCTAGGGACAAGATGGTGCCCACCCGCAAGCTCCACAGCGGCTCCATGTGACCCAAAGTCAGGTTTATGGTCATTTCCTCGGGATTGACAGTCCTCTGACTCATAATGGGAGGACCCCACTTGAGCGCCTAATTTAAGTACTTCTCCGGTACAATATTAACAAGTGGGAATCTAACTTCAGTTACCTGTTACAGTGCAAAGATTCTCCAAGATAGAAACAGGGTTTCTAGATCTGTTCTAATAGTGGGTCACGTGGGTCATGGATTTTTACTGGAACTGAATGGGTTTGGTCGGCAACTCAGTGACGTAACTTGCGCACTGTGAGTGGTCATTCTACTTTCCTCTATGCTACACATCATGTCCGTAATTGGATACAACACGAAATGGTAAAATATACAAAGGCTCGTCGATTGCTGATCAGTTTCCTGGTACGTGACTCTGCTGATTACCCTAAACCTTAGGTGAGTGAGAGGAATATTCTAAATCGAAAGAAGAAAATCCCCTGCGCGCTTTTTTTTCTTGCACTTGTGGATTGAGCATTGAGCCGTTTGTTCCTGTCATAGACGCCTGCTAACCCTCTGAGTATTGGCCGCGAGAATTCGGACACGGAGGTTGTAGCCCCCGCCCTGAAACTGTAGCATCAGAATTCCTAACATTCTCTTCCCCTGATCCAAAAAGACGGAGGGGAAAAAAAAAACATGATGCCCTTCCCCTCAATCCGAACTTAGGCTCAGAAAAGCGCGTCCGTGCCCGCGAAATCACACTTTTTGCTTTGGGGATTTGAATTCGAACGTGCTATGGCTGCCATTTGGAAGGAGCCATAACAGGGGAGAGTTAGGACCAGTGGGAGTGCTGGGGGTGTGGGGTACGACACAGGCTGAATGAGTTCTTTTGCTGCAAGAGCCATGTGTGAGATGCGAAGGGAAATTCCTGGGCCCCAGCCCACTCCCAGCTTCGTGCGGCTTTTCTTCACTCTTTTTCCCCTCGCAACAAGTTTCCTCGCATTGGAATGAATCCACATCAAATGATTGAACACAAATTCTTGGCCGGCAGCCCCCGGGGGAGCAACAACCAGGAGAAGAAAGAAGAAGTTGGAGAGGCTCAGAAAACAGCGAGCTCAGTCACATGAAACGCCCATGCACCCATCTGAACCATCGTATTCATTTCGAAGCAACAAACCAAAACCCTAAAACATCAACTGTCGACATTAGCATTCTAAACAATGCGGCCAAAAAAAAGAACAAGGTAAATTTCCGTCTTCACCTAGTGCATAGTTTAATATTTGATGTAAACCAGCAAGCATTCGGTACTCTTGAGTTTCATAACATTTTTTTTCAACATATGTATTTTATTACTGGTTGGATCCTTCTTCTTCTCGCATACATCTGTTCAAGTATCGGTCGTATTTATATGGTTGCTTATTTTTCCAACCGATTCCATGAACTGATTGTCAATCTTGACAGTAACCTTACAAGTAACGAAGCTGACGTGAGGAAGAAAACATCGAGGCTCAGCTTGGGGGAGCATGACCCCATTAATGGAAGCTGAGCCAATTGTGCATAGCGACAATGAATGAAAAGGAATGGGAGTGTCAGACGGACGGCAGCAACAGGAATAGCCACAGCACCCTCCTCTACGAGGAGACATACCCTTCCCAGGGCCACGACGACTCCGGGTGGCTGCGGAAAGCTCATCAGTATTAGGGTGACGGAGGAAGCTGACAAGCCTTAGTGCCTCTGCTCTCTGAGGCCTGGCGTTAAGGTCTCGGTACACAGGGCCCAGCTCCCAATGTTCTCTAACTGACGGCCAATGATTCTAAATCCAAATATATATGTAAATATCTGTGTGTGTGTGTGTGTGTAGTGTGTTAGTTTGAAGTTACGAGAAGCGATATTACAGAGCTCATGATGCGAATGAATACCCCCCACTTCAGATTCGATGCTTATTTTTCTTCTTTTTCCTCTTTTCTTCAACCCTATTCAGTTCACAAGTAGTTGATATCCGACGTAATTGAAAACCAATTTAGTGCGACGAAGAATGATGTGTTATCTGAAACTGAAACTTGGATGGGGGCAGCAGAATTCCCCCCCCCCCCCACTTGTGAATTCACAGCCTTAGAGATGACCAGCTTTTGCTATGTGGGAAGTAAGAACAAAATGGCTTTCCCAAACCTGTAGCGCCCATGATAGCAGGAACGGCTATCTTGAGTAAACTACAAGGGAGCTCGGATAAACCTCAGTGGGCGCTTCTTCATGCACAAGAAGTTAAATTTTTCTCAGTGCGGACTTGGAACTTGCCTACATGGAAGAGAAGGTAGCATTCCTCTTCTTGTTCTTCTTATCCAATAGACCATATAAAGAAATGGGACATGGTTGGTGCTACGTCAGACTCCATGCACAGTTGCGGTGAATTCATGTGTGCACTGGAGAAATTTCAGATCTGAACTTTAACGCCGAACGTGCCAGTCATCGTGTCGCCATGGAGGAGTTCATTTTGTATCTAAGATGGCAACACGAGCGGAAAAGAAAAAATGCCGTGGAAACAAAAAGATGAAGAAACAAACTTTTGCGTCTTGCGTCCAATATTAAAACCCGAGAGTGTGTAAGTGGGATTGTGAAAATATAGTTGGTAGATTGATTGCTGGTGTATACGCGTTGGAAAAACCTCCTCCTCTACAGAAAAGCTACTTGCTACAGATGGCTACATCTGATTGCATGCAAACGCTGAAATGGGCTGCAAGAACAAAAAAGCGATGGAACTCATGCAAGGGATCGTCCAGAGCTGAGTTATGGTGGGGCAGGATTACAAAGAAGCAGAAGAAGAGGAAGAAGAAGTTTACGTGGTTGGGTGATGAAAGCAACTCGCCGCAATCTTACCACGCGCCACCCAAAAAGCACAAAATCGTAGTTACTTAGATGGGAAGGGGAATGAGGCGTTGACTGGGGCTGTTGCGATGGGGGCGTGGTGAATGCCAGCATTGCAAGACAGGACAACATACTTTCCATTCTGACGGCGAGGCCGGCTCTACTCCCAACGTCTCACCACTCTCTTCGCTTCATATTCTTTCTGTTGTATTCTCAGATGAACGAAACTGACAACGAGCATGAATGGAATGACAAGGGGCCAGCCTGCCCGGCGCAATAGAGCGAGAGCTGTCTTCGCGCTCCCAACCATCACCTCGCCCAGTGGAGCGAAGGATCGTATAATGAATGAGAGCAACGTGGTGTGGGTGCTTTTCTGGCGACATTGATCACTGTTGCTGCACGTAAACCCATGGATTCCGCACGCGCATCAACGTCGCCATTGCCGTCTGGATGTTATTAGATGATTGCGACGAGGTCGCGTGCTTTCTTTCCTCCCCTCCCTCCCTTCATGCTCTGTCGGCAGGTGAGCTTTAGGAGTTTCGAGGGAGATCTCGAGGATAAAGCGTTGGCTCTTGGTTGTGGATTCGTTTTTTGGTAGCAAGCGGAGGCAAGGGTAGCTGATTGAATCGATGTCGAATGATATTTGTCCACGGAAGTAAGTCTTGTGAGTCCACTCGAGGTCTGTAATGTCAGCATTCTATCTAGATTCAGGGTTGAGGAGAGGGGAGGGGGCTGGCAGGAGTAAGCAGAGAATTTCCTTTCGTAATCATCGCGAGTGTCCTTTTGAAGTTCGATTGTGGTGCGGTGCGCTTGTGATTCGTGGGTATATGGATGCTGGTGACGAGATTGGGAATGCGAGATGCGTGGTGAGGAATATTTGAGATATGGGAAACACAGGTTGCATTGTATTGGATGCTGCGGTACGTGGATTGCAGGTGGGGAAGAGGGAGGGGTGGGTGGATTGAGTGCGATCGGTGTCATCTTAAGGCTGTGCTTCTCTTCACGTCGCAAAGGATCTTCATTTCGTTGAGTATCCTGTAGAGTCCATTTTTCGTGGCCTTGTTGACGCGGTTGGGAGAGTGTGAGTGTCTTGAAGTTCTTTAGAGCTTCCCTCAGCGCCAAGTCGATCACAGATTGAGAATTGTTAGAACGGTTACGCGATTTTCCTTCCGGAGGATCGTATGCTCGGTATAAACAAAATTGGAGATGAGAGAATTCACGCGCATGTCCTCGATCTGGTAGCTCGGATTAGATTCTAAATTTTAAAGTCTTTATTTGGTGAAAAAACGAGGTGTATCAGCTACGTTTAAAATATGAACAACTTTCATAATTCAGTAGGTGTGGCAGGTCTCAATCATACTTAGTCAAGAAATCCTCACGGAAACGGTTAAGGTCTGTATCTCGCAGATGCAGGACTTGTCCAATCTCAGTCTGAGACTGAAGAGTTCAAAGTAGTTATGTCGGGAGGAGTTGTTTTATTTTGTTTTATTTTATTTTTGGAGTAATTGTTTTTGGCATCTGCAGCTCATGCTGGGATTAAAGAGTTGTGCGACTGAACATCCGAGGGGTCGTCTGTTGAATGAGACGCTGTTTTGAAGATCAGTCGTCAGTAGAGGCCAGCGATTCACAGTAATTGAGATTCATAGTAATTGAGATTCATCATTCTCAGCTTAATGTATGAGAGGATCAGGAACACAAAATGCTTGCATTAGGGTGCACAGCGCTTCTTAACTCAAGCGGGGGTTTAGTGCATGGAGAGATTCCTGTTTCTTGAGCAAGCTCGAATTCTTGGCACTAAGTGATTTTTATTGTTGTAGTTTCAATTGTGAGTAAGAGGAATGCAGATTGTCAGGATTATGTCCCCAGTTGCAAACACCCTTTCGTTGCTATTGAGAAGGGTGGCCTCGTGTGGTATGCCCTAGCTCTGTTTGATGGGCATTCTGGGGTAGAAGTTCGGTTGGAGTTATATTTTTTGATTGAACGCTGAGTTGACTAGATCCTCGCTTTTGCAGATCGACCTTTGCAAATGTCCTACATTAAGAAGCATGCTCAGAATTCCATACTATTTGTACCTGGGATGAATGGGAGGCAAGAACAGCAAGGGAGAGGTGGAGAACATTCCCTGCTTTGTTCAGATTAAGGCTGGTTTTGGGAGTTACATTGTGAAGTTTGAACATAGTTCGTTTGGTAGTGTACTGTAGAGACTAGAGTGTGTTAGTTAGATCATGCTGCTCACACACAGAATGGGGGTTATGTAGGTGAAGGTTTTGGTGATGCAATCCGTAGAATTAATGTTCCGCCCCTTTTGAATCAAAGCTAATTCGTTGAGCATTTCTTGTGGCTTGAACTCTAAACAGGTGCCCTATTGTTCAACACCAACCTGGAGTTCTCCGTCTTCAAAGGTCTCGCGGAGTAGATCGCTTCCAATCAAGGCATTCACTAGAAGGCTTAGTCACGATTATGGAGGGTCTTTCAGGGATACGCCTCTGCTCGAGGATACGGACGATTTCGATCACGCTCAAGAGTACCAAAGACTCATCGAACTAGAGAAGTCGAACAAAAAGCAGACGTTTTCTGCAAAATATAATTCAGTTCTCTGCGGAACAGTGAAACAAGAGGCTACACATTGCTGTATCGGATCTCTCCGAGGTTCGAGAGAAGAGGTTCTCTATGAAGACGACGATGAAGAATCTATAGCCAATGAAGACCAGCAACCTTCTAAACCAACAAACTTCAAATCCGATCCTACCTTTTCAAGGGCAGTAGGTTGCAGCAGATTGGAATCTCAGTCTGTCTCATCTCTCGCCGAAATACTGGGCGAATCTGAAGGGTTTGTAGCAGGCGAGGTTGCTTCTGAAATTCCAATCGACTCAGTTTTAGCTCATGACTTGTGCGCCAGCGAGGATTCCGAAGAGCCTGTTGTCGAAGTAAACGAGTGTCCGAGGGTACCATCCCAGCAAGATCTGCTTCTTTCACCTAGGAGCTGTGATTCTAACCACAGCAACTTGCCCATAGCCGCCGAATTTGTTGACATTCCTTTGGATGCTGAGCCAGTGAGTGCTAACAGTGATTTTCACCCGTATGTAGAGTTTCAATGCAACGACAGTGTCTCCGCTGTGTTCGAAGACAATACATTGCTCGAAGTCAAATCACTATTAGTTGAGGACGAAGACCACAGAATATCTACAGCTTTTAATTGTCTTGACACAGCTGAGGTCTGCCATCATGTACCGTCAGACAATTCGTTGATCGAGGCATCCAACCACTCGTCTCGGGCTAATAAACATTCTGGAAAACTCAAGACTTGGAGACGCTTGAAGAGGATTACTATTGAGAAGGGGGAGGATAGTTCTGTAAGCGCTCATCTTGGGTGTGAGGGTGAAGAAAACATGAATGGTAGGGGGAAAGTAAACATATCATTCACCAACCCTGGAAAGCGTTCTGGTTCACAAAGGACCAGTTTTGCGGATACCAGGGATTTGTTTTGGGATCCCTCTTGTGGGAAGAAGATGAAGGATGGGATGGGAGCAGAGGATCTGGTTCCCTCCGACATACAGCCTGATGCTTTTGCATGGGGTTTGGTCGGTCACTCCGACCCTTTCTTGGGCTACGATGCTGCTGGTTTTTTCGCTAAGGTCCCTGTTAGAGGAGACCAAATGAGTGCAACTTACACGAGAAGGTCTCCAGTCAAGAACAGTAAAGGCACAGCCTTAGCTCGAAAAGTGCGTGGACTCAGGGCCTCTCCAAAGCCTGTTTCATCCTTGGAGAGTTGTCTTATGGCTCAGATGGCAGATTCATTTGATCGTAATCGAGTGAAGACCATTTCTCGATCTCTAAATTTCTCCACTTCAATAACTGAGAATGGCGAACTTGAGAAATCGAGGATTGTCGACGGTCCAGCCTTGCCTCGCTGTAGCAACAACGCGGTTGACGACAGCATATCTGTTCATAAGCAGTCTAGTCTACCGAGTCTACCAAATCTCTCAAAATTCTTGAAGGAATATGCTGCAAACCTGGCATCAACTAGCACGGATGAGAGTAGTGCCAACGGCGGCACGAGCAACCCAAGTGCTTCAGATAACGGTCGGACTCTTGGCGCTTCTAACGATGGCAATTGTAAGAAATCTCTCTTGCCTGTTTCAATGCAGAAACGAGAGTTTTATGATTGCACCGGATTTCTGTTAAATGATTCTGAGCTGGAACTCGATAGGTTCAGTTCAGAAGGAAACTCATGAAAACACTTTCAGAAGAGACACCAGGACTGATCTTTTTTCTTCTCGGTTATCCTGAAGAAATCTTCGTTCTAGAACTTGTATTGAGATTCTCTGAGGTTTGAGTAGGGGGAGAAGTGATGGCTACCTTGAATTTGGGATTTGGATGTTGTCATTGGTCTTTTATACTAATGCTATTGCAATCGTTATCAAAAATTTACCTTTGGAGAGGCCTTCTAGTTTCCTAGTCGGAGTTCGGATTCTAGAAGAATTTAAGGCAGATCTTTGGGGTGAAGTTTGTATTAAATAGCACATCAAGTGCTTCAATTGATGCTGCGAATTGACAATTATTTCCTTGTGAGCTGTTTCAACTGATGAGCATATTGCCCTGACATTCAGCTCCCTTCTTCTGCCTTCAGGTTCAACAGTAGCTTCTTTCGAGACTTTGCTATTCAGTTTTGGAGTGGGCCTTGGGGTGTTGTTTGGTTCTGGGTCACTTAAAAGTGAAGTGAAAAGGTTGTCCCAGCTTCTGGAAGAAACACAGGCGAATTTTGAGTCTTTGAAGCTGGAACTTTCGAAAAGAAAAAGTCCTGCAGGCATGAATAGTTCCGACGTAGCCTCCGTAAATGGCCTACAACAGGAAGATGAAATGGCTGATCTCGAAGCCGAGCTGGAAGCTGAACTTGATCAGCTTACTGGGGGTGACTCTGCAACGGTGGACAGTCAATACTCTGCCTATGACGAGGTCCGACTGTTTCTAATTCAAGTCTGATGTTCAAGCTAGACATGTGTGAGCCAGTACTGACATTTAAGAGTACATCCCTGTGACAACTTGATGCAGTATGCAAAATAAATGTAGCAAGAAAGACCTGCGAAGCTATTGTACATACTGCAGATGGAATATTGATTACGTGCTTTGTGGTGATCGTATATGCAGCTGGATACTGATGGCGTTGTGTCAGTGGTTCACGGTGATCTAGCACCAACAGGCCTACCTGCCAGAATAGAAGAAGACTCGGATGAAGATCTATCACCTCCTACACAGGCTGCATGCTTGAACAATTGTGCTGTGTCGCCGCGAGAGCTTACGCGCTTATTGCGCAAATTGCAGGTTTGACTTTGTGCTTGTTATAATTACACATTCTTTAAATCTAATGCTTTGATTTAATTAAGATGTGCTAATACCATGTGCAAGCCTGCCCTGGATACGCTACGACGATTTGAAACTTCTGTTGTCTATTGCGCTTCTTGCTAATGGTTGGAGCCATTGCAATTCAGGCTGCTCGTCAAGACGAATTAATTACTGAGTTAGAAGAGGATCTTAAAGCAGCGCAGTCGAAATTACTAAGTAGGGAGAAGGAGCTTGAGCTGTTAAAGGAAAGATTGAGTTGCTTAACTGAGGCGTCGTTTGCTTCTGCTTTTGGTAATTTCCCTTTTCCTTCTCATGCATGACTCTTGTGGACAGTATCTACAAGCTTGCTTTTTGTCATTTTGCATTTATACCAGTAAATTCACAACTTATCGCTTTAGTAGTACTGTTCTTTTCTAGTATTTCGTGTATCAGTAGCATTAGGTGTTATTTGTAACATATTGAAATTCATGCAAATCGCATCTGACGGGTTCAGATTTGCAGGTGATGAGTGTTTGATTCCTTGTACACCTACTAAGGGTGTGACTCCAGTTGACAGGGTCTCAATAATCAGCGAAGAGGTGTCAGCTGCTCCTAGAAGTGATAACACTTCAGGTTGTCAAGACTGCTCTCAAGATAGTAGGGTGGAAAATGGTGCCTCAGTCAGTGTTACTGCGTCAGAGAAATACTCAGGAGGGCCTGAGTTGCATCTAAATCTGAGACCTGTAAGGCAAGAATTAGTGAAAACAAGTTTGCACTCGGAGTCAACAAAGCAGCAGGTACATTTACATGTTTTAGGTTCTTGAGCCTGTGTTCGCACTGACGATTGTAAATGTAATTGAATTCTACTGATCCTTCAGGAAAACTCAGAAACAATACCGACAAATTTATCTCAGTGTGTTTATGGACAGGAATTGGAAGGCAATGGAAGGAGTTTGAAGGGCAGTGAAATTTCAAAAGAATTGGAAGAGGAAGCTGAACGTGCATCCAATGAGTTTTTGCAATCAATGTTTGAATTTGTAGGGGAAGGGCCATCTCACGCTGAAGTGGCTGCGAGGGATTGCAGACCAATGCTGGGTAATGCTCAGATTATTACGCAGCTAATTGACTCAGTTCATGGTTTGGAGTCATGTGACGATCGTGCAGAGAGTGTAGAGTTGTGCAGTACCACTCCAAATTTTGGTATCTTCTCAAGTTCAGTGTCAATTTCAGACACTTGGGATCATCCTGTAGATTCAGCCACTCCTGAATTGTTTAAAGGTGGAGGCACTAGAGGTGTCTTGTCCTCCCGAACCAAACTTGCGGCATCGCATTCGATCAGGCGGACCACGCGCAACTGTAATTTGGACAATCCGAAGCTCAACAGAAAGTTTGGCAATGAGATTTCTCCCTCTCCAAATGTTGACTACTGTGCAGCGAATATAAAACACACCGAAGGAATGGAATCATCAAAAACCGTGTCTGATATTTCAGATGCAGAGACTGCGAACCTCAGGACTCCTCACTCTGTTAACTACATAGATTCGACAGCAAAGCCTGCCTCTGAGCCTGTAGTCCCTGCTGATGACGATCCTTCGTTCTGGGTTGAGGTCGGCCGGGCAGGACTAACGACCCCTGTCGAAAAGGTCAGACAACAGCTGTTCAAGATGCCTCAAAGTGCTCCAGTGCAGTGGTCAGGGGAGCTGAGCCCCACGGTTCTAGAGAAAATAGCTCGGTGGGAAGGATTAATGGAGGGAGAGACGCCTGGTCCTGCATCAGGGTGCGATTGGGAGTGCCAATCTCGAGCATCAGAGCTAGAGCAGCAATGTGATACGAACTGGTTGTTCGACGGTATCAATGTCTTTAGCGAGGAAAATTTGATGTTGGAGGCTGACGAGATGCTCGAAAGGATGTTGATAAAGCGAATTGTTGAGGAATCTAAGTTTGGCTCTGATTCTCTAGTTCGAAAGGCGCAAACTGCACTTGCTACCTTAGAGAGGGAGGATAGTGTTGAGACAGATATCTGTCATGGGGAAGATGAATATCTTAATGAAAGGACAGATTCCGAGGCAGATTTCTGGGGGGGAGCCTCAGATTCAAAGGAGGAATGGAATGAAGATCAAGAAAATCAGTCAAATACTTTGGATAGTGCAGTGCGTGAGGAGTGCGAATTCTTTAGTAGACTTCAGAGAACGAGCAAGGATAGAAGAGCAATGAAAGTTCTGAGGGAGAAATCCGAGAAAGTGTTAGCTGTTGCTGGAGGAATAGATCTTGATGTGATACCGAATGGCTTGGTTTCGAGAGCACAGCTCTCTACAGGTACTGCGTTTATCACACTTCTTCAGTGATGATTTTAATAGTATTGATCGTCAAATGTATCTTCCTCTCTAACTTGCGCTCTATTCCTTGTTTTGTAGGAGATCAACCTTTTGGATTTACAGATGTCTCCACTGAAGAATGTTCAGATTGGCCAGCTAAAGGGAAATACGTGAAGGCGTTGGTTGCATCCAACAATAGGGTACTTGAAAGTGAGCTCACCTGTGGTGACGCCAAACAATTTGCATACAGACTTGGCTCTCCCGTGAGGCAACGTGGTGGCTATAGAGAAGATGAAGGACGAAGTAGAAGGCGCTTCTGACTGAATCATACAAGTTTTGTTGGTCATGATACTACCGCGAAAGGTCGCGACGCTACTATTATCCTGGACCACGAAGCTCCTGCCTTAGCGTAATGCATGGGTATTATAAACTTTCAAGATCATGACAACCAAGTATACAGAAGATATGGCGGCCCCTGGATTTCAGTACCTGGAAGCAAGCAGCGAGCGTTATAGATTTCTCAAAGAAACGTTTTTCTGTCTGCAGATCTGCTTATATCGTAAAATCGATTTATGCAGGCTTAAAGAAGCGAGCATAATTGCAGTGGCCCACTTTGGCATCCCGCTGATGCACCGCCAATCTCTGACAGCCGCTGAGGATGTTGGCTTTTGAAATGCGGTTGCAGCAATTCCGTCTCTAACTACACCTTTGCATTGTATAGTAAATTTTTTGCTGGATTTGGTTTATCAGGGCACCTGAACTCGATTGGGGCCAGGGGTGAGTGAGTGCACTGTTGACAGGAATTAAACAGCTACTCAGATTTGTACTGTCAATAACATCTGTCATTACACTTAGTAAGCACGTTTCGAGCAACCAGTGACATGGACCAGTAGTTGTTACTACTGCCAACAACAGAGGCTTTGATATTTGTTGCCAACCTGCCAAAAGTGGCTTAGGTCGTCACATTCGTAGGCTTCATATGCTACTGCAGGAAAAAACGTAGTTTTCCTGTATACATGCCGACAGGCCCCAATTGTAATATAATTTTATTCGTTCAACCTGATAATAGATTCATGTGATCTGTTGTAAGAATTTCTTAAATGTCTCTGAAATTCAGACGAATATTCCTCTTCCTTTGATTTGTGAAGGAAACGCTAATGGTTTAAAACTTACAGTCAATGTTCTTCTATTGCATACATGTCTCTTTGGTCATGGTAAAAACTACTACTCATCAAAATCACATTATTTGCTCATTGCCTATATAATTGTTTAAGAATTTAAACTGCATAACTGACATTTGATGCTTGATGATTACACGCTCACTTGTGTTCATCTGACAAAGGTAAAAGGAGTATATGTCACTTTACACTTTTATAGTAATTTATGTAAATTTTTAAATGATTTCTAAATTATTCAAGAATTACAATTTAAACCGTGAAGATGTATTACATAACAATTCAAGTCTAAACCAAGATATAAGTCTTTTAAAGAAGCTCATATATTTATATGTATATAAGACTTTCTTAGAGCACTTTTTGCAAGATGAAAATGTGGCAACTTTGTTACATATTGGTAAAAAAGAGTGATAGTGATGAAGTTATGCATCATCAAAAGTGCTTATGATTTAAGATTCAAAGGTGAGTTGGATCATAAGAAAGTGCAAAATATTCAAAATAAACATGAAATTATTGGAATTTAATTGTGTGTGTGTATATATATATATATATCCACAACAAGTTTTTTTTATATTTTACATGCAGAATAAAATACATGTGTGCAATTTCCACTATAGTTTTGTTTGCAACATGATGGAAATGATGCTAAATAGTGAAATTATAACCTTTGCAACCCTAGATCTTGTAGAAGATAATACCCACACCATGGTGGAGGCAACACACAACAATATGATTCAAGAAGACAAGATCTTGGTTGCCAACATTCCAATTTTGAAATGCAATCTAAAAATCATACTCAAAAGTCTACAAGTGCAATTTATATACATTTTTTTTGTGTTTGTTTATGACTAAGTATTTGCTAAAATTAAATTAAAATCTATTTTTTACAATACAAAACCACTTTTGTGATCTTACTCTCTTTAGTATCTGCTAATTTCTAATACTTGTTTGTGGCATTATTTTATCATAAGACATTTGACATTCCAACATTTAACTAGCAACTGTGCACTTTTGCAATGTAAATGATCATGTTTGGCATTCTGTTTCTACCAAAAGCAGGGATAATACTTACACAAATTTTATAAAATATGCAGAGAACTGTTTTCCACATACAACATTAGTGCCTACATTTCTATGAATTGTATGTTAGTAAATTCGCAAATTAATTTCTATTCAAATAATCAAGACAAATCTTTGTATTGAAATGCATGTGTTTCATTTTTGGTATATGGTCTCAACAATGTTTCTTTATTAGCCATCATCCAAAACATATCCTACATAAAAGAATTTTTAAACTCATTGTTAAAATTATTATAACTTTCTTTGCACGAATTCCTGTTTTATTTAAAATCAACTAAAATCATTGCATTGAGTTGGTAATTTTGAATCTATCAAACTGATCAAAATGCTCTTGCTCAAAATGCATAGTGCCGGAAGTAAAAAAATATTGAATATGATGATAATATTATTAAAAATATACAAGAAAATAGAAGGAGCAATGTGGATATGAAGAGGACTGCATGAAGCAAACATATAATCAACAAGCACTGTTCATCATGTTAAGTTATCTTTAATGTTAAGAGTAGAGTAATTAGCTTATATATATATATATATATATATACATATATATAGGACAATATTTGTTTTATTTTTGCACTTTCAAATATATTGATAGAATAGTATAAATTATTTTTTTTTTCTCTCTCTACCTATATATATATATATATATATATATGAAGGTTTACATTCACCTGCACTATTGTGACATCAATCCTGTATATAATAATCCAGCATGACCCAACAAAGTCCTTTCCAAAGCTGCAGGCATATTAGGGCATCAATTGGAAGTAAAGTCCTAGAACAATGTACTCATAGCTTTTTTCCATGGTGGGTTGCAAATGTGTCATTACAAACAACCTCATGTTCACATGCTAAATATTTTTTAAAAAATAAAAAATTACAATAAATCACACAATAAATATTTTCACTTTACAATTCTCACTTGCATAGCATTAATATATATATATATATATAGTCCTTCAATAGTTTGAGGAATTTGAAAAACCCAATTGCCTTTGTACTTGAATGAACATTATTTGGTAGAGAAGGAAGTAAATACACGAGACTAAAGAAGACCTAAATCGGATTTCATGCTTCCCATACAGCAAAAGTTGCAAGGTGCACAAAATATCCCTCTAAAAATAAATAAGAGTACCCCAAATGAGAGATCATAAAACAATCTGGCGAGCATTAATCTGCTTTTTCGATACGGGCACCCAATAATAGGGCTACGGTCCGTGTGCCCGACGTCTAAAATTCCACTGAGCCGTTGTCGCCGTGAACGACTCCGGCGGAAGCCCTACCGGGGTCTGTATCCAGCTCCTCATTTCAGGGGCCAATCCACGAAGGACATGGAATCAGGCCCTCGGTTAAGACCTCAACGGGAATCCCTACCAGGGTTTGTATTCAGCTCCTCATTCCAGGAGCCAAGTCACAAAGGACATGGAATCAGGCCCTCGGGTAAGACCTCGCGGGGGACCGTGCATGCGGCGGCCGCCATGCCAGAGTTCTTCCCTCGCAGTGCACACAGCCAACATTTCACACACCAGCCTCCTCATTCCGCATTTCTCCGGCGCAATCTGTGAGCTGAGAGAGTCTCAGGAATTCATTCCTAGCTCTCCTTCTTGGCCGTTGCTGCTTTCTTTGCAGCGTCGCAGGTTGTTGTTTCACCATGCTCACCCACATTTGCATTCTCGGCTCGTGCTTGCTGTTTCAGGGTTTTGGGTTTTGGGTTTATGGGTTCCGGAGATGCTTGCTTGCCTGCTTGCGATGGTTTGTTTGCAAGGTGTCGGAGCCGTGGATTCGTTCCCGGGGTGAAATGCGTTGGGAGAGCGTTGGTGTGGAGTATGTCGATGGAGGTGTCTGTTGTGGCGAGTGTTGGAACCTTTTTTGAGGGTTTTAAGTGGGAGTTAATAGGGTGCCTTTCTTGGCCTTGGGTTCGGACCGTGTTTTTGTGTTTGTTGTCGGTTATATATTTTTTTTGTTTTATCGTGGATGTGAATTGCGTTTGAGGCCGTCTCGAGCCTTTTTGAGTGCCTTTGGGTACCTTTCCCTGTGTTCCTACCTTCTGTAGTGACTCTTAGGTCTTATAGCTTTCGCCTCTGAGCCTATGTCCAGTGCACCTTGTCATGTACTTGGTATCTGTCTAAAGTTAGGGTTTATGAGTGCTTGGGGTTCCGGCTGTGGCTAGGCGCCATCTGCAATGTGTTCTGAACTCAGTGAGACTTTATTTTCAAAGAAATATTATAGCCTGTTGCCTTGTAAATGAAACATTTTGTCCAGGATACTTACTCACCTTTGCTGTGTGCTTCTAGCAGGTCATTCGGGAAGTAAATTTGGAAGATCTTCCCAAATTCTATAATGGGCAAGAAATCGAAGACCGCTGAGGTGGGTTCTGACATTTACAACTAAGCTGACGCTACTTATGTTCTCACTATTGCGGCAAGTTTTAGGACTTGACGTTTTTATTCATTGTAAAAGAACCCCGTATTATTCACTGCTAATTTTTCAGCATTGATGTTTTTCCAGTCGCTGACAGTTCCCAAATTTGTGTCTTGCGTCGCAGGTGGCTGCCCCCGTCGTGGCTAAAGTAGAGAAAAAATCAGGTTCGAAGACTGAATGCTCTCGTGCTACTAAGCCTGTCTTCGATAATTTCAACTTCACTCTGTCTATGCCCAAGGTACTTGTTCAGGCGAAGTATTTCTGACCTTGCAGCCTTGTCTCTTGCAGGGAAGAGGGCTTTGGAAGAGGCCATAGCTGCCCCCGTGTCTAAGAAATCAAAGCCCGAGAAAAAGGTCGTACCACCACCCAAGAAGGTGGAGTCTTCATCAGAGGAGTCCGACTCCGATGAAGAAGAGGTAGCCATAATAACCCCTTGGTGATCACTTTCGCTGTGTGATTATTTTCCTCGTCTGCTACCGATATTGGCTGGTTCTTACCCATGTACGCTCCTGCTTGTCCTCAGGCCCCTAAGCCTGCGGTTAAAGCTGCTCCAAAAGCAGTTGCCAAAGCAGCTCCTGCCAAGAAAGCGCCTGTGGAAAGCAGCAGCGAGGAGGAATCATCCGATGAAGAGGTATCTTACATGATTAGGCTTTGTCTGCTGCCCAGTGGTGAACCAATGTTTCTACTCTTATGTTTCTGCTTAATAATTTTGAATCGATTAATATGCTTTTGTGCCTTTCAGCCTCTATAACCGTCACTACTCTCTTCTCAGGATGTCAAACCTGTTGTCAAGGCCGCGGCGAAGGCTGTGAAGGCGCCAGCAAAGAAGGAGGAGAGCAGCTCGGAGGAAGATGACTCGTCTGACGAGGTATTTCCCCCCGCGTTAAAACTTCAATCAGAATTTAAGATTATCACTCATCGATGGAGACTTCTAGACTGGTCTTTAGTGAACATAACTGAATTCTTCTTTCCGATAATTTCAGGAGATGGTTCCTGTCCAAGTCGCGCCAGTTAAGAACGGAAAGGTGGCTGCCAAAGCACCTGTTGAAGAAAGCTCAGACGAGGAGGATAGCGATGACGACAGCGATGAGGAAGTGAAGGTATTTCTTGTCTCTTGTTGTCCACGGTCTCGTGATTGTTTTTAGATATGCGGTACAAGTTGGCCCTGCGAGGAAAAGAAACTAAGACCACTTTTGCGTATGCAGCCTGCAGCGAAGTCTGTTACCCCTGCCAAGAAACCAGCTAAGAAAGAGGAGAGTAGTTCTGAGGAGGAGTCTGATGAGGATAGCGAGATGGAGGATGTGGTGGGATAATATTCTAAATTTCATAGATTAGTTCATATTTCAAGATGTTAAGTGGTGCTATTGGGATTGTTCAATGGATCTTTAGGACTGAATGAATAGTTTCTTTCCTGATCATTCAAATGCCTGGGTATAGTGCACGTAATCTATATATACTCCCATGAAATGCTAATTTCTATTTGACTCTTCATGCTCTAGACAAATTGTCGTGTGGCTGATCGGGCAAGCCGTGTATTTATTTACAGAAACCGCAAAAGGTTGTTGCAAAGCCTCCAGCGAAGAAGGTAGAAAGTAGCTCTGAGGAATCTGACGAGGATGAGGACAGCGAAGACGAAAAGGTATACATTGATCACTACATCAAGTTTCATATTTGGTTTGATCTTTTTTTTTTTATTCCTACTGTGTAGTCGATTCTTAAACTGTAACCCCCCCCTCCCCGTCCTTCCCCACATTGAGGTCGGTTGGTTTTGGAGCACTCCGTTCTCATTTCGCACTTCACTTATCGGTACTGAATTTTGCTTAGCGATATGTTGCCTTGGATTGTGGTCGTTTCGATAGGTTGTACAATCATTCTGGTAACTGTGTGGACCTGAAATTAATTGCCCGTCTCTTTGAATTCTGTGCACAACTGAAAACGATGTTTACCTTCAATCCAAGACCATTAAACTGTTTTCGTTGCCTGGTTTCTGTCCAGCCCGCTGCCAAGAACGGCACACCTGCTAAAGTAGCGGCGAAGAAGACTGATGAATCTTCTTCTGAAGAAGAGGATAGTGGCGATGAGAGTGAGGAGGAAGTTAAGGTGAGTGTGGATTTCATGACTAACCACTTGATCACTTTGCGTGAGTAGTTTTTCTGTAATGAACGATTCATATAATACTCTGTTGTTGACTCCTGTTTTTATGTCTGACTTAGAAAAATAGTATTTGAAGCTGACGTCTCTGTCCCAACATTCTTATTATCGTGCAGCATCAGAATGGGAAGGCCGCGAAAAAGCCAGCAGCTAAAGAAGAAAGCTCTGAAGAGGAGGAGTCAGAGGAGGAGAAAGTAGAGGTATGTCTAAAAGCTGGTTGGAACGTTTTTTTCCCTTAAGATTCCGCTGTATGATTTCTCCCAGAGTCTTCTAATTTCGTTCTTTGTTCCTTTCTGTAGGTTAAAACTCCAGCGAAGGCTCCAACTACTCCATCTGCTGGTGGTAGCAAAACTATTTTTGTGAAAAATCTAGCGTGGGGAGTGGTTCAAGACACTTTGTAAGTACCTTATTCTGTCTCCATTGGTTATCAGTTCTTTGAAGATAAATCCAATGCGATGCGTAATTTCTTTTGTATCTGGCCATTGATAATATGACTTTGTTTTTGGCAGGTACGAGTTTTTCGCAGATGCTGGTACTGTGGCCGATGTCCGAATTGCTAAGGACGAGGAAGGCAATTCCAGAGGGTTTGGCCATGTCGAGTTTGAAACTGCCGAGGCTGCTCAGAAGGCTTTGTCGAAGAGCGGACAAACTGTGGAAGGGAGAGAGATTTGGTGTGACTTGGCTCGTGAGCGTGGAGCTGCCACACCTGGAGGCGGCAAGGACTGGAGCCAAACGTATGCCTTTTATTTTTCTGTAATGTGAAGTGTCCTCGCAATTTACAGCTGAAACCTGTGATTGTTCTGAATTTGTCTTCAATATCAGGTATGTGCTCATCCCGGGTTATTGCACTTAAGATCTGACGTGTGTTTGTGTGTGAAGGCCAAATGGAGGAACCCCTGGAGGAAGGACTGGCGGAGACAAGACTGCTTTCGTCCGAGGCTTTGACAAGTTTCAAGATGAGGACACGGTACGATTTCTAAAGTTGAAGTTGTTTGCAATTCATGCAGTAATCTATTCCGGTTTTTCTTCGTCCTAATCCTCATATTGATTACTAATTAAATTGATGTTTGTATGCAGATCCGAAGTAACTTGACGGAATTTTTCGGTGAATGCGGCAATGTAGTGAACGTTCGCATCCCCACTGACAGGGAGACTGGACAAATTAAGGGGTATGTGCCTGAGATAATTGGGTTCTCACATCTGTCGGTGTTGAACCTCTCAAAGTTTCCCTCATAGAAGAGATTATCAGCTGTGGAAGCTAACTGTTGATTTTGATTACTATACAGGTTTGCTTATGTAGAGTTTGGAAGCAAGGATGAGATGACCAAAGCGTTTGAACTAGATGGGTCCGACTTCAATGGCCGCAGCCTTGTTGTTAACGAGGCCAGCAGCGGTGGTGGTGGTGGTGGTTTTGGAGGTGGTTTCGGTGGTGGTCGGAGTGGCGGACGTGGAGGCGACAGGGGTGGTCGTGGTGGTCGCGGTGGTCGTGGAGGTGACAGAGGAGGTATGTATAGTACCCCTTTCACGCCGAGTGCTGACTTCCTTGTCTTGAACGAAAGGGTCAAACTCCCTCACTGTCCGAATGTTGAAATTGTGCTGATTTGTTTTTCTTACGGGTCTGTACACAGGATTTGGGGGTAGAAGTGGAGGCCGAGGTGACAGGGGAGGCCGCAGCGGTGGACGTGGAGGACGCGGGGGTAGATCATCTGCCCCCATGGTTGGCACGGGAAAGAAGATGACATTCGATGATTAGAGAAGTCTCCTACAGAAGATTATGATCTTCGTTTTCGATTGAGTTTTGTGTAGTTCCCGGTTCGTTTCAACAGGAAATACATAGAGAAATGTATCTGCTGGCGGCTTAGAGAGAGCTGATTTAGGCGTGAGTAATTTTTTCGTACGTTTTTTATTTGCTACGGAGCTGGAAATTCAGGGGTAGTCCTTGGGCCGTGTTGATCACGCCATTTAGTAAAGATGCTGGTGGTGGCTATAGGTTAGCTCTCGGACATGAAAATTACCTTCCCATACACAGATCAAATTGTTGACTACGTTTTTCTTTTCTTGCCTGAAGCTACTCCCCTACTTGTACGTCACGACTAATTTGCATTATGTAAGCCTCAATTTACGGATTTTTCACTACTTTAAATAAAGTATTCATTTTGGAAGATAGATTTAATTTCCAGCATTTTATTCACCGTTCATTTGAATGATACATACTTTCGTTCAAGCATATTCAATCAGTGTGTTAAGATTGTCTTCTCAACATAGATTTAGACATGGGAAATGCCACAATATGATGAGCATGTTCTGCAGAACCCAGTCTTTCAATAGATTTTCATTCCCAGACGCCAATCGGTGACTGCGAGACAGGTGCCTACGCTGTACAGAATTTGCCGCTTGATGGCGAACGAATGCAATTCAGTAGAGGACTTTTAATTTTATGTACTGGTTGTAGTCTGGTTACAAGCGGGAAATAGATTAAAGAGGAAGCAATCAGATTACAAGCGGGAACCCAGCTCTCTCGAGATAAGGTACGAATTGGGTGATGTGGGACCTGCTCTGTATTCCCTATGATTGATTGTTCGTTTGCTAGGTAGACTACTTTCACTGATTAAGGGATTGTCAGGGAAGGGGAGCAGTGTGTGGACAGCTGAATTTTCAACAACTTCTGTAGTAGATCCTTTCTTATTAGGAGTAATTGACTTTAAGCATTGCATGGGTGCACACATTAGCCCTGCCTGCTTTGCACAAGGTAAAGCAGGCAGCAGAATGCCTCCATCATGATCGATCTCTGACCACGTGGACCAAGCCTATGCGGCACTCTGTCGTCGTGACCTGGCGAATAGAATTTTTCCTCTATTATGAGTTGTATTGTCTTCTATAGCGTTAAGGTCTGTCAGCGAATCCTTAGTTTACTAATGGAGCTTAACAGCCGACTCTTGTTGATCGCATGATACAACCGCCTTGTTTGTTCTATTTAGTGCCTGGACATGCTGAGTTACAAAGGGGCCGCACTCAGCAGAATGCAGGATTCAAGGAAATCGAGGAAAAGAAACCAAAAGCGGATCTACAGAATCGATCGAATTCCTTATAATTCCGCAGCAATCAGTAAAGGCAAGTCAAGCCCACCATACAGCTGCAGTAGAATTGCACAGGACCACCAATTATTGTGGGACCTTAAACCGGGGAACATGGCTGCAACGGTAATTGGCCTTGTGAAGATCAAAGTGAGAGTGCTTGAAGTGTTGAAGCTTGTGCAGTGGACTCAGGCTCATCGTCTATGGTGGCTTTCAAGCTTCGGCATTGCGTCAGTAAGGAGTTCATCCTCAGAAGCCAGTTCGCTGGAACGAAATGCCGACCATGCTTGATTGCTCGCTTGATTGATCATGTTTCCATGGTGATGGCGATGAATTGTTTTGAAGGAAGTCTGCAATTTTGCTCCCTGTATGTGTGTGGCAGAGAAGCAGGGTCTGTGTTAGAGGATTGAAGCTCGTAGTGCATATCACTTGTTGCTGCAGCCATGGCTGAGCCAGTGATTGTGGTTCCGAGGAAGGGTGTCTACAGCGATGACAGTTACCATCACCATCACAGACACCACTCGTTTCACAGCTGCACCAACTTCCTTCTCCGGACTTTGACTGCTGGTGCGACTGCCGCTGCAGTTGTCGTCATGCTCATTTCCACGCAGACCTCGGGGACCATCTATGGCTATTTCAGGGGTCGTTGGAGAGATTACCCTGCCTACAAGTAAGCGTTGCTTCTATTTTAGCTAATTTTTGTATCTATTCTTGTGTCTGGTTTTAATGTAGCGTGTGAGCTTATGGTGTTGGGGGTCTCCTCAAGTGTGACGGAGGCTTGAGAATGTGATGCAGGTGGCTTATCATTGCGAACGCTGTGGTATTTGTGTACTCTGTAATGGCGGCCATTGTGGCGTGCTTTTCGGTGATCGCACGGAGAGGGCCTCTCAGCTACTCGCCAAGCGCATGGCTGACACTCCTAGTTGACTTCGTAAGTGAAGCCTTGCTTCTCATTTCTCCGTGCAGGCTCCACACTGTGTAAACAGAAGCGAATAGTACTTGAAGTCGGACTTTCTGAATTAGGAACATTTGCCTCTTGTGCAGCTTGCAGCGTCTGCGTTGATATCTGCGGCGTCAGCAGCGCTGGCGGTCGCTTTGCTAGCAAGGAATGGCCAAGACTTGCAAGGAACGCATTACTGGCCCACGGTCTGCAACTATGTGTCAAAGTTCTGCGACTACACGCAAGGCGCCATCATCGCCAGCTTCGTCGGCTTCGGATTGCTGTTCCTGTCCACTCTCTTAGCCGCCTCTGCTCTCTACCACCTCTCCCATCGACGACATTGAAGAGGAGCCCGAGTGTCTGAGCTCATAATCTCATTTCTGCAGATTGCAACATGAGCACGTAGTCTCTTTGTAATATATGTGCAGCTTTAGCTATTTGCCTAGTTGTAAGTGGACTACGTCCTAGACAAGCCAGCTCTTCTCTACACATGACAGATTACTGCACTGTGTCAAATCAAGATGAATCAATAAATAAACTAGAATCCTTTTTGCTTTTGAGGTCTGAATTGAATTGTAGCTTTGAACTTCCGCTAGTGTCTGAAGAAATCTGTATTTATTGATTGAATGGTTCCCATTCTACATTTTTCTTGCTCTCTGATCGCACATTGGGTTACGAGGTCCTAGTCCCCTTCAAGTCCACAGCATTGCTGTTGCCTTCCCATGTCCAATTCACTGCCACGTAGTCACTAAGCCCATAATGCATTTGTTGCGAGGTGGGTTGGAGTGGGTCGTTTTCAGGTGGACATGGCGCTTTTCTACAGCGATATTTGCAGTACAATGTCATGTTTTTGAGTATAAGATCCTGATTTGTAACCCCGCAAGGTGATCCATGTGTATGCATTGGTGTTCTGGGTCATGGAAACAATGCTAAGACATAGGGACATGGCCCATTCCGACTCCAACCAAAGTCGGTGTACGCCAAAGCTAAGTAATTATCAGAAGAGAAGTGGCAAAGGCGAGGCAGACGGACTCTCTTTTATGCATCACATTAGACAAAGTTATTCTTCAGAGATTCGGAGAAACTTCTGCGTACGAAATTTAATGGCATTTTTCTGGGGTGCGTATTCATGAAGATCGGATAGACAAAGCAGACACAAAGAATCTCATGCAATGCACGACCATGGAGGGATATTTGAAGTATCATGTAGTTGAGTTTTAGAAGACCATCAATCACAAGTTTCCTGTGTGTGCACTTGCAACCAATTGTCACGTCGACTCGTCGACGTCCATTATAGACGTTGATAGTGTGCTGAGTATGTTAAATTTAAGTTTAAGAGGGTTACCTCAGAAGGTGCTTTAATCTGTCCATTCAAATCGTCGTGTCTTTCTGGGGTTGTTTGCGTTTCAGGGTATTTTATTCTTTACGAAACAAGCAAGAGAGCTGTTGATCGCTATTCATCAGATCGATCCAGCAAACCATATCTGTGTCCAGTACATTTTTGTGTCCACAAATCGGATCAACGTGGTTTCTGCTGCACGCTGCTTCATTGTTGATGAGACTATATCTCCTGAAGACGAAGAAGTAGAATAAAATCTGTTGTGATGGGCAGACCATGCATCGCATGTTCATCATAAATGCAGGTAGCGGAATTAGACTAATCTGAAACTCTACTGGGGGATTTTGGATGCAATTACCAATCGAGGCTTCTGGATATAATTGATCCAGTTTAACTTCATTAGAACTTGTGGTGATGAAGCCAGGCAATCATTCATTTATGACAATGATCAAGACAGGAATTTCGAGCAATATATATATATATATATATATATATACATATATTTGTTTCTTTGTCTCATGATTTTTTGAAATTATGCACACATCTATCACCAAGTCTCACTTAATGCACATGCAACTTCCTGTTGGTCAACTCCAAGACTTTTTAGGCGGGCACTGCCAGTTGGAAAGATTCAAATATAATTCAGGTGCGATAGTCGAGAGTATTCGATTTTCTCAACACTGTGATGTTGACAAGCAACACTCGACTCAATTCTCTTTGATGATTCTCATGAGGTGTCATATGTTTTAGGCAATCCAGGAAGTAAACGCCAAGTCTGCAACCAGACTTGTGCCCATCGTCAATAATAAACTAGATAAGCACATATTTGTTTTTCTTGTTAACATCAGATTTTTTATAAGATTATTACATCAATATATTTTTATTTTTGAAAAAATAAAATGTGAAAATAATTTTAAATAATAAAGATAAAATATTCACATTGTGTCAAAATAAATTTGTAACATTCTAAAAGAAGGACTTTAAAATTACATTATCTCTAGTCTAATTCAAAAAAAATAATAATAATTTCTTCATTCAATTGAAAACATTTCTTTCTTAAATTTTTACCAGTTTTAATATATTTGTGATAAAAAAAACATGAAAATTTGTTATTTATGGACTAATCTAAGAGTAGACGAAAGTCATTGCATGAAATTTTTGATAATATATTGAATATATATAATATAATATCTTGTTTTTATTTAAATAAAAGTAGTAAAGAAAAAAAACCAAATGAATGAACATGTTATATTATCTCACTCCACATACAATATTTCTTTTAAATACATAATTTATCTTGCCATTTCCATAAACTATTGTAAATGGTCTTTATAAGATACAAGTACCTACTACAAGTTTACACTTTTTACTTATTAATTAATATTCAATCAATAAAGTCTAATACCATATATTCATAAACACATATATTCATACATATAGTAATAATCATAATTAAGTATGAATTCAATTTGATCTAATTCAAAAACCAATGTAAATAAAATACATGTATTAAAAATGATACCATAAATTAGAAAAGATAGTTTTTACAATGGCATATATTTGCTAATGTTTTAAGTCAATTATATATAGTATAATAAAAAAATATGTAAATATAAATATAGGTCTAAAACTTACATATGATTATAATATTTTAAATAAATCTAATATTCTATCTATATATTATTAGTCCTAATTACAACTCTAATAAGCTTTTGCATGCTTCTATATAATCTCTTACATTTATAATAAGTAATTAAAGTCCAAAAATCTCTAATATAAGTCCATATTTTTAGCATTTCTATTAGAGAGGTCTTATGTTCTTACAAATGTTCAATTAAATTGAGATTCAGAGATTCTGCCAACTACTTGAGAAGAGAAATTTTTTGTGATTTCAATCACAAACTCATAAGTTTGGATGTATAATTTGAATCATTATTATAGTGGATAAGCATATTTTTAAAATTCAAAGTATATGCATACAATATATAAATCAATATATACTCTAAAATCTCCTTTTTAATGTATCAATCTACTATTCTCACAATTTTGCACATTATTTAAGGGCTCTCTATAGTCATATTACCCTACATTCATCTACATCCAAACTTCAGTCTCATGTATTGTTCTAGCACTTAAAGACTTTTAATCACAAATCTAGTACAAATTACAACTATTAAAGTAAAATTGATTTACTTTTCTTTTATCAAAGAACACAACATGTGCCTAATCATCATTTGACTAATGTTTATAAATTTTTTTAAATTCTAATCTTTACTTTATTGGATTAGGTGTAAACTTTAGATACTTTTAATTAATTTTGGATTTCAAACAATGGAATTAAACATAGGAATATAAGCCTTATTTCTTATATACATGCCTACTTTGGATGTTGTCTCAAATCACTAATACTAATTACTTATTTAAGTACTTTCCAATTTCCTACAATAAATACTCTTGATTTACCACAACATTGTGATTTATGTCATTTAACTCATACAAATATTGCTTACAAATTTGTAAAAAAAAACTTCAAAATACTTGCTAATCTCATGCAATCTTTTTAGTACTCTCACCTCTCTTTAGCCTTACTAGAATACTAGCTTTTATCTATTGGCTTTTAGCTTAAAAGACATATCATAATGAAGCCATTTTGCCATAGTATGCACTAGTGATGTGTAAAATTACAAATCTATAGGTTGCTACCATATCCATGCTCTCAACCAAGCTCAAAAAACCACTTGTAAATATTAGATTTGTTGTTTAGATTACATTGATACCTTGCAATCCAAATATGAGCAAAACTAAGTTTGAACGGTAAATGATTTCATCCACATGTTTCATTCTACCATTTGCATTGCTTGAATTTGTACTTACACATTGGCTCATTTTAGAAGCTAATTCTCTTTCAAATTTGATTTTTACTACAATTCGTTAATCAGATTTTTTTGTGAAAATTGATTTCATACTTAATTATGACTGTCACTGAATACCCTACAGCTATGAATGCAAGGCATAATGTAAGAAACACTTGACTGGGACCCTATTCAGTTTTATTGAAGATGAGCATTCCATGAAATGTGAAGTAGCAATGGAACCAGAGCCTTGACACCCGCACCTGAATTGTATAGTTACTCATCGATTACTGACTTGTGTGGGGATCTCCATGAACTGCCAACTCACATGGTGAAACTGCTGCCAGTATAAGAAGAAGCAAATCCTCGTAATTCTCTGAGGCAGTTTCGGCCACTGTGAAAGCACAGAACACTGGCTGCATTTTGTTCTGGTGGGTCGAAGCTCCCAGACCTGCATTCAGGATGGTAACTCAAACCAGGCTGAGGTTGCATGCAGCTAACTCCGTCGATCGCCATGGACATATCAAACATCCACTCAGAATCAGAAGAATCACACTTGAAGTTGAGATCTTGTGAGCCATGCAGTGGAGGACCTTCATGGCAAGGTTGCCGTTGGCATGACGAGCAAGCCTGAGGACAAGCACATCATCATCCTTCTCAACATCAACGTCCCGAACTTCATCTTAGTAGACAAGATTACGACAGTTCGCACAAGTTTCTGTGCAGAGCCTCAGCTGACCTTCAGGTTTGGGGACATGTTGACAAGTTCATGATGTTCGAGTGAGTTCCTTATGGTCATGAACGTGCTCTGAATGGAATTGCTAACCTTGGAAGTTATTTGGCACGAAATTTTGAGAGACTTTTGAGAACAATGGGAACTGCTCTCATGCGGAAGCAGTATCTCTCATGTACCGGAATGTTGGTGGGTAATGTTCACAACATCGTCATCTCAGGCGAATGAGGAGGTCAGGGGAAGATGAATATCCTGGTTGCGCAACGGTTTCTCCACATCGTCTGAAAGCTCTGCACATTCGCATTGCGAATTCGTCTCCACTGCTCACTGCTTTACACAGACTCATCTTCTTCTCCACACTTTCGCCCTAATTTGTGGCCATAACCAACTCACTCATGGCTGCATGTTTTGCAATGACCGGATCCCTGCATGTCTATCGGTGTGTACACAAGCTGAACGACTCATACAGCGATGTCGCAATCATCGTTGAGCCAGATCATTGCAACTCACACGTCCGGACATGTCTGCGGAACTTGACTTTGCCTCTTGTTCCTTGTCCTTTACTTCGGTGTTGCAGCAGCAATTATACCCTATTTTCGTTATGCAAGTAAATTCCCCACGTACATTTTGCATTGATGCCTGTTTCTTCGCTCAGCAGTTGCATTTCCACGACGTGGTGCATGGTGTGCTGTTGGGGTCGCTTCTTAAGTCTTCTGTCATAAAATCTGCTATAGAAAACATCAATGTCTAACTTCACCTGGGGACATTCTCAACAACTATGCAAGGGGTGGAGAGATAACGGGGTGGGAATTGGACCACAGGCAGTACAATCTCAAAATTATATAAAAGGCTGAAATGCAGAATTGACGAACACGACATCCACAGCAGCAGTAATGAATCCAATCATCATCAACTCTGCTTCGCCGCTGGATCGCCCATGAAACTATCCTTCAAACCGCCTGTCCAACCAGCCGACGAAAGAGAGTTTCACAACTTTATGCCCCACCTAAATGATCATCGCCGTATATTGCTGCCGTGAAGGAGTCCAAGCTACTGGTGTGTGCATGCCCGTAGCAGTTGAAAATGCGACGCACTTCTCCTCAGGTTCCCTAACTTCCTCTATCCTCCTTCCTGCTCTCCCGAACGGAAGACAAGTCCAGACTAAAACGGTTTCAAATCTTAAACACAACTAGGGCAAGCGCAAGCGAGGGTGCGATGGGTAAGTTCCGACAGCAGGCATGTGAAATTAGAAAATTTATGTGGAAGAGATGTGCTAAGTGGATCCCGCAATGGAGTGCAGACTCATGGCGGCAGCAGAGGATCAGCGAGGGAGAAGGGCAATGCTAGCGACGTGTGGGACGTGGTGTCCACATTGGCGGATGCGCTGATGGACGCGCGAGACCAGCTGGTGACACTCATGAACAGCTCCCCGAGCTATGCATCGCGGAAAAGTGGCGGATCCGCTTATCGCAACCCCACACGAGAATGCTTGCGACACCCAGGCCATGGCACTTGGGTACGCAATGTCCATCACGGGCACACTCATGGTCCTGTCGCATTCAGATCCAGCTCAGAATGTCGCTTGAACCCCATGTCAGCGGGTGAGAGCCCTCCTTGTCATGCTTTTGCAGAGATAATCGCATCTCCAGGGAGAAGCCCCAGCACACGTTGCGCTCATCCGCTGCACAAAATGGACTCTAGGAGGAAAATCTCGCCCCCCTGTTACCAGCCCCAGTTGCCAACCACAGGCAGGGAGTCGACGTGCGACATGCTCAGCGGCAGGGACGAAGACAATGAGAGCATCAACATAGCACGAGCATGCAGCGCGAATGCCAATAGGCGAGCTCTCTGGCCACAGCAGAGGCGCCATTGTGTGGGAACACAGTACGCCACTCTTCTGACACAGGAAACATTGCAGATGCAAGAGCGTCGCCTGGCGGGGGCGAATTGCAGGGGTGGGAAGCCTGCATGGAGCTGACCCTTCACCACGACCCTCTCCTCAAGTTGATCAACTTACATCCGTTTTCTCCGTTTCACGCAACTCTGACCTTCGGCGGACTTGTGATTAACGAGTCTGCATTGATTCTCTGTCAATCTAGTTACACGAATTCGCAATCTGATCCGCCCAACGTCGCCGCATCCAACAACAAATCGATGACGCCGCGTGAGTGGTTGTGGTCGCGACTGCCATTCGATGAAGACGGGCAACCACATCTCAGTGTCCAGTGCCACTGCCCCCAACCTAGTTGTCCACGTCAGCAATAATAGGTGTTTACTGCCCACATCAGCACTGGAAAAGAGGATAAAGTGGGCTTTTCTCTTTTTGTGATGGAAGAGACCCAGATTGCCATTTGTCTTTGGTTGAGCATGTCCATGTGTACCTTGTTGCTGAAATACAACACAAACTTCATGTCCCATTTTTCAACACCTCCATGCAAATCACGCCTGGAATTGCTCATTAGAATCAACAGAAAGTTGCCATGCGTTCAGGAAAAGGAGGAGTGTTCGTATGTTGAGGATTAATTCCCAGCTAAATTTTCCTCCCTGACTGAGCTTTGAGTATTACATTTGTAGTTGTGTGCTTTACTTACTGATAGTTGTTCTACTTCATTTAATGTTCTTCGAAGTAGTGGACGTGAAATTAGTGTGAGTCAACAATTAGGCCTTAACCCAACCAAAAGCTCTGGGTTTCATTTATTGGTTGGAAGAGGTTAACAGCAAAGGATCATCTCTGAAACTTCTTTGTTGGCGGTCTATGACTCTGGCATAAATACCAACAAATCAATAAGTCGTATGTAAATAATTCATTTTGGTAAGTCGCTCTTGATAAAAACAAAGCTTTAACATCTACGATGATTTGATGTAATAAGGTGGATGAGTGCCATCTATTCTCACCTACTCACTGAAGGGCTTTTATGCAGAGCTTGTATAAACATGAAAAATATCAATTCAAGTGAGTTGCATATTATTGGGTGGTTGATAGTGAAATAAAAATGAAAGTCATTTTTATAGGAAGACAGCACCAATTACTGTTAAAAAAAGGTGGATTCGATTCTTGATAGTCCTAACAGAACTACGCTTTTTTTTCTTTTTTTTTTCTTTTAAAAAAAAAATGCATGGTAATATCTGATAATATCGTTGATTGAATTGTAATGGTAACTACTTACCTCAATTAAACATACATTTACACACACACATACATATACACATACACACATACACATACACACATATATATATACTTATACATACATACACATACACACATATATATATACTTATACATACATACACATACATACATACATACCAACTTCAGAAACACAGTACTAGAAGTTGCATTTTATGGGATGCTTTGTTCATGACCAAAATAATGTTCTGTCTTGAAACAAAACACATTGAGAATATACAAGTACGCAAGCATGTGTATATAGAAAATCCACAGATAGGCTTGACTTGGCTCTGCTCAGAGCTCATGAACAAACGGCACATTACAGTTCTAATTTTACAATTTATCAAATTAGTGTTTATATATATAACCAGCTCCAATTTTAAAAAGTTCAAATCTATCAATTCAATTTTATTAGCGAATTGTGATGAGCTAACGCACTACAGAACTTTCTGTAACCTTTATCTGAAAAGTAGAAAAATTAGGATACGATCAGTTTTTTGATTATTCTTCAAATAGGTGCTATAGAAATGACAAACATAAAATTTGAAAATACAATAAACGTGATTGGTTGAAGGCAAAACTTATCTTGTGTGATTTTGCAATGAAGATGGTGGGTTGTGAACAAAGACTTGTAAATGAATGACATATTGACAAGACCACCCACATATCAACTTGACCACATTCATCCAACTTCTATTTTTTCTTCTTCTTCCTCTTCAACCTCCTCGTTCCTTCTTTATTTCTTTTCATTCTTTTCTGACATAGTTTAAAATTACAGTGACAATAGTTTCAAATAATTAATAGACTACAATCTGATGAGTACATATTTGTATATAAACCAAGTATCTTGCATATCAATTTATACCCAGAACATAATCGCAACAGAACCACAGATTCAGAATCTACAATTGGGCAATGTTTTTTTGTTTTGTTTGTTAATATTTCTCTCTATATTTTACACAAAATTTTATCCCAAATGGCAGTCATTGTTTAAACACACTTTGCTGAACCACTCATCTATAATTGCCTCATCGGTGAGGGGTTGGTTTTAGGAGTGTCAGTTGCAGGTTGTGGTGGTTACATTCCAGGGCTTGCTGGTTTTATATATGTATATATTTATTTATCTACCTATTAATGTACTTTATATCTTTTTCTTAATCTTTTCAGCGTGCTTGGACGCCCTTCGCCGCACCCATGGAAGTCCAGAATTTTAAAATCGCTGGGGAGGGGGAGCCCCAACCGAGGCCAGGGAGAAGAGGCCAGGCAGTCAGACGCAGGAGCGTCTCCCAAGACGAGGCTCCTCCCTTCCTCCCGCCCTCCAGACCCCGAATCCTCAAACTGCACATGCCGCCTGGCCGCAATCTGCGCGACAGCGGCGATCACTGGGGCATCGTAACACTTGCTCTACCCGCCCGGACGTAACCACGCGGCACCTTAATCGCTCCCCGCTCGCCTAAATTCAGGGTCATCAATGAAAAGGCTGGGCGACAGACTCGAATTAACCCAGAGATCCAGACGCCATTGCTGGGCTGCAGGGATTGATATTTCATTTTGGGCGCTGATCACGTCTCCGCCGCCTCCTCGCGCTGGCTCGGCTTGGTTCTCCCCCTCACCCCTTCTCCCCCTCCCTTCCGTTCCGGTCCATTGCCTCATCGCGCTAAATCTGGCCGATTTCCACAAGTTCTCCCCCCTACGTGAAACCTTTCTCCATGTCCGGTCTCGCCCCTGCCTACCTAACTGGTGGTTTTAATAGGCTGCTCGGTCGCGCCCCGCCACTCGAGTGCAGCGCTTTTGCTGTGAACCAGGTCTTTCCTTATATCCTGTAGCCAGTTTGACGCCGGACTGCATCTGAGCGAGACGCTACGCTGTTGTCTCTTTTTGAGTTTCGTGTCCGAGTGAAAGAGCCGGTTTAGCCTTGTGGTAGAGAGCGATGGTTCAAACACGAGTTTTAGAGGTGATGGCTTAGGGTAAGTGCTGTGCAGTGGTGGCGTGATGTAGAGGATCCAGCCGGTGGAGCAGATTGCAGTTACGTCCATTGTGACGGTGATGGCTTGTTTGTGATCCAGTAAGAGAGGGAGACAGTAAGGAGATGGATACTTGAGATGGCTCTTCCGCACCGGAGATGTGGGGTGATACTGTAGGATGACGTTTCTTAGACGTCGCACGTTCTGGCTGCTAGGTGGGTATGGCTATTTTAATTGACCTCGGTAAGGAGCGGAGATTGCAGGATCGATGCGCTGCGGAATGGGCTGAGGGCTTTGATCAGTCTCAGTCGTGCTTCTGAGAATTCTGCGTAAAGGACGAATGCAACGTCCCGGCGAGCAGTGGATCTTTCTTAGGACAGCAGGTGCACGATAGCGAGTAGGGGTAACTTAGGGATGATTGGATGGGACGGACAATGCAGATTTCGAGTCCTGTCAGGGCTTTGGGACGTAACCAGAACCATGTTATTGACACTTCTATGAGCTCCCAAACTTCTGCCCGCAGGCGTGCTTCGACCCCTTCTCACGAAGAGTACTCCATCTTCAATCCTGTAAGCTTCTTCTCCGTCTCCTTCTTTCGGATTCATTACACTACCCAGAAAACCACTTGTCATGGAATGTTGTGAGAATCTTGTGTCATCGATACTTGCGTGTGATTGCATGTACAAAAATTTAGCAGTTTACCATATGAACGGTCTACAACGCAATTCTATCTGTCGCCGGGAGAGGGCATAGACACGGTTGTTGTGGTGATTTTGTTGCGCATTGAGATTCTTACGTGCATTCGAGTAATCTAGACTGCCCTGGCGCGGCATATGTTTTATTGTAGGGAATGTACCTCCAAATTCTGACGGATGAACTGTGTACGATCTAGGTTATGTGCCCTGCTGTCGTATGTTGGGTGAAAGATCCCGATCCCCCGCAGCATGGTCTGGAGAGTATCCAAATCGCTGCGCCCATTAGCAAGGAAATGAGTTGCCGAAGCTTACAAGGGGAGGGTGATTTCCACGACGCGGACACGGACTTCCGTGAAGTGGAGTCTCCCGTTGCGCAGCTGTGGAAGGAGATTCATACCGACATTTCTACGCACACCCCCGAATTCGAGCAAATGCACCCTCACCCGTTACGACCAATGAGCCCCAACACATTCCTGGAGCGTAACAACTTCCTCACACCTGAGCGAACTCCCAACCCCAGCGGCCAGCTGAATCGGCAACAAGTGCTTGAACAGAGCAACCGAAACGCTTACTCCAACGGTGCAGGTTCGAAGAGCCCGCGTCGCAACATTTTCCCTCCTAGTAGCCCTGATAACAATTGTTTTTCCCGAGATCACAACAACGCCGCAAGCGTGACAAACTCCCCTCAACATCCCAGTATGTGGAACGCCAGCCCAGCTCCCCATCGAACGACTCCAATGGATAACTGTGCCTCCAATGTTACGCCCCTGAACATCCCGAAGCCTTCCTTGCAAAAACATTTCGGATGGTTAACTCCATCGAGGGCTGGACCATTGGTAGAACCTACCAGCCCTGATTTCGCGAGAGAGACGCAACAGCAGCGTGACCCGCGTTTGATGACATCACCCTCCAGTAACAAATTGGGATATGAGCGAAATGAAATTACGTTGACGAAACCATCGCCTGCTTCCAAGGAGAAATCTGACAAACCGGACAAACTCCCTGGAAGAGGATGGAAGAACCTCTCTCGGTCGATTTCACCCATGTTCACAGGCCGCAAGACTGAAAGCACAAGCACACTCAAAACCATCACCAGGGACCTCGGTGTGTCTTTCCAAGGGAGCCGGCGACGAGGACATGCAGCCAAGCCCGCTACTTCTTTGCCGAATTGGAGCGGAGAAGGCTCTATGATCTCCCCAGAGCTAGAGAAAGAGGGATTCGGAGGTACTGTCACGCCCACTCATCTTCCTCACGAGCGTATTAAATTGTGCACTACGAAACGTTTTCCATGAACGGTTTCATTGGTGATAAAGAAGCTCTAACCCTGAGATTGTAAATCTGGCAGGTTCCCAAATTGGATACTCCTCCGAGCTGACAAGATCTGGAAGCGTGAAGAGCACGAAGTCGGGAGCAAGCGGTGTGTTGAGTTTCTTGAACTGGGGAAAGAAAAAGGGCAATGGCACCAAGATCAACGATCTCTTCCAAGTCGTCGACCAGGGGAGTGTGAAACTGGATACGAACTCCTTCAAGGTGATGGAGTATACAATCAAGACCCTGCATTACAAGCTGGAGCAAGCGAAGAAGAACGAACAGACAACCGCGGAGGAGTTCAAAGCATTGCAGGCCGCCATGGACGCAGCCGAAGGGAAGTGCCAGCAATGGCAGCAGCGCTGCCAGGAACTCGAATCGCAGCTTGGAGTCCGTCAAACTGAAGCGAAAGACATTGAACTTGACTATGAGATCGCCAAGCTCCAACGTGAGAACACGGGGTCGGGTTCGCCCAAGCACAAACCGCACCGCTTTACCACCTTGGAAGTCACACCCTCCATGTTCCAGAAGCATTTCGAGGATTCCAAGCTGTGCGTGAAGAAGCTGGCGTCGGCGCTGTGCATCCATATCCGAGAGTCAGGCGAATCCGCTACGCAAGTGGTCATATCCCTCCTAGAGCAGCAGCGGAACTCCCCGCGCGAGATCAGTAAAATGCCGCGCAACGTCATCGTCCTCTATTTTGAGGCCTTCCTGAACCAGATCTTGTACGAGAATTTTGAGAATGTGAGCTTTGAGCCCAACGGCGCCACTGACATCTATGACCTTGACGCCCTCCGCTCCTCGTGCTGCAAGGCATACAACGAGCTCAAGAAGCAAGATTGGCCTACCATCGAGAGATCCCTCGGCAAGTCAGGATCCACCATCGTCAATCCCACCTTCCACCGCTTCTTCGTCATCCGCATGGAACTCATCCTGTCCCAGCTCACCAAGGTCACCGACAAGGAGACCTCCCTCAGCCTCCTGGCCACGTTCTTCAACGCCTTCAAATCGGTGTGGCTCCTGCACCACCTCGCCTTCGCCAACGAGAATTCCGTTACCATCTTCCGTGCTCCCTCTACCTCTGACTTCGACCCCCGCTTCATGGAGCAGGTGACTACCTATGAGGAGGACCCCAGCCGCTCCAAGATCAGCGTGATGGTGAACCCAGGCTTCATTGTAAATCGGCACACCATTAAGTGCCAAGTGTTCTGCAGCAGTAAATACCAGTAGTGCATGCCGCTTCCACCTGAACCATTCTTTGAGGATGCAGCGTCCCACTGAGCAGTCGACTTGCCTCCAGTAGCAACTTAGTGTACTCCAAAGGCGGATGAATTTGCAGCTTGCTTGGCAGCAAATCAACCAGCTGAACTTGTTGTGCAACCTACCACAGTCTGAGGGTCCTCAATAGCAGACTGTTGCGAGCCGCGGGACGCGAATGGTCGTCCCGTTGGGCGGGTTATTGTTAGTATTGTTCTTCCCACAGAAATTGCTTAGTAACATACTCTAGATCAATAAGCATCCATGTCTTGCGGCCATTGCTTCATGCCGTTCGTGATGCTCCGAAGCTTTTGAGCTGCGTTGTAATCCCTTCACGACACTGTTAACATGAGCTTACGAATCGCTCTAGACACTCGGGTGCGTTGTGGAGAACTGCATTTGGCTTTGTGGAGCAATTCTAGTGCTTATTGTTACTCTTTTTTTTTTTTTTTTTTTTTTTTTTTTTTCGTCAACGATTTAACAACTACATATTGTAAACTGCATTATGATTTTAGTGTGGAGCAAATCTGGTGCTTATTGTTACTAATCTTGTGCTTAATATTGGTGACAGATGTGTGGTTACCAGTTGGGTCTTGTTTGTCTTCTCTTTGCAGTCCCAGCTGGTGACTGAGCTGTATGTGCATTGAACTGCAATCAGCTCCGTATATGGTTGACTTACATGAACTAAAATTTAACATTAGAGATGGAAAGCAAATCCATAATGAACTTAGATATAATGTTCACAACAAAATATTGGACTTACAAAAATAGCCATGTTGCATTTACAGGTGCAGTCTTTCCTCGGATAACTCATAGCCTTGGTAGAGGCCAGAACTTAAGAGTTGTGTGAGAGTATTAGCTATGTGGTTTTTTGTTACAAAAAAATAAAAAAATAAAAAAATATATAAAAAATATACACTTCTCTGGGCAGAAAATCATGTAAATAAGAGTAGACCACCCTCCTAAGACATGCAGCAAGAGAGAATATCAGCTTGTGACCCCTCCTTGCCTAGGACTCTTAAAACACATATCAAGTGTCTTGAAGGATTTGTCATGTAGAGAGATTGGTTTGGGTTTTAGGGTGTTGTTTTTGGTGTTCTGTCTTAAGTTTTTAGCACTTCTCAGCTCACTCAATTGATTGATTTGTTCTTTTGTTTTGCACAAACTAAGACCATGTTCTAAGCATGCTTTACCAACACATAAAGGTTTAAGGTTTGTAAGCATAAAGCTAATTATTCAAGGATGAGTTAGAATGCTTTGCAATTTGGACTAGAGACAAGTTTGGGATTATGATTATTTAATCTAGTATTGGAGGATTCTTAAAGAAGCACCATAAGTTAGAAACTATGAAAAATACCAACCTTTTTGCCAAATATACTTATATTGGTCATCATTCTCAATTAAAAGAAGTCATGTCAATATAGGTACTTCAATTCCAAATAAAGCATATTTTTATAATTAAAAATACCTATATTAAAACTCATCAAAATCATGATAAAGGCAAAGATCTTATATAATTGACTTGGAATATCTAAAGATCTCAACAAGTTTTTTAGTAAGTAGCTACAATGCTTCTAAGAGTAGAATAAGATTTAGTGCATTAAGATTTACTATGATAGTAATTTGATAAGCTAGGAAACCATTAATCTAGTCTATTTGAATTCTAGGTAGTATTAAAAACAAGAATTCGAAGAATGTAACTAAATAAGTGAGTGTTATTTATATATATATATATATATATATATATATTAATAATTATTTAGATTAGAAGAATTAAATAAAAATAAATAGAAGCAAGTAAATTTGATAACATCTTATGGAGTAGCTTCTTAAAAGCTTTATAGATGTGGATTTGACTTTTTAAGTGTTGGTAGGTAATTGATAGGTTGAAAATTTAGCCAACAAGTTGACCATATGTTATACATGTTAGTCACTTTTCATACAAGTTGGCTATATGGCCTATATATTGGAAACATGCATTGTAAGTTGGACACTTGTCTTTGAAGTTTAGCACATCTTAGATGATCTATAGAATATTGCCATATAGCTTTCTTGTTAGATAGTATATATGGAAGTAAGAGTGAGGCCTTCCTATTTCTTATCAATGCCATTTTGTTCTTATCCTTGTTTCAAGAACCTCTAGTCTTTTTGTATTTGACAATAGTCATTCTAGTATATAGCTATAACTATCTTTGATTTGTATTTTTTTTTCTTCAAATGTGACAAAAATATATTGCTTCTATAAATTTTTGTTATAATTCATATTTTTGATAGTTTAATAAGAATGCTAATTTTTTACACTTGTTTTTTTAAGAAATAATTAAATTATTTTATTTCTTTTGTTTTATTTTAGAGATTGTAAATTATCAAACTTTAAATTTATATTTTTTTCTTTCTAACATTAAATCTTAATTTAAAGTAAGTAGACTATTTTTTATAAAACTTTTTTTTTGATATTAGATAATATAAATTATCCTCTTCTAATTCAACTTGTAGATTTGTTAAAGTTATCTATTATAGATATAAAAGAAAAAATAATGGATGCTCACCTCTTAGAAGTGAATATAGATTTATAACTATTGCAAATCTTCACAAATTTGTGAATACTTTTAAGATAGAAATTTCAAATATTACCAATGTCAATAATAGAAATACTATTTCTATACTTATGAAAGAAGTTAATAATGATGTCTAATGTCTATATCAAGAACTTTTGCAATTGAAAGAAGTAAGTAGTTTAAGTGTTCAAGTAAATCTAAAAAGTCTTATTGCTATAAGTATAAGAGAGACAAAGATTAGTATGCCAAAGAAGTTAGATGGATTAAGATTAAAATTTTAAGAATTTTTGTAATAAGTTGAACTCTATTTGAGATTACATCATTTCAAATATTTTGATGAATTTATTAAAGTTAGGTTTATAGGCCTATTCATATTTGAGACTACGCTCTCTTAGTTTACACCTTTGATGGAAAATAATCTATGACTTTTATATGATCTAAATTTATTCTTAAAAGTGTTTACAACTACATTTTAAAAAAAGTGGTTGAATAAAAGTAGAAGATATATAGTTGCTATTTTTTTATTATAAAGATTTCAATTAGTTACCATTTATATTATCAAATTTAAAAACCGTACTTGTAATGTGGATTGAAATAATAAAGCCATTATCAATCAATTTTAATATATGTTAAAAAATAATGTCAAATATTTATTATTAATAATGTCAAAAGCAGATTCATTGGAATAATTTATTACTCAAGCAATTGACTTTTTGAAAGACACTAAAGAAAAAGACTTAGTTAGAGAGGAAGAAATCAAGTCATGACAATAATTTCTAAATTTTTAAAAACTTATTCATAAATATTGGAATATATGCAAAATAATATGATGTGTTTAAATTACTAAGAACAAAAAGTTTTAATGTTATTAAGAAGGATTTTGCTTATATTGTGGAGGAAATAAGCATATTGCTCAATATTGTCCAAGGAAGCAATGCAACAATAAAATAAAAAATATGGTTATTAAAGAAGACAATGTATTGAAAAACAAGTTTATTCAACTACAATAGGTACAATGTGGCTCAAATCTTATACAACACCTTGTAAAGATCTTATTATTTCTTCGAAATCCTCACCTTGTTTTATAATAGATATTTGTTTAGAATGTAAAAATCACAAAGTCTTTGTCTTGTTACATTTAAGAATGTCAATTTATTTTTTTATATGAATATTTTATTAAAAAACATGAAATATCTTAAGTTAAGTTTTCTAAGTCTATATATATAAAAATCATAGATGATTTTTTTTTTCTTTTAGAGATTTTACTTATAAAACTATTTATATAGAGATAGCAAGAAATAATTATAATAATTAATAATGTTTAATTTTATTAGATCTATATCTAATTTAATCATTTTACGTTTATAATGGCTATAAAAGTATAATCTTGGATATATTAGATTTCTTATAATCTCAACTTTTTGTATAGATAACCAAGACTTTTGCTAGCTAATTAAAAATTTATAAGTCTAAAATAATAAAATTCTTATTTATAGATGTAAGAACTTTCATACATGTTGCAAAAGAAAGATTATCTATTTTTATTTATGTTACATCCATTTATAAAGATGAAATGATTTCAAGAAGGATTTGAAGCTAGTACTAGGATTATCAAGATAATTTTGAGGAAAAGAATGTAAATATACTTCTAAAGCATTGTCTTTTTAATTGCTTAATTGATCTTTAAGAAAGAACTTAACTACTTATTGGACCAATCTACAATTAATTATAAAATGAGTTAGCTTTACTTAAGAAATATATTAATGAGAACTTGGCCAACAATTTTGTACACCATTTAAAATCTTTTATGTGAGCACCTATTTTGTTTGTAAAGAAAAAGATGGTCACTACAAATGTATATTAGTTATTAAAGACTTAAAAAAATTACCATTAAGAATAGATATTCTTTATTTATGATATAAAGACTTTTTGATTAATTAAAATAACAAATATTTCTATAATAAAATAGATCTATAAGAAGTATATAACTTGGTATGCATTAAAAAATGAGATGAATAGAAGATTGCATTTTAAATTAAGTATGGACATTTTGAATATAATATCACATCTTTTGGATTTATAAATATATCAATTACTTTTCAACATCTAATAAAAAATATTTTTGAAAGGTTTTAGATAATTTTATCATTTATTATTGAGATAATATTCCAATCTATTCTAAAAATATAAAAGATTTTTAATTTTATAATTCTTTATGTAATACAAAAACTTAGAAATTAAGGATTATATGCCAAGATAGAGAAGTAACTATTTCACACAATTTAAATTGATTTCTGAAAAAATATTATTTGAAAAGATTTTTTTTTGATAGATCCTTCGAAAATTTAAACTATTATAGATTTAGAGATTTCAAATAAAATAAGAGATGTCAAAGATTTTTTTGAAATTTGCTAATTACTATTGGATCTTTATCAAGATTTTTTTTTAAAATTTAAAATTCTATTTACATCTTTGATTTTTAAAAATAAACTTGAATAGAATAAAATAATTAAAGTAGTACTTGAAACTTTGAAGATAGCTTTTATTACAATATCAATCTCATATTGAACTGATTTTTCTAATGCATTTTTTAATTGAAATGGATGCATTGGACTTTGCTGTGGTTGCAATATTGTCACAAATGGGAAATTTACGACAAACTTCACCATAAAGTTTTTATATTCAAGAAATATTTTAGCAGCCAAAACTAATTATAAGATCCATAAAAAAAAGCTTTTAGAAATTATAGATTTATTTTAAGAATAATCCTACTATTTAAAAGATACTTCTAATCTAGTGATTATTTTTATAGATTGTAAGAACCTTAATTATTTTATGTCAATATGTGTTTTAAATTCTTACTAAGCTTATTGAAGCATGTCTTTGTCAAGATTTATATATAAAATCACCTATTTATTAAATTTTATTTTTTATTTTTATTTATTAAATTCTATTTTTAGATATTTTTAATTTAAATAAAAATTAGATTGTATTGTTAAACTAGCATATATTATATCATATATTAAATTTTTTATTGACAACATCCATCAAAACAAAAATAAAGTGTGAAATAATTTTTTTGCCAAGAAAAAAAGTAGGTTTAATAAAGATTATATTTTGACTTCTATCTTTATTTATATTTCCTTTATATTTTTGGCATTAAATAGAAAAATAATTAATAACTAGTAGATTCAACTGAAGACATATTATTTGCTTAGATACTAGAAAAGGCATTAAAATTGTCTTAGCTTTTAAGATGACGTAATAGAAATGAAGATATTCAAGAATGACATGTTTTTCTTAAATAGATAAAAAATTTAACACATTTAGTATCACAACATTGAAAGCAACATTTAATATTTGGTGATATTATCAGAAGTAGAAACTATTTTTAATAGTATTTTAAATATTTTATTTAAAAGATGTTAAAATAATATAATTAATGATCAAATAACAAGGTAATCTTTTTGCCTTGGTATGAGATACTATTGATGGTTGAGAGAACATATTAATGCTCTTCAATGAAAATAAAGATTAAAATATATAGCAAATATTATTTTTTGCATCTTAGACTTTTTTAACAAGTGATTATCACTTCTTGTGGAACTTGTTCTTAAAAAAAAGGAGGGATATTGTTGCAGACATACATATTTATATTAATAATTACCTGGATTAGAGGAATTAAGTAGAAGTAAGTAGAAGCAAGTAAATTTAATAATATTTTATGGAGAAGCTTCTTATAAGCTATATAGATAGAGATTTAACTTTTTAAGTATTGATAGGTGATTGATAGGTTAAAAACTTGGCCAAAAAGTTGGCTAAATATTCTATATATTGTCTTCTTAATTTATAAGTTAAACACATGCCATACATACTAATCACTTATTGTATAAGTTGGCTATGTGGTACATATATTGGAAACTTGCTTTGTAAGTTAGACATCTGTTTTATAAGTTAGACATGTCTTGGAAGACCTATAGAATATCTTTATATAATTCTTTAGTTAGATAGTATATATAGAAATAAGAGTGAAGCCTTCTTCAATCTTGTTATTACTTTTCTTATTTTTAGTCTTTTTTCAAGAATTTCTAGTCTTTATATATTTAATAATAGCCATTATAGTTTCTATCTTATAACTATCTTTGATTTGTCTTCATTCTTTTTTTTAAATGTCAAAAGAATATGTTAATTTTATAGAATTTTTTAATGATTTATATCCTTGATAGATTAAACTTTTAATCTATTAATCACCTACAAACATCTATAAAGTCAAATCTAGGTTTACAAAGCTTCTAAGAAGCTTCACAACAAGACATTAATAATTTAACTTATTATATCTAATTCTATAATTTAACCAAGTAAATATAATAGTAATTATAGGTATTTGTGATAAATAGTCATTGCTTACTATAAGCTAAGAGATGTTTTCAATATGAATAAAATCATCATGAAGTTTTTCAAAATTAATTTAAATATTTGTAGATATATATATATATATATATATATATATATATTTATTTTATTAATTTTTTTTCTAAAATTTATTCTATTACATGGTTCATAAGATTATTGTACAATAAGAAATTGAAGACTAATAAAAGATGTGATAAATTTTTATGTATTCTAATAGTGATCTTATTTGATTGATTATTTTTTAATTATTTAAATATATATATATATATATATATATATACTCGGAAACACATCACTCTTATTTTTACAACCAATTTAGATAGATCAAAGGGGCTCAAGGCACATGTCTTGGCAATTATTTTACTTTACTCTATTCTAGTATATATTTTATGCATTTTAAATCATGTTTAAAGATATATATATATATATATATATATATATATATATATAATTTAAATATTAATAAAATTTATAAATAAATATATAAGCTTCAAGTTAGAATTTTGACCTTAAAAATCTATGATCCAATACTTACTATAATGTAAAGTATATGGCAAGTATTGTAAAAGCTTATAATATTTTTTTAAAATATATAAATATGATTTTATTTTTATTTTTATTTTTTTTTTGTTTTTGTTTTGTTTTGTTTTTTTTTTGATGGTGTACTACTAAGTCAACAATTTCCTAAAAAATTTGTGTAAAATATTATAAAAATTATTTTAATAGAATTTTCTATAGTGAATTTGACATAGCACATAATAAGTAACTTATTGCATAAAGAAATAGAATAGTTTGAATTGTAAAAACCACTCTAACATGAGTTAACTTTAAAATTTTAAAATTAATAAATACTATAGTTAATTCCAAATTAAAATAAAACTTAATGGTTGGAAATTTAATAAACTCAAAGTTGTAGTAACAAAAGAATTTTAAGTTTCAAATTTTCTACCATATTATTAATGATTAAAATCAATAACACCAATTTATAAAATCATTTTAAAAAACTAATTCTCAAGCAGCCTCCGCTTCGGTAGAGAGGTGAGTAAAGATCTGGATTGGCAAGTTGTGGTGCGGAGGCGAGTTCTACCTCGATAATTGCGTCATGTCGAAGGCAAGTTTTGTATCATATTTACTGCCCGGTGATGTGCAACCTGTGCAATTCTGCAGGAACTGTTGCGAACTTATGTCATCACCTACTTCCTCAAAAGGATCTAGTAATTCTCTATGTAAGTAGCGGTAATTCAAAAAGAACTCAGCAGAAGCTCAAAATCCTGAACTTACTGTAATTGTCTCACATTGATTAAGCGCAACGTGGCACCCTGATCCAGCGGACCAGTCGTTGCCCGTGACTGGATGGTTATGGACCGACTGCCAAAAAATTCACAAGGGCGATAAAGACAGCTCAACAACATTGCCCGATGTCGCCTACTCTCATTAAATTGTAGGTTGACTTCCGAAAATCCTTTTCCTTTAAGATCTGTGAAGTCAACGTGGTCTGTGGCTTCCATCGTCAGCTCATCGAGGTGAAAGTACACAAGAACCAAATTTTTCCCACATTTGATTTCTAAAATTAACCACCACGCAATTGGGTGTTTCTCACATGTGGGAGGTCCTGTCTAGTAGTTCCATTTTCCTCTGCAAAGTCTGAGAGTAGCTGCATGTAACACCAGCAGTTAACAATTCGCCAGTTTTCAACGGAAACGCCTCCTGTGACCCAGTAACCTCAAAACAAATCTCCACGCGCTGCAAATGACGAAAAGTAAAGGAATCAAGCTGGATCAACAAATCATATCTGTATTTGTATTTCTAAATCCACTTGGATGCGCACCATAGTTAGAAAAACAAAAAAAGCAAAAAACAATAAACAAGAACAAAAACAAGAACAAAAAAATATATATGTTTGACAAAGCAGCAAATATCATGACTATTCGGTGTCAGAATTGACACTGTCTTGAAACGATCTTCTTGCCATGGCTTCACTGTTCCAGCTTGAGGGATGCGCACCCCTGGAAGTACAAGACCAGCAACGTACTGTGTAGTCACGGACAAGATGTTGCCAGAAAATTTGACGACAAGTATAAAGCTAGCTGCGGACACAGGATCAAAACCGCCATCTCGAATTGGAGCGCTATTTAAACGTAGATTGCTCAGACTCTAGGGACTAGACTCACACTCTTGACTTCTACGCTTGTATTAATCATACACGTAGGGTGACTGTTGTCCCTCGAAAGCCATCACTTGCGAGGTTAAGTTCAAGGAACCAGTAATGACGAAGTTATTTTTGAGCGGGCTCCATGAGGAAAGAGATACTCCAAGAGTCCATGGTTGGTGTGACATCAGAGGTTGGATCAACATAATAGTGGTTGCTACGCTCATGTTTCTGAGCATGGTTACACCTGGTTCGACAGTTAGCGGCTCAGAACAAGTCAGTGATTTCAGCGTCGCGCCGGATGAAGAGCTTGTCCAGTTGGTGCAGAGAATGGGCACCGTCGATCACAGTGTATTCGAGATCGCGGAGAATCGAATCACTCCTTTAGCAGTTATTTACGTGAATCGAAAGCGTGGAGTCGGGCACTTCACCACGGTGCAGGCTGCCATTGATCACGTGCCTGTGAACAATGACCGTAGAGTCCACATTATCGTCGCGCCGGGTGTCTACAAGTAAATACACATTAACCTCATCTGCTTGAATTCCTTGTTGAGAATTGAGGTCAATCTAATCTCTACAATGCAGAATCTCTGCTTGATCGTATTTGGAATTTATCTGGATGCCGACGATGAATTGCCTGGTTTGACCAATAGGAAAGGATTCAAAACTGAGCCCAAGTGATTGAAAATGGTGCAGAGAGAAGATAGTAGTACCATCGTCGAAACCATATGTTACAATTCTAGGCGGAGGATGGAACAACACAATCCTGCAATGGAATGACACTGCTGACTGCGCTGACAAGGAAGGTGCGAAGCTTGGCACCTACTGGAGCGCCTCCTTAGCTGTTGAAGCTCAGTACTTTATTGCCCGTAACATCACAATTAAGGTTTGTGTTTCTGAGGGTACCTACGTATGAAAATACTTGTGTGCTTTGAGGTCATCTATTAATACTGTAACTTGGAGGGATCTAATTACTATTGCAATTCTGAACAATTATAATTCTTCTTTGGGTGTTATGAAAAGAATACGGCTTCCATGCCGGCTGCAGGAGCAGCAGGAAAGCAAGCAGTGGCGCTGCGTGTAACAGGGGACACAGCAGCTTTCTATGGCTGTCGGTTCATGAGCACCCAGGATACTCTCTACGATCATGTGGGCCGCCATTACTTCAAAGACTGCTACATTGAGGGCTCCATTGACTTCGTCTTCGGAAACGGTCGGTCTCTTTACGAGGTAACTAGTGTATGCCAAAGTTTTAGTCCAGTTCTATTGACCTGTAAATGATCGACAAAACCGTCGTAATATTTGGGTACAAGGGATACAAACTGATTTCAGTGGGTTTGGTAATTCGATCCCTTTGGAACCAGAGCTGCCATCTCCATGCCTTACCGCGAACAACTTTCGGATCAGTGGCTGCACAAAAGCGAGGAAACGTGTCAGAGCAAACAGGCTTCTCGTTCCTGAATTGCAAGATCACAGGGTCAGGGCTCTTATACTTGGGGCGCGCCTGGGGATCCTACGCTCGCGTCGTGTACTCATACACCTACATGGACAACATCATCGTCCCTGCCGGATGGTCCAACTGGAACGACCCGCGACGAAACAAGTTCTGGCCCCAGCAACTCCCTCTAGTTTCCAACCTTGTCATTAAAATGCTTGTCGAATTCGTGTTCGAGTGTTGATCACCTTTACTACACGATTGACTGCAGTTGGCAATGACAGTATGTTATGACATGGACTCTCGCTTACTAAAATGCCGATGATCTGTCGTTCACGATGTGCAGAACAGTAATATTCGGGCAGTACAAGTGCTTCGGGCCAGGAGCCAAACAGACGGGCCGAGTCCCCTGGTCACATGAGCTCACCGATACCGAGGCCCGCCCATTTCTAAGTCTGTCGTTTGTCGATGGAGACGAATGGGTGCAACCGTGATACATCAACACATCCCCGAATGGAAGCCTGCTGATTCTACACAGACTTCCAGGAACGTCTCTTTCAGGTGATCAGAAACGTGGGTGAGATTCGACGTTCTGAGGTATAGCCTCATAGCGCCGATGCTTCGGAGACTCACTAGATCTTTGTATCACTCTTAACCTAATAGTGGCTCTTCGATGTGTTTGTAGTTATGGAATCATGAATGTGAAGCTACGAAAATATTAATGTCATGTTGCACAACACTCCGGATCTTGTGAGTTTTAGTCCAGTCTGGCATCTGCTTTCTTTTCTGCATGCTTCAATAGAATGGAATATAATGTTTGAATGTCTGCTGCTCATGGCTTCTATACCGGCCCCGCAGAGAGATGAAGCATACTGATTTATCTGTCTTTGAAGGCACAATCACGTATTCACAAGGCTTTTGAAAGAATTGTCCATTGGTTGAGATGTTTTGTGGCGGGTATCCCAGATTCGTTGGCATTTTATTAGCTCGTGTTGTTGGTTAAGAAATGGAGTGAATTTGACGTTGGCAACTGTAATTAAATTTGATTTTGAAGAGAACCGAACACAACTATGGATGCGTTGTATGTTATTGTACTTGGGTACAACATCAAATAGAGTAAAAATCAAATTGAGATGAAATTTATAGTTCATGCAAAAGCTTCTATTGAAAATTTAATTTTTGCTCCTGTAATGTTGAGGGAGAAATGGTCTCTAAGATATTTAGATATAAAAAAATAATATTATCCTCACTAGGCTTAAGAGAAGTGTGAAAGTAGTGCACAGTTTTGAAGACCTAATCTAGGTTATAATTAAAGGTTACTTGGAATAAACATGAAATGATTTTGAAGAAATAATTGGTTGTACATGATTCATACATAGATTGGTGGAAAGATATTATTTTTTGATTACCATAGAGGAATCGGTCTAATATAGATAATATATTGTGTCGCTATTTCAGAGCTAACAAGCAGGGGGAGTAGCTCAAATGATAGAGCCACAGCATGGCTAAGATACAATGCGCTCCGACAGACCACACAGCTCTCGCAACTCACAAGCTGGAGCGACGTCCTCTACGGCCCACTCAACCCTGCTCTTCATCCAACGATGAGCCTCACAACCTCAGTTAAAGTCTCCTCGGATATCCCATAGCTCATACTGAGATCCTTAATACTGTGGTACATTTGGGTCAATAAATGCGCGTTTGACAGAGATCGCGCACCCTACCACACAGGGCTGGTACTATACAAAGCTTGGACGACGACAATCCATATAGGAATGGAAGCATGGAGGGATATACACCGACACAACAGCACCCCCGAAACCCAGACAACAAAAATTAAAATATTCACACAACTTTGGACCGTGGGCAACATATTCTCATCAAGGACCGCCAACGACCTCACCTGGCACCTTGTTCCACCTCCAGCCCTGCTCCCCGAAGATCTTGCGAGACACCCTCATGTACCGGTAACACGACGGCCAACATCAACCACCCCGGATCATCAATCTCCGTCTTTACGACGGCCAATACCAACCACCCCAGATCATCAATCCCCGTCTTCACGACAACCAACACCAACCACCCCAGATCATCAATCGTCGTCTTCTTCTGACAACATCCTCAGAACAGCCGCAAGTCTAAGAACATCAACGGACACAGCAACGTCCACCAACGAGGAGCTAAACCTAGGGATCCAGCAGCTGTTTAAAGAAATTGAACAAGAAAGGCGCAATCAAAACGGTCAACAGATCATCACACACCCCCATCCTCCCGAGGCCACCCTCTCCCTACGGCAACAACTCATACACTATGCTCGAAATCACCAAACAGCGACGGCACCAGATCTGCAACTCTACATTTACGCGACCATGGCGTACACGGATATAACGGATGAAGACCTGTTTCGTCTCATCGACAGCAGTTATGGCAATAGGCAAGGCTGGAGAGAGAGGTTAGAACTTCTAGTTACACACAGCACAGATATACGCCAGAACGGACCACATTCCGATGAAGACATAGCGTAGTGGGCAGGCTAACAACAGAGCAGTAACCAAACTCTCACTCGTAGACAGAGGTTTTCGAAAGGAAAACAGTCTAAACGCAGAATAAGCAAGTCATCTTGCGTTACCATCGCGTCTCTCGCGTTTGAAAAAGGGCACCAGCCGTTCGATCTGCGGCTTGTGCGATGTTTTTACCTCGATACTTTAACCCCGCTGGGGTACTTTGCTCATATGGTAGAGCGCCTGATTCGCATTCAGGAGGTATCGGGATCGATGCCCGTCTTCTCCAAATTTATTGCTACGGTTGATTCTCTTTTGGATGCCCAGATTTTCCTGCCGGCCCTAGAATAATATCCATTTTAGGGCTTGCAGTTCAGCTCTCCAGTATTTGGACCACAAACCCCTTCAACTCTCCCCCCCTCTCTTGTTGCACATCAACAGGCGCAATCTCGAAGCGTGCTTGGAACCATGAGGGCTAAGGTCAGCCCTCTCTACACTACACCTGTTTTGCAACGTCAGTTTTCCATCTGAGTTTCTCCCTGTTGGGTTAGCGAGTTCACCAGGAATAGCAGTCGTTACTGTTTTATAATCGACAAGGGAAGAGACTTTTGGTTGGGTCATGAATCACCTTGGTATTAGGGTTATGCTCTGGTGGAAAGCCTTCATTGTTTGTTGGTATGCGTTCGGCTTTGTTATCAGCTGGAATTCCGACATTGTTCTTGTGGGCTGTCCTAGACATATTATCTGCGTTTCTACGCCTTGTGTGGTGTTAGGTACAGAGTACTGTTTGTAGTGTTCTTCCTGAATTACATGTGACGGTTGTTACTCTCTGCCTTTGTGTTACAGTGGAAAAAGAAACGTATGAGGAGACTGAAACGCAAGCGCCGCAAGATGAGGCAAAGATCTAAGTAGGCGACGCTTGTTCTCGCGAGAAGGTTGCGGATCTCTTTGCACGGTGTTTAAGTCAAATATTTGATGTATGTGAACATTGGCCGCCTCATTAGAAACTTAATTATCTAGGAATGCATTTAGTTCTAGAGATTATCGCCTGCAATCTGAATTCAGCGATGGTATTATTCGCTGAGCACGTATGATTCGACGACTAGCTTGTGCGGATGTGCTATTCTCATACTGGTCGATATATAAGCTGGCATTCTGGAAAGATGCTATTCTCCGATAATAGTATGTCTACGGGTGGTTCCTACAGACTTTGCACTTTGTTATTCCTCATAAAATGAATGGCTTTGCCTGTGGTCTTCAAAGAAGTGTTGCTGTCCTTCAGGATGGAAGAGATTGCAATTTTTCCTTCGGAATCTGCACTATTTTTCTATCACAGCTTCGGTTGGAATAGATGTCACTGTTGATTTTCATATTAAAATCTGAACTAGCTTTTACTTTGTGACATAAATCAACGAAATTATGGGATTACAATTTTGTTGGTAATTTTTCTGTTTCATCTAGTGATGTTACGAATTGTGCTAGCCACAAATATGATAATCAACATGCCACTGACGAAATAATTTACATGATTTTACTAGATACATCTAAGACATGTAGGTTGGACATTTGCCCACTAAGACCTACGCAATGAGATCTTCAATTCACTCCTAATTACTGTTAGAAACTCTTTGTGGTGTTTTGAATCTAATGCGAATTGTAACTCTTACAAGCAGGGTTATCAGATTACAGTCCACCCGATAGATTTTGTAGTTTAGGTATGCCAGAAACAGTATAAAAAAACTAATTGTACTCCCCAAGGATTGTGTGTTACGGGGGGTTCATCGCATCCTAACCTGATGATACTACCTCGGAAAATTTCGTACTGCCCCCTCTCTAGAGGAACCCAAAACTGTGCAATACGTTGACAAATAGATCGCCACCCCAGGGGCTCGAACCCTGGACCACAAGGTTAAGAGCCTTGCGCTCTACCAACTGAGCTAGGACGGCCCACAATTGCCTCTCAATTGTCGTGCGTGCGCCCAACTTTAAGAAGTGGCTAATCGGTTATAACAAAGAACAATTTTAATAGGTTACTTGCAACAGCACTTGCAATGATATGTTTACAATGATATAAATGCAATAGACATTCAGTGTTTCTAAGCAGGCATTTTGCCATGCCTTGAGAGCAGTGTTGACTGCAGATGTTCTCGGGGACCAGCATAACAGTCGGCAACATGACCTTTGTGATGAAATAAAAGCATGATATTACTCTGACTGAGAGCCTGCAAACTGTTATCTCAATTTTCACTTTGCTAAGTTTTGAAGTTTGAGATTGTCCCCAAATCAAGTTATACCGCAACGTAGTTCGGAAGTGCTTTATTTAAACAAGCAACTGGATGGCATGTCTCTCTCACTTCCTCACTTGTTGGTTCCTGCTTACACTGCAACTGTCTCACAAAAGTTGTTGGTTCACTCCAACTTTCACGCGAATTGACTTTCAAAAAGTGTAGCGAGATTCTTGAGAATGCAGCGGGCCAGAATCGTGAACTTCACACACGACTTGGACGAATCACGAAAGAATGAAGTTTGAAGGAGAAAGACACAGAGTAATAGTGTTCGGCTTCAGGTGTTGGACCCCACAGACAAAAATAGGTCAGGAACAGGGACCCCGGGCCCAGCTATCCGAATTGGTCGATGCCGATCATCCGCCTGGCCCCACCATTTCTTTCCTTTGCTGCGATCCTATCTCTCGCTCGACATCCCATATCAATATTTCAAGTACCTGACCTCCAATCTCAGTAACTTTGAACACAGTGTTCCTTTTGCAGGTGCAGTTCATATATATGTTTGCTAACCCCGTGGAAGTCGATTAAACTCGCGTCTTTGTTGATCGGCTTCTACAAGGTAAAGCCTGTTCTAATCCTCGTTAACTTTGCCTACACGCTTCCATCTCCTATCTTGACTTTAAATTAAGCTAGCTGCACTCATCGTGCATCGTCATGCATTCGGTTGACGTGAACGACAGTGAAGGAGAGTCTAGTGTGAAGTGATACACGTCCAGATCAGCATTCAGTTCCATGTTTATCGATAGCATGAATCGGTAATATGACTTTATGCTTTTATCGTAACGAATTTGATCTGATTTGGAGGAGGGTTGGACCTGTCAACAACACTACGTTTGTAGGCTCGGGACCACGCCCTCTAAGGATAAAAAAACTTAGCATCTCTCAAGTGATGATGGATCAGGATTACTTGATGTTGACGTCAAAGAGTACTGGCGTGCTTTGGTGTCGCCGTTGTGTTTACGACTAGTCATCTCTTGCGGGTTTCATTTTAAACGAGAACAATTGTGTGAAGAGTTCAGCGATTTTCGGGAGGAGTTCAGTTTTGGTGGCGTGCACAGATCAAGAGGGAGAGGGAGTATGTTGTTTTAGATTGCTGAGGATTGAGCAGGTAGACGTTGTCTGGGGAATTGAGGGGAAAGAGAAATGGAGCCCTACATGCCAGGACAACACACTTCGAACTGTGGGAAAATCAAGGTAGGCTACAGTGTCGAAGAAGGTCAAGAGACCATGCACTTGGATTCCCGCTTGCCTGTGCTTCAACATGCCGACCTTAGAGACAAAGTTGTCCTCCTCCGTGTTGATCACAACGTCTTGAAAAAAGGTAGTACCGATACGTTTCATCACCACTTGCAGCTTTCGATTGACTCTGAATTCAAACTTGTAAGCTTCTTGATCTCTCACGAAGAACACTGTCGCCTTTGAAAACGAACTTGTATTAATCTGGAAGTAATCTCAGCTTGAGCATCAGTGATGACATCAAACACATCAAAGAGGATTGATCGTGTGCCGAGGTTCAGGTTATCGTATAATCCGCATTCATGGCGCTTCAGTTTGTGATAGAAATGGATTTCGCTGATTCCGTCATTGCAGAGGGGTCAATTTAGATGATAATTTGCGAGCTGTTCCTTGTTCAGAACTCTGTGCAGTTGTTGTGTTCGATTAGGAATAATTTTGGACCAGTACCGGATCGATGTCACGCTATCGACAATGTATAACATCATCGAGAGAGGCGGACGGCTCATCATCATGACTCACATTGGTCGACCCTGCAACAAAAAACGCAAAACTCTGACGGTGAAGAAGGAAGAGTCTGTGGATCCCGTCGTGGCCTACTTACAACGTAAGCTTCGAATCAAATTTGCAGTACCGCAGTTCCCAGTTACAGAGAAGGAAGGAATCCATGACATCGACACGTCGATAAACTGGCTCATTCATGACCTCCGCAACCGCAAGATAGGGGGGATCTACTTGCCCAACACCCGGTGGTTTTCTGTGAGTGGCTCTGGGCTTAACTGCTCCAGTCTCTTCGTTTTGTTGATCACTGCGGGTACAATTCTTTCTTTTCTGGTGGACTGATTGAACGTGGTGCTACTGTTTGTAGGGAGAGGAAGACAAAGGTGCGAACATGGAGCGGTTTGTCGTGCAACTCGCGGGGCTTGCAGATGTGTTCGTGAACGATGCCTTCGGATCATGGCAACCCCACGCTTCCACATACTATATCACCAAGTACTTGCCTTCTTATGCCGGCCTTTGCATGCAGGTTGGATCATCTCTCTGGTTAAATGCTAATTATGACCCTCCTGCTTTGGCAACGTTTGATCACCATATTCAGATTGTGGAGCTTGTTCTGATTCAATATTCGCCATATTATTGCAATTTGCAGGCTGAGCTTACTCATGTGAGGGAAATACTGGAGCCAAAGCACCCTTTCGTCAGCATTGTCGCGGGTTCCAAGTACGACACAAAAATCCGCCCTCTGACCGAGTTTTACAAGAAAGTGGACGTTCTGATTCTCGGTGGAGTAGTCTACAACACCTTTCTTTGCGCAAAGTATAACGTCAGAATGAAGGGCATAGAGGAATCCGACATAGAATTGGCAAACGTTCTTGTGGAGCAGGATAAGGTAGAGAACAAGATCCTTGAGTTACCTTCGCTGGTGGAAACTGATACACTCTCCGGCCGATACGAGGGCCAATATCGCACAATCAACACTAAGGATTTCTCGGGAGGGCAGCAATACGGCTATGTCGTAGACGTGGACCCTGCTTCTTTCGAAACCCCTGAAGTGCGCAAGGTTCTGGAGTCTGCGATGACGATCTTCGTTAACGCAGTCATGGGCATGATGCCCGCCTTCTGGCATGGTACCAGTAAGATGGACGAGGCCATTGACCGTAACACGACTGCTCAGAAATTCTTCGGTGGCGGAGACACACTCCAAGAATTTAAGAGCTTGTGGCCGGGATTGTACCAGGCAGCTTTGGATAGCCCCAAGTACTATCTCTTCACCGGAGGGGGTACTGTGTTGAAGGTTCTTGAAGAAGGGGACCCCTTCGCCTTGCCGACTGTGAGAGCCCTAATCGAGAATGGAGAGCAGTTAAGACTTCAGAATGAAAGATCGTCGCAGATGCGTATGTGAATAGTATCATAGCTATCGCGTGTGCAAGAGAATTTTTTATGATGCTCGATCGGGTCTCCACTCTTGCACATCCAACGTGTTAGGAAGCATATAGAAAATTTCCGATGGACGCATCAATCGTGGATTCGCTCTTCGAGGTAGAGCTAATTATATCGAATTGAATACAAATACAAATACAAATTGTATTTGTACCAGTTTCTTCTGTCTGTGAGGTGATGTGGACATGGCTCTCGTTTCGTTTCTTGGTTGCAGTTTGGTTGGATTGTCTGGTGTGTCTCGGCAGTTTAGTTGGTGACCTTTCAGATCAACGGTGGTTTGTGGTTGAGAATGCCGGCTGGTTTGTTCGCATGAAGGCTGTTGGAAATATTCCAACAATTAATTGCTTGCATGGATGTGTCAGAAGCATGGGATTTCTCCAGTGATGCTTCGGCCGAACTGGCCGATTCCTCTGTTCCTGTCTATATGACTTCCACTGCACTCACTGCTGATTGTTTTGAGCTTTTGAACAAGCATGTCACGCGGCCCTACTTCGGCTGCAGTTGAAGAGCGCGCAATTATTCTACCCAGGGCGATGACGGTCTTTTGTAAGTCTTTTCGCCACCAAAAATCTTTGAAAGGCTGCGGAAAGACTTGTGCCACTATTCTTCACAACCAAGTCTAGGTTGACAGGTTATAACTTGTACTTCGTATTTCCTGCTTCAGGCAGCGTTTTCTTCCTTCATTCTTTCGAATTTCAGATCAATATCATTGATGTGGAGCGACGGTGGTCGTTCACATTGGCTGTCGATCCTTAGTCTGTTCACTTTTGATTTCCCCGACCAGTTTTTTCATGAGGTTTCCGAAAGTTGAAGGATGCTGTTACCTTCACCAATCTGCCGAACTTAGTCGTGGATCTTATGAGCCCCTCACTTCTGGCTACAGAGTGAGTTTTATGTCTCGTAGAACATGAGATTGTGATGAGTCCTATCAACTCAAATTATTGCTGCCTCATTGGTAGAGGTGCTCATGCTTTTTGACTCGCATTCTGCACTTAACAATGTTCGCTGCTTCAATTCCATGGTCCAATTTCCGCCATTCTTGAACTTCTCTACCTCAACATCTCTGGAAGACACTTTCTTAATGCCTCCTGTATATTGAGAATTTTCCGGGTGCGTCTTTAAATTCCCATGCATTCCGGACTACTAAACTTTTAACTACTTTTGTGTGAAGGTACACGTAAGCAATTTTCTGCAAACAGCAAGTTTTACATGCTCTGTAGCTCGCGTTTGAATGCAGGCTGTAAAGGGGCCCCACGAAGCAGGGAAAGTGGATGATGTGTAAATATTTTTCAGGGCGTTTAGCGAGCTACACATTGAGGGGATAAAGAGGATTGGTTTGCAGGATTCGTTTTAAAACGCTTCTCTGCTCTTGATTGACAAAATTTCACCTGGTTGGCAATCATCAACGGGCTGCATAAAGACCTTATTGGCTGTGAATTGTTGAGCACCAGAAGTAGGTCGCTATCAAGGAGATTAAAAGGTGGAATGAAGAGCAATAATGCAAGCCTCTGTTACGACTGTGAGTTTGCCACTGCAAGACATCGTGGAAATTCAGAACTGTGCAAGGTTCGTCGTGGTTGATGGGCCAACTCTTCAGTCCTGAATTTATCCTCTATTTACGATGCTTAGAACTGTATTGCATTAATTGGTTGGGTTCAATCCGTTGATATGACATCGAATTTGCGCAGGACACAGACAAGAGAGACACAACTTCAAAGAAGCGAAATGACAATAAGGGTAATGCTCTGATGGTATTCTCTACTCGCATGCTCTTTACACATCAAATCCTCTTCCTGACTATCCTCTTTCAAGTCGAACCTTGATACGATTTGATGACGCCACAGAAAATCTTTCCGATTATCGAAGGGTTCTTCTATCCATTACTGTGGAGATCCAAGATGAATGTGTAGAACATATCCACTTTAAGGAAGGAGATTCTGCTGAAGTAATGGCCATAAAGTTCTGTGAAAAGCATTGTCTTCCAGAACAATTCGTTGCACCTCTTGCAGAACAAATTGTCAGCAACATTATTCCTGTAAGGTGCCTGGTCGAAGACATTCTTTGTAGCGTAATGCTGGAGCTATTTTCTATGTGATTTTAGTCTTCGCAATTGCCATGTAACCTAGGTCTCAAACCCATTTATTTGTACGTACTGCACTGAAAAATGGTACAGAACAGTCATCTAACTTCCCCTTTGCAGCAAGTACAGTGACTTCGTGTTCTACCCTCAAGAGAATCGCTTATCAAATGACGAGAATTCGACATTGCACAGTGGCTCTTCACAAAGCCCTTTAGTGAATGGCTCTGATGGTGATGCATTGCACAATCACCGAGATTGCTCAGGTCGACAGAACGTGATATCGGAGTCTAATGCCTGGCTTGGAAGTCGTGAGGTTCGGACACCTATGTTGTTTCAGGCATCACAGAGAGTAAACAGTTATCAAGGTCAAGGTCAAGGTTGCCAAATTTCATGCGAAGGCAAGCCAAGAAGGAAATCCAGGCGTAAGAAATGGAGTTTCTCGGACCACGTAATCGCTCAAACATTCGCAAGCTTAGCGAAAAAAGGAGCATACGATCATTATCAGAGGAAACCGGAACGTCTAGCTCAGCCTCTATCCGAACAGGCGGTGAGTTTTCTCGATTTTCCATGTACTAAACGTAAGTAACGCCTCTGCACATGTAAAACAGCTGATACTGACTTTACAAATCACGTCAACAAAATAAAATAATAAAACTATTTTTTTAAAACAGATTAAACAGCTTGAAGTTTATTTTTAATGTGGAGCCAAACAGAAAGCTGTATGTATGCGGCTCAATATTGGAAGATTAAGGCACAAACATACCAGATGTTGGGATGAGGCAAAATGCAGAAAGACTTCATACCAAGAGCATGTTGTGAGGAAACAGGGCATTTCCAAGGTATGTGAAATCTTTGTGATTCAATCTATGCACCTTATTTGTACAGTTAACCCTCGAAAAGTGTGTCTTCTATAAATTTCGAAGTTAGAATTTGTCAATTGAATCATTTCTATAATCTACACAAAAGAGTATAAATGATCAGTTTTGCTAATTGATCCCTCCAGAAATGTTAATTTTCACTCACTCTAAGCTGCTAACAATCAAAATAACATAGTTTATGCTTGTAGTTACAGCTACATCGGGGATATTCAGCTTAAGGCTATCCAACTTCTCAGGATTAGAAAATAGCCCAGACCGGATGAAATTTGATTGGAGGGGATTCATGAAACTTACTTCTTCGATGGACTTTAACCAGAAATCCCGGAGGATAATGTGGGTGTGTGGAAGAAGAGCCAAACAATACAAGAATTATGGAGAGCTTTTGTATGCTAAAGGTGTCACGATGAGGCAGAATCACCTCAAGGCAGTGTATGACAAGAAAAAGCAGAATGAAAGGAGGGAAGCGGCTGAACTCACATTGAAGCCTAATATCAGGTCCACACCATCTGTGTGTCATCATGTGGGTTTTAGAGTTAGTGCACCTCCATTAAAAGCTTCAGTCATTTCTTTCTAATGTCCTTCAACATTCCTCGGGTTGATGGCTTGGCGGGAGGGGTGTAGAACCTTTATTAACCTCAATCCCCGATTGCATGTCCAACCCACATCTGACCTTGTATGCGTAATCTGTGAAGCAAACGAGCAAGAAACATGAGAAGGGGAAGAGGCCAAGTTTGGAGTAGACTTCAGAGTGATGACCGACCAAAGCAGGACCAACTGCAAGAACTTAGACAAATGGTAGCTATTGCTTCTTGTATTTGTAACTCCTTGTTAAGATTTAGGATTCACATAAGATCTGCGTTGATGAGACCTATGATTTGTGAGGGGGATCCTGTAGGCATGGGAGGCCAAGCTTATGGAATGCACTTTCAAACCTCAAATCAACCAGAGATATAAAGATAGTCAGGACCAATATGCCGATGACCATAGGAATTGTTTCGAACAGCTCTTTTTGGATGCCGAGTGCCGCAGGCGCCGACGAGATCAATGCACGCAGTGGTGTCCCGAGGGGTTAGCTATTCCTTGTTCGTAACTGCTCTAATTTATTATGTTTTAGATCTTAGACTGTACTATCGCATAGAACTATTGATTAATGTTGATGCCGGGCTCACTGTCAATGAAGCTCTTTGCAGCCTTCTGCAGAAAACAATAAGTATTGGTGCTTGCTAGGGTCAAGCTGTTATTCCCATCTGGTAGAGAGGACTACTGACCATTCTGCCTCATTCTGTAGGAAAACAATAATGAATTTTTACAATGGAACACACTGACAAGAGGGTTGCAAAGATTAATGACAAGAATAAAAGTGGCTCGGCAGATTGACATTCCAACCGTCTATCAACAAAAGCCTTCCATATAGAACCTCGATGATGGGCGAGGATTGGAAATCGGAATGCTCTGTCTTCCGGAGGCTTCTCGACAATGCTTCAAGAGTAACGAAGAAGAAGGAAGCGCAGCAGCAATGGTCACATAGGCCTTTTGATCAGAGAACTGGTCGAGAATTATTTAAACCCCACATTGGCCGCAAACCTTACAATGTATGCCACCTTTTCAATCTTCTTTGTTCTCGCCGTGTCAGCATTAATTCCTAAAAAAATCACTTTTAATAATAGAAAGCACACACTTTATGGTTTCAACGTCGAGAGAATAACCTGACGCAATGCGGGGTTTCCTTTAAATGAAGTAGCATTTCTAGTCAGTTGTTTAATAGCTGTTTATTATGTCTCTATTACGTTCGCAGAGAAACCCAGTGTGCTTGTCAATTGGAGAATACCTTCACAGAATGAAAAATAAATTTGATAACAAGATGAGGTGTATAAATGCAAGAAAAGACATAACGAGGAAAGATCAAACACGTGGCCGGTTTGTTGGACCGAATTCTCAGAAGTTACTCGAGCGTCTGAAAGACCGTCGTTTCAAGCAAATATTTGCTTTTCTAGATAAAGACAAGGTTTTACCCGGCTTGTCTTGCAACTTTAATTTCTACTTACACAAAATTGTGTGCCGTTAAAATGGTTTCTTTGCAGGATTTGTTCACAATTTGTAGTGTAGCTACTAATCAAACAGAAGTGTAGCTACCCTGTTGTTTATAACTGACAACCTTACGGTGAAAATCAAATCACGCTGCATTTGCTTGAAGCTCACAGAAGCGTTTGTCAAATTTTGTTATCATTTCTCTCCAGAACGGGTATGTGGACCTCATGACTGCCGATGTCGATCGCCTCAACCAGGACGTGATAGGAGACATCAACCGAGTGAAGAGGATGATCGGATCCACTGACAACAAACTCGATTTTGATAGACTTGTTGATCTGATGCGAAAGGTTGAGGAATACTTCGGTCTTCCATTCGATTGGCAAGCCCTAGTCGCAAAGATAAAATTTCTCTTCGGCTTATCCACCTCATATTATCATTTGTGTCCACTTCCGAACCATGGTCCAAAAGGGATCGTTGGAGAGTCGTAAGAAGCAGAAACAGGGCGGTGGAATTCAGCAATTGACTTGAAGTTTTGAAAGTCTTGCAGAATAAATACCAATTTGGCCAACAACTTCTTGGACCTAGGCACAAGGCGCACAACCTTGATGTTAACTGCACGTTCCAGTTCAAGATGGACCGGTTGTCTCGAAATCTTGCGAAAACAAGGAGGAAATACAGGTGAAATTCCAAGTTAATCACTAATGAAAAGCTAGGAAATGTTTGCTTTCACTTCAAATTTTAGTCTTTCAAATTTTTCTACCAACACTCAATAAGATTCTAGATGCTTTCAACTATTTAACAATGCCATGTATTTTTAACTCCAGAAATGAGTTGAGAATACATCATAATAAAAAATTTGAAATGAAATAAATAAATAAGTAAATTAGCGTCCTGAAACCTTGTGCACGTGACATCCAGTACGCATGAACAATGGTGGGAAATTATGTTTGCCGAATTCTTAGCCAGTGAACGTAAAGTAGCATCAATTAGGAAGGAAAGGCAGCAACAGGAGTTGTTGAACTGCCCTTTCAAGCCTTATCTCACACCATATCGGCTCAAAAAGGTACGTTCATCACTTCCTTCTTTTAATGCATCACTATAAAGAATAAAGATCTTCACTTCGAGAGAGAGAAAATCCACAACTGTGGCTAGTTACTGTGACTTTAATCCAAGTCAGCGAATCTTTCATGAGGCGAATCTGAAGTGCTTCGTTTGTTGAACATCTTCAGGCTCGCACCAGAGTGAATATTCTGTGCGGCAACGCTGCGATTGATGAGAAAGTAGGCACTCTCACAGAGAAGACACAAGATGAAGTGCAGGGTTTTTACTTCCAGAATGAACAAGGAGGGCCTGGTAGTTTCCTTTGAACACCATAGTCACTTCACTTTGTTGAATTTTTTGCACAAGCACTCCTCGACCTGTGATTGTCTTCGACTTCTTCGGGATTTTGTAAGGGAATGAAATACCCTCATCAAAACCAACACTTCTTTCTTCGTTGTACCGCAGAGTTGTTGGGTATGCCTACGCAAGGTGAACCAGTCAGTCCCGAGCCTGGCATAAGCAGAGGTAGAGCTGATGCATCGAGATCAGATGTAGTAGCCCAATTGGACGATTTGCCAAAACTGAACACCTCAAAGGCAAAGGTCCTGAGGATCTGATAGCAGTAAGATACCTCTTGCTGTGCTGCCAATGTCGTCGACGATCCACTTGATCTATGCTTTCCTTAAGCTCCGAACGAGCATGTGATAATTGGTTGATTTATATTCAATTAGTACATCATATATATCAGATCAGGCAAGAATACGGCCGTCTCTACCGACAGGATTTTTGTACCAAGCAAGTTGAGCAATAATAATAATTTAAATTCCGTGGCTGTAATACATTAAGTTTAGAAATACTTTGCTGCAGATTCCTAGCATACACTACGTGGGTGGTTCAGATAGTGTTGCAAGGGAAACGAAGGAATATGCTCATTTGCTCCATGATCACAAAAGATGGTTAACGAGTGTGCACGATATTCGTCAGTCGGCAGATTGTGGGAAGAGCAACAGGAGAAGCATGGGGATGGTTACATACCAGCGTCTAGGATTCTTCTTCGTCTCACCATAGTCGTCGACTACAGCGACGTTACTAGCAACTTTGCTAGATTGCAAGAAGTGTTGAACGATTTGCTCTGCATACTCCAATGTCGAGAGCTGCTGTTGCTCGACTCCACGTCTCCCTCCTACAAGGAAGCATCATTCGCGACTCCTTCAGACAACTGTTACGTTGTAGACATGTCATCTGTCGCTCACTTTCAACTTTGAGTTGCTACCAAATCATTGATCCTAGAGGACCAAATTAACCACCAAATGTGATAGCTATAATTACTACTGACATTAGACGTCTTCCTTGACCAAATAGAACAAGATGAGCAAAGGCTTGCCAAGATCCGCACTGATGCGGTTTGAACAATCAGGACCTGGACTCAGTGTCCGAGGGTTCATCCGACGCACTAATGTCCACGCTAAGATCAGACAGATGGTAAGTAAAATAGCCAGTATATAAATAGCCCGACTCCAAGCCTTGGAAAATGAATATTGAAGTGTAATGTCAGCTACGGGACAGCATGAATCGTCCATTGCCATAAGAACACATACGAGACAACCTGAAAGCTCCAAGGTCTTCAAGCTCGGAAATTTCCAAAGACGTCACAATAGGATGTAGCAGTAAAAGAAGTGAAAGCAAACGGGGAACGTCCGATTACAGAAGCAAGGCAGACAGTACCAAGTAGAACAGAAAGAGTAGGGACTGTCTTGAAATGCATTACTTTATATTTGCCACGAAAACAGATGGATTTCGGTGACAGCACAACGTGTACTGCTGCTAGCGTTCACGTATCATTCCAAGCAGCTGCCCATCAGGCAATTAAAATATTGTTCTTAGATATTGTAGTATTTTTATTGAGGGTGATATGACTCATCTTAACTGGTTAGATCTTCAATGATCTCCTGACAGAGGCTCAAGGAGAAGTCCAGCTCAGTATATCGATGCAAACGAGTTCAAGCGCCTGGACATAAGGTTCTTAAAATCCTCAGCACTACCCTAATTCCACATACACGTTTTGAGGGCATTGTCTGCAATATTTGGAGTAGTTAATAATAATATTCGATGTTGCTGAGTTCATCGAGGAAAGAGACGAAGGATCGAATTACAACAGACAGAATGAGTGAAGTAGGCAGTAGAATGAGTGAAGACTCAATGTACGGTAGACAGAAGAAAGCGTGACTAGTTTGTACAGCCTTCCAGACCTCAATTTTCGCTGGAATATTGCAAATGATGTAGCGAAAAGGCTACCAAGTCTACTTCTAGACATGCTGATTGAAACTAAGGACCCAGAATACAGAAAACAACAGCAGGCGGGATCAAGATGGTAAAGAAAGAGTTTTTTTCTGTACAGTTTAACAGGCTGTATGTAACAATGAAAAACAGCATGCCTCGGTGAGGACTGGCTCAGCTGTTGGTCCTCATTCTGGATCATTCGGAAGCATCTTCTACAAAAGCCACTGAGAAAGGAAAATCCTACTGCCCCTTCTTGTCACCAGCATCATAGTCCTCCATACCTGGGGGACGAGCAGGTGTGGGAAGGCGAGACTTCCTCTCAATCTCCTCTGCCTTCTTCCTCTCAGCCTCAGCTTCCGCCTCAGCTTTCATCCTTGCTTTCTCTTCCATGTACGCTGCCCGTGACTCAAAATAACGCTCAAAAGCGCGTGGCAGGAACATGGGGATCAAAAACCCAAATAAGTTTATGGTGTAATAGATCGTGTTTACGGCTGCCAACCCCTGTCCAAACCGAAGCCATGCTTTCTCCTGCACCACACACAATTGGAAGGTATGTCACTTCACCAGAAATAACACTAGCCCAAAACAATTCCCAGAATGTTCGAAAAAGATAATGGAGACATCGATGTTTCATTTTACACCCCAGAGTCGTAAAGAAGCTTAAACATGAGAACAACGAGCTCAACTTTTACAGTAGCTGCTTGAAGTACATAACCTTCTTAAAAGATCAGCGGAAATGAAATTAGTAAGCATCCAATCCTCAGTAGCTTCCACCCTCCCAGTAGGAAAGCAAGCGATGGGACACGGAAACCTGATTAATTGTGATCTTGAGTCAGAACATGAAGAGCCATCGAGATAATCACTTACGTTCAGCGTAGGATGCGCCGACAAGTGCCTTGTGATCCACATCTCTTCGGTCCAATCCACAAGCGCAAAGAGCCGCCGCGTATTGTACATAAGAGGCATCAAAGCCCTAACAGGCAAAGAGAAGATTTGCAACCCACTCACGAGATTCTCACTCAGCACCTGGCATGAGAGCAGGAACAGGTGCGGCGTCGCAGCTCGCACTGCTTCTTGGTCGTTCCTAGCAAACCCACCCAACACGTACGCCAAGGGCAAGAACAGCCCTACCAGGGTCCCAAAGATCACGTACGCCTGAAAAACGCGGTTACCCTTGAACACAGACAGCTCCGCGTTTTTGTACCGCGGGAACACAAGCTTCCCTATCACGACGGCATAGATACTGATAACCACAGGAAACAGAATGTCGATCAACGGCACCAGCCCACTGGCAGAGAACACAACAATGAACGCCATCAACTGCAATTCAATCACCCTGAACGATCCCATCACGCCTCCTAACCCTCCGAAATCGCTCACGTTCTCGTCCACAGCGGACAGTCGCCCTTTCCGCTCCTTGGCCATCCTCGGCCCAGCGGCCAACGTTGCGCCCGACATCGTGCCGATGATGCCTCGACTCTGGATCTAAAACCCTCCAAATCCTCACTCAACCAACAACACTCACCCAATCTACTCTTACTCAACCTTCTTATCGCACCCAAACCCTTGTGCAACCGCGTCTGTCACAGCTCAATAAACCGGCCATCCCAATCTATCCAAATCCTGCCACATAGTCCCTTCTCACACGCGTTAACAACAACGGGACAACTCGGCCTGGAGAAGGAACGCAGCCAGCCTTGATTCCAGAACCTGGAAGTGATGGCGCGACGATACTTCAGGGCTTCATCGACAAGAGGAGAGATCTCGCCTTATGGCGAGGCAATAGGGCGGCTAGCTGCACCGTGGAACAAGTATCCATGGAACGGTAATCGGTCCCCGTGCGCTGGTTCTGGGAAGGCTGCAGAGAGATCCATCCGTGGGATTGCCTTTCCAGGTGTCGGCCGCGGCTTCTTCCGACTCATCGCGTTGGCGGCGTTTCCGATTCTCCGCACTTGTGGGTGCATTACCGCGTTTGAGTTGCATGACCCTGATAGGGTTGCATTACCGCTTGGGTTGCATTACCGCGTCGCCTTGACTCGGTCAGTGCGCGCTTGTTGTACCTTATTATGTCATTATGTATTCATCCATCCGTTTCATGGATGAATTATCTCATTACTAATGTTTGTTGCATTGCCACTTGACAGAAAGTCACAAAAATAAGGTAAAGCGAATCCTCAATTATTACTTTTTTTTTATTCTTTTATTTTATTTCATTGAATGAGAATTGAGTGATGAAGATGGTAATATTTAAGAGAGGAGCATCAGAAGTTGCGTATAATCTTTACCATATATCCCTCTCTTCAAGGCCTCTTAGATTGAAAAAAAAAAAAAAAAAAAAAAAAAAAAAAGGTTTAAAATCAAGCTCAATCCAAGTGAAACAATCAACAAATAGTAGACTAAAATTAACCCTCTGTTTGCGAAGTATAAGTAGTATCGATATTATTTTATAAAGTAATAATTTTAATTTATATATATATATATATATATATATATAGAGAGAGAGAGAGAGAGAGAGATTATTATCCAATTTATTTCTGCATCACATATAGTTTTTTCAAAATAAAAACAACAAATCCAAAATATATTCTTAAAAATATCTTTTAACAATACATTCACTGTTAAATATTGCTGAAAATCAAAAACATTGGACTGTGAAATAATTTTGTTATTGTTTATATTTGAGAGGGTTGATTTTTTCATAATGTAAATGTGAAAACAACAACAATACTTCCACGCTTCATTGGTCTTTAAATAATGGTTCAAAGGTTTAAACAAAGAGATTGTACTGTTGCTAAAGTTATTCTTTTTTATATTCAAAAAACAAGTCGTTAAAAGATCATCAACTTCCAGGCATAAAATCTCTTGCCAAATTTTATTAAGCAGTATATCCAACAAATTACTTATTTTATACAGAATAATACCACAATTATACCAAGATAATAAAGGTGTCAAAAGATTTTAACTCTCTTGTTGGTGGATAAATTGTAGAATGTTTTAGCCTATCGTACCATTCATTGTTTCTGAAATCATTATACATTCAATGTAAGCAAATACATTAATAATTATCATGTAAAGGACCTACTTGAGAAAATTTCATTACATTCTTGGTAATTTGTAATTCTATCAACATAAAATATTTAAACTAAAATTGTTGCAAACAACTACATTAAAGTATTGATTCACCCTATTCATATACACATGATTCTAAGTTAAACAGCAAGTTCTCATGTAACCAGAACTTTTTATTTATATGAGTTATGTTTTTTAAAAAAAGATCTATCTACAAAAACAAATAGATACATAAACAAGTAAGAACCAAAAGAAGAACATGTAAACTAGATGATTGTTGAATATTAAAGGATAATAGAATTATTGAATGGATAATAGTAGCTTTTGCCACCAATGGAGTTGTCAAAAATAACCAACAGTCATGTTATTTGATTGTGTTATTACAATAACAATAAACTTAGATAAAGTTGAAACTTTTTGACTTACAAATTAAAACAATATCCACTTCAAATACAAAAAAAACGTTGTAAGATATGATTAGACAACACAAACAGAACAGATTACTTTGGCGGTGTAGATAATCTAGAACAGTGATAGAACTGTATACCAAGATTATTATTTTAAACCCACTTAATTAAACAAAAATTGAGTCACGTAATTCTTCAAGTAATATGTCCTCCCACAATTCCCCATGATACCCAATGTCATCCTCCAAAGAACTTCGTTAAAATCTAGGTGGTGATTCATTACTAGTAGATAGGCGATGCAACAAGGTAGAATTTGACACATCTATTAAAAAAAAATGAAGACAAGGTAAACCCGTCACATTAAATAAATAAATAAATAAATAAATTACTAAGAGAAAGGAAAACAAGGCAGGATAAGAGCAGAAAGGACATAAAATACACTGCTAACTAGTTCGGGCTTCTATCTTCTGGTGACTGACGCATGTATAATTCCCCCATTTGTAAGGGATTCTTGTATTCGATCAAATTAACACCCCTCCTTTCAATCGTAATAATCTACCTCCCATCCACAACGTATCCCATGGTCTATCTACTAGTAATGAATCACCACCTTCGTACCACGGTGGAGTATTTAGCGGTTTCAAGCACCAGTTGTGTCCAATTGAGCTGCTGCTGTCAAAATGCACTGTCCGTCGCACTGCACACGCTATCATCAACAAGGAAAGCGAGGAATGGCAGGAAGGTAGCATTCAAACAAACACGAAGTGTGTGGATGGGAACATGCTCATGGGGGCGATCAGAAGCTGCGAGACGGCGGTAGGGAGATGAAAACCATGGCACAAAGCACATGAGAGGAAGCACAGGCCCAACAGGGACTCCATCGCCTTTTATTGCCTCTGCAAGGGGCACGAATATTATCATCACAGAGATCAGCTTCTTTGGCTAGATGGGCTGCTGCTGCTGCTTCAAGAACTATCACTATGTCCTCCCTGCTGCCTTCAAACTCTGACCACTGGGGAATAGCTAGCAGCCAGCGAGCTTGAGGCACAACTGGTGAACAGTCTAGAGAGACTCTCTTCCGGCCTTCACGTGGCCAACTTACAAAGTCTACTTTGAATGAGCTATTCATCAAGTATAATTGGTGATGGTGATGGTGGTGGTGGTGTTGCAAAGGAACAAGCTCCACAGATCGATCGTTCAAGGTTCTAGGGGCCCATTTGCAGTCGTAAGATTGTACAGAGAAGCAAGGATGTTACTCAATACTTCTTTTCTTCTACACTGGCGGCGAAGTGCACCGTTTTGCCGATGGGCACATACTCTCCGCTGTAGCTTAAGGGCTGGTTGTATCGACCTGGTGGCGGAGGCGGAGCCCCAATGAAGCCGCTCATTCCATTGTTAGGAACGGATGGGCGAGGCCTGTTTGTGGGCCGGAAGTCCGAACTTTCCTTGTCGGGATCATACTCGCCACTTTGGAAGGTGGGCTGCGTGAGTACGGGTGGCTTGAGATCGTGCACCGACATTTGACCTGAGGAATTCCCGAGATCAAACTCGCCGCTGCCTTCGGGGATGGGGGGATGCTCCGCGCTTTGGATGACTCCGAGGTTGTTCTGTTGCCGCGACACATTGGTGTTCTGCTTGTGGAATGACCGGAGCCCGGAGTTTGTGCTGTGGTCGCCTGAGTCGAATTGCCCACTGTCGCCTCCGTATCTGTTGGTGCCATATTGGGACTCGCTGCCGTATTGGGAATCGGTGTCCGAGCCCTGCCCCGGTCGCATACCTTGGTAAAGTCCTGCTCGGTCCGAATCACTCTCCAGTGCGCGTACAACCTGGCAGCACAGATAGGCAAAGATAACTTAGCATATTGAAAGTAACGAGAAACAGCCAAACATGAATAACGGAAAGAGCTCTGACTGCATACAAGACACATTCTCAGGAGTGGTAAACTATTCATGCATCGGGTGCAGTCGATCGTCTACCTGTGCCATCCTTGGACGCTTCAAAGCTGAATGTCGCACACATGCGGCTGCGGTTTCAATGACACGAAACATTTCATCCGGGTCGTAGTTGCCATTCAGGTTAGGGTCCACGATGTCCTCCAGGTGGCCATCTTCAAGAATCCGCATCACCACAGGTCTTGCCCATTCTACTAAACTCTCAAACCCTGCCTCTTGATTCATGTCTATGGGTCTCCTTCCAGTTACCAATTCCAGCAATATCACACCGTAGGAGAAGACATCTGATCTATCTGTAAGCTTCCCGCTGGCGGCATACTCTGGGGCCAGATATCCGAAGGTTCCCATTACTCTTGTCGATACGTGGGTGTTGGTGTCGGAGGACAACTTCGCCAACCCAAAATCTGCGACCTGGTACACGCAACAGAGTTCAGACTTCGGCATAAGCATGGTAGAGTACAAGCTGCATGTGCAGAAGTCTTCAACAAGCTATACCTATCAACGGATACTTAAGCAGCCTTGTCACGAGGTTGACATTTAACGTCACGAAAAAAGAAAAAAACAAACAAAAAAACAAACACACTACCATTCAGTTGGTTCTTACCTGGGCTTCAAATTTCTCGTCGAGAAGAATATTGGAGGACTTGATATCCCGATGGATGATCTTAGGGTGGCAATCTTCATGCAGATATGCAAGACCTCGTGCGCATCCAAGACCAATTTTCAGCCTCGTGTTCCAGTCCATGATAGGCATATCAGGATCTGAACAAAAAGACAGATGTTAGATGTCTTACACTAATAATCAAATTGCTGGACAAAAAGCTGCGATATTCTCAACAATGTGGTACAATGCTTCAAGGAAAATAACCGAGAAAAAGCTGTGACTTTTGAGTGCCGAGCGTGCACTTACTGTGCAAGTTATTCTCCAATGTACCATTGGGCACGAACTCGTACACAAGTAGGCGCTGTTGATTCGACACGCAGTACCCAACGAGCGAGACCAAATGGCGATGATGCACCCTGCTGATGACCTCAACTTCGGCTCGAAACTCCCGCTCGCCCTGACCTCCGCTCAGGTTCAACTGCTTCACGGCCACAACTGTCCCGTTCGGCAACGTTCCTTTATACACACGGCCAAACCCACCCTCGCCGAGAAGGTTGTCCTTGGAGAAATTATCGGTCGCAGTCTGCAATTCGCTGTATGTGAAGTAAGACCTGGAGTTGCCCATTTTGTCGGATCCATTTGGGGGCGGAGGTATGTCCGAACCATTGACACTACCCGAATGAATTCCCCACGCATCCGGAGCGTCACTTTTATATTGAGAACTGGTAAGTGGCATAGCAGCACTAGAACCTTTAAACGACAATCCATCCGGGTTTATGTGTCTCCTTCTCTTCCTGCAACAACAAATCAGAAGACAGATTATGACGACAAGGGCCGCAATTCCCCCAGCAGCCCCACCTACAACCAATGAATTATTAGAGACTCCACTTGATGGTGGCGACGGTAGTGCAGAGGATGGTCCAGAATGATTTGTTGAAGGTGGAGGGGTAAAGTCGGGTTGTGTGATTCTCGGAATTACAGCAGGAGCAAGAGAGATTGGAGGCGATCCTCGAGGTGCCGATGCTGGGGGTACTGCTGTCGGTGGCGGAGCAGGTGCTGATGCAGGAGGTGGCGGTGGAGATGATTCTCGGGATGGTGGAGGCGATCCTGAAGGTGGAGGTGGAGGTGGAGGCGATGATTGTGGTGGCGAAGCCGGAGGTGGTGACCATGGGGGCGGAGAATTGGCAGGGGGTGGGGATATGGAGGGAGGAGGGGCAGTACTCGGAGCAGGGGGTGGAAGTACCGGCGGAGGGACTTGGGGTGGCGGTGTCACAATAATGGGAGGTGGAGCTACTGGAGCTGGTTGAGGTGGGGGCGGCAAGATCGGAGGAGGGGATTCGACAGGAGGTGGTACAAATGGTGGGGGCTGAAACGGATCAGGAGGAGGTGAGGTTGGATCAAGAGGTGGTGGAGATGGATTAGGCGGAGGTGATGATTCTGGCGGCAGCAATGGAGGGGGTTGACCTGCAGGATCAGGAGGGGCTGTTGTATCTGGGGGGGGAGCAGGAGGACTATCTGTCCAAGCAGGAGGAAAAGCAGGATTATTTCCATCAAAAGGTGCTTGCGCAGGATTTCCTATAAAAGCTTTTGGACCCTTCGGAGGTTTGATTTTCTCTCCGTCTTGTTTTTTCTTCACTACATATCCAAATGAGCTATCAGTCGGAGCTGGAGGACTCGTTGCAGGTGCCTCAAAGTAAGACCTCGTGCTTAAAAAGGCGCGAACCATTTTCGATGGCCTGTGTGTCTGACCCAGACGATCTATGCAGGGCTTTTAGTATCTCACTGCTCTCACTCTAAACTTGCGGTATCAGGGAACATCTGCGAAAACTGCGGAAGTAACTATGCTCGTCGGTAGATATCTCCTGGGCTCTTGACATTTCCTCGGATGCAAGACCACAGTGTCAGCACGACACTCATAATGAAAACTTTGCCTAAGATGCAGATTAATCCAACTACCTCGATTCCAATCGGCACTGAGAGTGCAACTACTCGGTGGATTCAATCACATTTGATAAAAAAACCACCCCCGAAATCCCTGGTTGTGGAGCTTAAATCCAAGGTAAGATTCCGAATGCTGATGGACATACCCAGTCGAAGTGTCATTCAACACAGAGAAGATTACCAGCGAAACCCATAGGTAGCAACTCATTGCCCTGATCCCTTGTCTACGCAATCCCATTGATGAAGACGAAGCTACTTTGAAACAGCGCAATTCTACCCATGAATAGGTTGGTGACTTAATTAGTGTTCCGCAACTTCTGGTGGCTAGTTTCAGGTTGCTTGGTTTCAAAATCTGCAAATGAATCAAAGAATAAACGTCCTTGCGTCAAGACTCATCCACGGCATTCAGGTGTAGAGACATCTTCATTTCGGAGCATCTCAAGGCTCAAAATTGAGAAATTGTCGGCCCGCGTCGAGTCTTGCTCGTCAAAACTACAAGAGATGACGTGTTGCCTTGAATCTGTGAGAATCGAAGACCAGAGACAAACCTAAATATTCCAGATGCCGACCTCGCCGCTTCATTCTCTTCAACACATACAGTGATGGTGTTGGGTACGGAGTTCACCTTGTCCAGTGACACTGCAAGGGGCTGCGCATTCTCTCACAGAACTCTGCGATTTCACATTCCACCTCCAAGCTTCAGATACTGACTTCAACTTCGGATAACAATGCAATATACTCCAGTAACCAGGTCTAAGTAAAATTTCTCAGCAGGTCCTTTAGCGAAATGCATCGTATGGGACAAAATATATTGGCAAGGTACGAGTAGAGTCTAAGCCTCAATGAGCCTTCAGATAATACGGTCGGACAATGTGAGACGCATGAGACACAAGCTGCCAGCAACACTCCGGACAGTGTAGGACCAATAAGATCTAGGACTCACGGATTCCATCGCGGCCTTACTCGACATCACCAAGTGATCTTTGAGACTCTACATCGCTCAGGTGCGGACCAAAAGATGTAGCGTTTTCCGGATAAAACTTGTAGGAATACTCTATCAACTATTGAATCATGCAGCGGGTTGAAAGGCAAGAAGAGTACACTTACTCATTTGAATCCTCTCACCAAGCTCCGATTGCTCGCCAGATGGATTCAGCACACACTCACTTCACATTCACTGGAAATTCAAATCACAATGTCTCCAAACACTTCGATAGACCAATAACCGCGGCATCACGATTGCTTCGAGACAAGACGGGCATTGACAGATCCACTGCTCCTGCAACATCCGAAGTCCGAAATCCGAGCAAACAGCCCATTGAGCCACAGTCCTTGCTCGTACGTCACCAACCTCGTCATTATGACTCGACTGCCGAGAACTAGGGAGTCCTCGTACATCGAAGAAAACTTGGTGCTTACACCAGCATAACTCCGCGGTTCATGGAGTTGCTGAATCTTCGTTCCACGCAACGCAGCGCGCGCTGCAAATAGCACTGCACCCGGGAGACTAAGGCGGGAACCAACAATGCTACTTTTCGGGCTTAATATGGAAACCGCGTTGGTACCCTAACCCACGTCCTTTCGATAAGCTATCTAAATTTAATACCTCAGATCAAGCCCCACTCGGTTCCGCTCTCTTGCTTCAGCAATTAGTATCCCGAGTTAGCGCATCATGTCATGAGATGATCGGAAATTACCCCTGCCTGAAATTCTTACCGTGGCCAGAAGTTGGCGCAGGAGCAATGTGCAGTTGCCTTCGATCCTGACATTCAGCACAAGTCCGCAATCCATGCCCGATACTACAAGCATGTGTCTTCACCTGGCAGGTGCATTTCGATTGAAACACCGGACGGCCTAATATTATATCTTGATTCATCACTTCCGATGCTGAAGAAGCATCAGATTTGCTACAATTCATTTCTAATGTCTATCTGGAGGAACTGGGTGTTGCCATGGGGCGGTGTGTTGCAGACTTTGATCTGCGGAATGTGCATACGTGTGGCAGGTTCGAAGAGTGCGGTCACTTTCATTCTTCTCTGATCTTCAATGGTGGCTATTAGCGGATTGTGCAAATTTGTACATTGTTGGGCGTTTATCGTTACCAAGGTCTTTGGCGTGCAATAGCGTGTTTGTCTGTATTACATGGTGTTGATCGAAAGAGTCGCATTCACCAGCACGGAAATCTTAAAGAACATGAGGCTTTTCTGTCGCTGGGTAGTTTTGAAGAGAAAGAAAGAATTGCCTTACATTGGATCCATAACGATTTACTGGGTTTTCACTGGGGTGAGCGTAATCTCAATTTCGAGGAGAGTGCATTTCCTAACAACTATCCGCAACTACAATTACAAGGTGGCCGATTCTGGTACTAGTTTGATCGCAAATACTTACTTGGACTTCGAGATCTTCTCCTTCTGTCGCACCTTTTGAAAGACTTTGCACGAATGCCGGAGCGGTGAAGTGCTATTTATTTGTTTCGTGAAGTCAAAGACGTTCCGAAGTCTCAGCCGCAAGGTATTTAGAGCCACCACTTGTTACCCTAATACTTTGCGAAGTTTATGGCGGTATTTGGGCTTGAGGATTTTCTGTGGCGAGCAGAAGAGTGGTTTCTTTATACCCTTGTTGTTGCCCCGCTGCTGTTGTGCCCACCCATCCACCCCCCCCCGCAGCAGGACGGGCGACGACATAACATTCACATGGTAATGCGGTGCGGATCTCAGTGGGATCTATGTCGAAGCCTCAATGGCTGTGATATTGACGACAGAACATTCTGTCAATTGGTCGTCTGAACAACCTGTCTACACGATTAAGTCAGATTCTTATTATTCCAACCAAGCCACAGTCGCTGGGTTTAGGGTTCTGCAATGCACCCCACTCGCTGTAAAACATTGGGCAGAGACTGTAGCAGTTGTTTGGATCAACCTCAAACTGGTTGGTCCCGGAGTTGATGAATGCTACTCGTGGAATTGCGCTCTTATTGCTCGTCACGGTTCTTCAGGTAACTTGCCGACGCTAACGACGAATCAATGTGCACTCTAGTATAGTTCCGCAGAATCCACTCATATGTATGTAATGCTGCCATTAGCCTCTTCAATTCACGTGTTTTTGCGAGGTTGATAAGGACATTCTGTGCAGTGGATTGCAGGAATGCGGTAGTTCAAGCTCAACGGCATCCAACGGCATGTTTTCATATCAGAACACGGTTTCTGCTACTCGTCACTCGCTACTTCAATTGTCGCTCACAACTGATATGAACTGAACTTTCGGTGTCAAGTGATGAGTTGTAGAATCACTTGGTTTTGTTGGTATTTGGTGATTTATCTTGGTTCGCATGAGATATTGAATCGTCATGTCCAATTCGAGATCACTTCTTGTTGGTTTGTTCATGATTTGGTCGCACACTGTTGCTGGAAGTAGAGGTCTGGGACTACTGCTTCTGTTCAGATCGTGCGGATCGTGCAGCTCATGTCTGCGATGGTTCACCTTGTTTGCAATTTAAAAGGACAACTTCCCCACTTCAGACTCTTCTTTCTTCTTTGGTCTCTTGTATCCACTGTCAACCCCAGTTTCAGAACAAGGTTTTTATTGTGCAACTAGTTGTCACACTAATGATCTAGTACATCAGAAAGAGGAAAAAATGTGAGATTTTTGCCAAGGTTTGTGACCTTTGCTCTAAGCTGACTGGACTAATTTATGCCAATTGATCTAATACTCTCCTTTCATTTATGGAGTTGAAAAAGAATTAACTTTAAGTTAAAAGTAGACTTGGAGAAGCATCTAGTTTGCAAAGTTTTTTGTTTTGATTCTTAAATTCCTCCTTGTTACAAGTTGGAGGAAGCTCCAAAGAGATCAATGTCTTTGAGACATGAATTCTAATTGATTTGAGGGGGTGCTTTTGTCAAGATATCAATCTACATTGTGGATTCTAATTTATGTAGTTGGGCTTGAAATATTTTATATTAAAACATGGTTTCTGCTACTCATCATGTACAAAGTCTTACCAAAATGTCAATATTCTTATTAATTTATAAACTATTAATTATAGGTATCCTAACACATTTGAATTAAAAATTTTATTAATTTTATTAGAAAACTAAGGTAACATATAAGACACATGCTCAACATAAGTATATCTACAAACTTACAAAAATTCAACCATAGATCTATTACAAAATACAAAAAAATATTAAAATAGTAAACCTTAATTTATTGCTTAAAACTTGATTGTCAAAATAAAAAATCTTGACTTTAATTAGCTCTCACAATATCATTGCAAATCCAATCCATATACATCTAATAATTAAAAAAATTCTATAAAATCTCTTCTCTAATTCTTCTTTTTGATCTTCTTAAGAATCCTACTATTGCCATAGATGCCCAAATTTTTACCTTAGAATCTAATTCCAACCATGTTTTACAAACAATTCTTTTTAAGTATCAATTTAATTTTTTTCTTAATAAATATTGTTAAAGCCACTTCTAACTTTCATCTAAAAATATTATATGTCTATTCTACTATGTCTTGTCTTATTTATGGCTCTACAAAATAAGTAAAAGTTATTTTTATATAAAAGATAATATAAAACATAAAAATACCTTATTATCTCTAATGTTGTTAGTTAATTTTTTTTTTTAAATCTCAAATAATATTTCAATTAATCTTATATATATATATATATATATATATATTATTAATATAGTTCTTCATCTATTTTTTTACCTTCTACTCATGTTACAAAACAACATTATGTTGATACTTTGAAGATGTATAGAGATTTTAGAAGTAAATAAACTTGATATTCTTAATTAAGTTGTATGTATCTTCTATATATATATATATATATATATATATATATATTCTTTGAAATTACTATGTAAAAAAAAATAGACACATTTATTGAATGGATGTAATAAGCATAAAAAATTACAATTGCAAAAAATAGTTGAAGAGACATCATTTTGATGACAATTAAAAAAATATTAAATAGTCAATACAAGATTTCTAAAAATAAACCTTAAATTTTATCTTGCTTGAGGAAAAGAAATTGTGCCATCAAAATTATATTTATAGCAATATAATCACTTGGTACTTACAATTGATCTATTGCTAATAGTATCAATCAATTTCTACATATCATTTTAAATTAAAGAATTATATTATTTATCTATAAACTTGTACCAATAGTAAGTATTATGACTAGAAAAGGCTTCTTATATAATAGTTGATTTAGATAGTTAGATAAAAAAATCATAAGAATTTAAACTTTCATCATAAAATTTTGTCATTTAAAATTTTTTAAATTTAGATATTAAGAAGTTTTTGAAGGAAGATGCTATAGAAAACAAACTTTAGAGGTAGAATGAGACTAATAAAAATGTGTTCAAAGATGATAAAATATCTATAAAAAATAAATAAAATATAAAATATAAAATATAAAATCTTTTAAAAATTAGTATTATTTAGAAAGAATAGACTTGGTATTAATGTCATGGATATACCTATAGTTATTTAAATAATATGAATAAATAGAAGTAGATAAAAGTAGATTGATTGACAATATCTTATGGAAAAGCTTTATAGATGTAGTTTCACATTTATACATGTCTATAAGTGATTGATAGATTAGAAACTTAGCCAACAAGCTAGCCATGTATTACAGGTATTGATAGCTTGTAGTATAAGCTAAAAATGCAACACACTTAAAGAAAACTTGCCTTGTAAGTTAAGACATATGTTTTGCAAATTGAACATGTGTTAGAAGTCTTATAGAACATTGCCATATAGCTTTTGGATAGATAATATATATAAAAGTAAGAGTAAAGCCTTTTTCACTCTTATCAATTCTTTTCTTGCTTCTAGTCTAGTTTCAAGAGTCTTTAATTTTCTAGCCTTTGGCAATAGCTATTCTAATTTCTTATTAAATATATTTAATTTCTTATTTTTAATTTGTCATCTCTCTTTGATTCATTTCTCACTTGTTTATGTATCTTCTTTGAGTTTTTTTCTTTAATAAATTAGCAAGAGTGCTAACTCATTGTTTTTACTTTATTTTTAAAAGTAAGTAGATTATTCTACTTCTATTATTATATTTTAAAGATTATAGACTATCTCCTTTAAACTAATATTTATTTTTTTAATACTAATTTTTTTCTTAAAAAAAGTAGATTATTTTTTTTTGTGGAAATTTTTATTTGATATTAAAAATTATATATTATCTTCTTCATGGATTTATTAAGATTTTTGAAATAGAATGAAAAATCATCAATGCTATATTTGATAGAAATGAGAATAGATTTGTGACTATTGGAGATTTTCATGAGCTTTTTTGATATTCTTAGGATAGAAATTTCATGTATTATTAATGTAAACTATAAAAGTACTATTTTTATGCTTATAGAAGAAGTTCAAAGTCTACACCAAGAAATTCTGCAGTTGAGAGAAGCAAGTACATTGAACTCACAATCAAATCTATAAAGTCTTATTTCTACTAATACAAGAGGTACAAAGATTAGTATGCCAAAGAAGTTAGATGGAATAAGATCAAAATTTCAAAGAATTTTGCAACAAGTCAAGTTCTATCTAACATTGCATCTTTTCTAATACCTTGATGGATTTATTTAAGTTAGATTTATAGGTGCACTTCTATCTAAAAGTGCTCTTTCTTGATTTATACATGTGATAGAAAAGGATTCATGATTCTTTCATAAATTGAATTCATTCCTAAAAGTATTTATGGTCACATTTGGAGAAAGTGATCAAGAAAGAATAGCAAAAACCAAGCTCTTATCTTTACAACAAAGTTCACAATCAACCACCATATATGCTGTTGAATTCCAAAACTTTGCTTGTAATATAGTGTCATGGACATACACATGTAAGCCAATAATTACATGTATAAATAGGTAGAAGTAAGTAAAAGTATGTAAAAGTAAGTCAATTCTATAATATTTATTATGAAGCTTCCTAGAAGCTTCATAGATATTGCTTTGACTTTATAGATGTCTTTAATTGATTTTTTAGATTAGAAACGTGGTCAACAAGTTGGCCATGTGCTACATGTGTTGTTAGCTTGAAGCCCAAGCTAACTATGTCACCCACAGATAAAAAAACTTGCCTTGTAAGTCAAGGCATGTGTCTTACAAAGTCAACACATATTGGAGGTCCAATAGAATATCGCCACATAGCTCCTAATTAGATAGTATATATAAAGACAAAAGTGAAGCCTTCTTCCCTCTTGTCAATTCCTTTCTTGCTTCTAGTCTAGTTTCAAGGGTCTCTAGTTTTCTTGACTTTTGGCAATAGCCATTCGAATTTCTTTCTTAATATAGATATCAAGTTATTCCTATTTTGTCATCTTTCTTTGAAAACAATCTCATTTATTTGTTTTTATCATGTTCTTGTCCTTGACAGATTAACAAGTGTACACTTATAATATCAAAGTTTTGTCTAATCTTAATTTAGAGAGGGATTATCCCTTTCTCTTGATAAGACATAAGCATATTAGAAGTTGCGGATTACCCTCTTCTAAATTGATATTGTCCTTAGTATTTTCTTTGTTCTCAAGTCCTTTTTTCTATTTGTCTTGAGCGATATTAGACATCTTCTCTTTTCTGAGTGTTATCATGGCAAAACTTGCTGAAATGAAGAGTACAATGGCACAAATACAAGAGCAATTGAGGGAGTTAATGCTTGCGATGCATTAACTCAATTTACCACCACAAGGAGCAACAAGATTGGTAGGAAGTAAAGATATAGAAATGATTGGAGCTGCTTCAACATCTGCACCAAATCATATCTCTTTTCCTATGGTGGAATGTCCTTCCAGTGTTAGAAAATCAAGAATTGACCTATCCGAGAAGTTTGATGGCACCAGATTAAAGTTCAGAGGATTTATCAATCATGTACAACTTGTGATTAAACTTCAATCCCAAAGCTATCAATCTCCAGGATCGCAAGTTAGATTCATTGTTACACTTCTTTCAGGTTCACCATTATCATGGTTTTCATCTTTTCATGAATGACGAGATCCAATATTGGATAATCTAGAGGCTTTTTTGGCAGAGTTTCGATCCATGTATGGAGAATATGATGCAATTCGTGTTGCAACCAATAAGATCTATATTTTACGACAAGGCAATCGATCAGTAACATTGTATGCTTCATAATTTTCACAACTTGCAACTGATATCAAGTGGGATGATGCTGCATTTATTAGCCAATTTTTCTATAGATTACAATGTAAGGTAAAAAAATTAATGCTCAACTTATCTGATCTTCAGACATTGAGTTAAGAAATTGACTTTGTTGTAAAGTACAACAATCGTCTTTTTGAATTCCGATCTGAGAACCATATAAGTGGACCTCAACATTACTATAATTCAATGGCAACACCAACATCTCTTCAAGACATACATTCGAAAGTAGAGGATATGCAAATTGATGCGGTATGTTTCAAATCTCTTATTGAGTAAGAAAATATTCATCATCGTCAGGAAGGATTGTGCTTATATTATAGAGAACCTAAG